AATATTTTACCGAGAAACAAAGTCAAATAATATTAATAATTATGTGTTTTGTATATATTGGTAATTAGAATAACTCAACCGCTGTGTGTTGGCGATCTATTATCGTACATCAGCAGCTATAGTTCTAATAAAATGGACTTAAGATACGCATACGTTTTCGCATTTGCTCTTTTCTTGAACATATTCATTACATCAGTAGTGTACCATTCGATTCAAATGGAAATATTACATTGCGGTATGAAGATGAGAGTAGCTTGTTGTTCAATAATTTATAGAACGGTAAGTAATCAACATTTTCATAGGTTATATTATTTATACTGAAAAAGAAAATCACTGTTAAACGTAATTTGAGAAATAAATAGTTACCTAATAATATATGTGTACATTTTAAACAGGGACAAATCATAACTAAATATGGAAACATGAATAATTTGTTTTTACGTATAATAAACACGAAATAGATGTTGTTGGGTGGCACTAGTTGTAGGTTGGAGTTATGATAATTTGGCAGATTTATTATTTCTGATTAATTTGGTAAAAGTTAAAGACCTGTAATTATCAATAGTTATAGAGTATAAAACTATTGTATATAAAACTAAAAATAGTTTTAGAGACATTAGAGCATTTTCGAGCTATTTATGGACATTTTTATTTTATTTTTTTATTTTGTAAGTACTCTGCAGCCAAAATTGTTAAACTAAACAGAAATAAATAATAAATATTATGAATTATTATAGTAAATAAAAAAATTAGTTTATTGTATTTTTTTTTTTTTTATAATAATTTTTAAATCAAATTTTATATCACGTTTATTGAATTTTGTAGATTGTAAGAGCTATATTTAATATTCATAATTTATACTGTGAAAATATTGGTAGATATGTAGTATGATATCTATTCAGATGTACTTAAACCAAAATATATTCATATAAATGCAAATAATAACTAGAAATAGCAGGTGCTACAAACACTTTATAAAGATACTTAAAATAAAAATGGTGGCAATGACCATCTATCAATCAAATTTATATAATTAAATCCTTATAGAGTTTGGTGGATAAACCGAAATAAAAAGCATTAAGACAAAAGGGTTGGCTTCCCCAATATGTTCATCAGTAGGTAGAAAATTTTACCAAAATGCCATCCAGCAAAAATTGCCTAATATATGCTTTAATACATGTATAACCCAACTCCATTCAGAATCATTTTTCGTTCGCAATGATTAATCGTTGCATACAGATATAGATTAAATTCCCCTCTATATCCTACTTTCTCAACTTCTCACCTACAATAGTGACCACCTATTGTGTTAAATATGTCTTTTTTTTTTTTATTGAAAAGTATCCATACAAATGGTTCCCGAATATTTCGATACTATTACCCATAAATCGGGTTAGATAATATCAAATAAAACCCTCCCTCCCAAAAAAGAAAGAAAAATGTTTACTTTAAAAACCAGAAAAATAAATATTTTTAATGGGCGATACCGGTCGATTTTCGATGGACGGGGTACAGACAGGTACTCCATAATTGATAGTTAGGTTAGGGTCAGTTGACTACAGTGACGGTTTTGATAAAACATCAAGGAGGGAGGGTTGTGATTTTAAATTTATTGGGCCCCATACCATAATGACATTTATTAAATAAAGGATAAAATTTGTTTATGGTCCTATCATAAATAAATAAACGTAACTTTCAGTTTAGATTTTGAGTGGAACAAAGAATCTTATGGTTATACAACTGTTTTATCTTTGGACAATATTTCTTCAATTCTATAATTAGAACGATAATGTATTTTTTTAACACTAATTCGTCCGGTAATAATATAAAGTTAACACATTATTACATTTTGAATTACTTATAACGTGCCATAAAAAATTAATTTTTCCACGGCTGGTTTTAAATCGTATTTCAAAAGACATTCTTGCCATTATTTGTTATTTGTTTTATATTCTTGCTTACGAATAGTGTACTATCTAAAACACTAAATTACCATCACTCTATTTCTATAGAAGATATACCAATAATTTATTTGTAAATATTAAAATTAGGTTGCAATGGCTTGTTCATGACCTGTACTTGTTGTCGGACTAATTAATAAATACCTAGTGATACCAACAACAATTGCAGCAGTAATTTTTAATTACTTTAGAATCTTGTATTTGCCAACATCTCGAAGTGTATAACGCTTGGAAGGGATCAGTAAGAACGAAATTAATTCAATATTGAATTACAGGAATACTCTAAACACGCCAATTTTTCATACGTTTCAGACCAATAAGCAATGGAAAGTCTGACATACTTCTTAGAAAAATAATTCGTTTGAAAATATTTTGTCGGAACCGTATTTTGTTGGAAAAATAATTCATCGGAAAGTGTTTTTCCGGAACTTTCAATATAATTTCATCATAAGCATGACTGCATGTTATTGTCGTCGGGAGAAAATTATTTTCCGACCAAATACGATTCCGATAACATATTTTCCGACGATTACTTTTCCGAAAAAAAACTTTTTTTACAAAATACGATTCTGAAAAAATTCGTTTCTGACAAAATAAAGTTCCTACAAAATATTTTTCCGAAAAAATACCGTTCCGACAAAATATTTTCCAATATTTTACACGCCCCCGAAAATTATTATTTATTCAAGTAATCATTAAAAGGTATAAATAATTTTTAAAAAAAAACCGAAAATAATATTGGAAAAACGAGAAAATGTAGTAAGTAATGTATGTATTAGCTAAAATATGATGACCTTCTTTTTTTGTGTGCACAACTTTTCTACCACCAATTTTGCTCAGAATTAAGATGATAACACTTTTTCCAAAAGGAAATCTGACTGGAAAGGTACTTTAAGAAGGCCATTTTTTTATTTTCCTAGCAAGTGTGAAAAACCTGGAAAAACATGAGAAAACCAGAAAAAACGGGAAAATAGGTACATTAAACAAAAATTATTAAAGATAATATATAATGCCTACTTGATTATTTTACCATAATATGACATATATATATATATTGTTGACAAAGCATCACTATCAACTGAACTTCGCTTAGAATCGTTTTTTCGTTAGAAATGGTTAATCGTTGCTAACAGATATACATTAAATTACCTATAACAGTTATAGGTGGTTATAGTGGTTGTACCGGTCTCCGTTATTCTGACGTCTTTTTTTATATCCTACCTTCTTATCTTTTCATCTACAACAGCGATAAATTTATTAATCAGATCAGCTTTTATTTTGTAATTCAGTTAAAAATAATTAGATAGAGATAATAATATATAATAATAATAATAATATATAATAGAGATAATAATAATAGAGCTTTAATTTTCAATACTGGTGATTTTTAAGATGTTTATAGAAATTTTTCGATACGTTCTATTTTCAAAATATTATTTATTAAGTATTATGTGGATAAAATTCTGTAATCAAACAGAAATATTTATAAATAAACACGAAGTTCTTTATAATTTGTAGTTGGTGGTTGAAAAAAAAATGCTTTGAGGCTTAAGCGTAAATTCGGTAGTTTTTATAGTTAACAATTTAAGATAAATTTTGACGAAAATCTTAAAGTCTACTGTTTTGTTGTGCAATAGTTGGGATAACTCGGAAAAAAACATTAAAAGAAAACGAATAAATTTAGAGCACTAAAAATTGCATTATTTTAAATTTTTTATTATTTTTATTTGGTTAAAATAATTGTGAAATTGAAATTTTAAAGTATTAAGATTTTCAAAACATTCTGGGGATTTTTAAGCTATTTATAAACTTTTATTTTTATTTATGTTTTCAATTTGTTTAGTTTTTATTTGATTAAGTGTTGGCCAGTTCATTTCAAGGCTAATTAATAATTGTACACTTGTACTTAATAGGGGCAAAAAAATCGAAACGTAATACAATACAATTTATATAGTACTTTTTTTTTTTTATTTAGTCATTCATATATTTCAAATTTGTATGAAAATCTTTAAAGGTTGGATATTTTAGTTGTTTATCCTCAGATATAAGCTAAATTATTTTATGTATCCTACCTTTCAGATTTCCCACATACGACTGTGGCACGGCACACCCATCAACAGTATCAGATATTTGTATGATTGTTTTTTTAAACTATTGTTTACACAGGTAATCTTAATAATATAATTTAAGTTAGTAGGTACCTAATTTCGTTAATATTGGTATTTAGATACAATAAATATATATACAGGGTGTAAGACGAAGATCTGTAACTTGAAATATTTTTTGTTCTGTTCAATATTTTTTAGGAAACTATCAATCGATTCACCAATTTTTTCATGAACAATAATTTTGTTAATGTAGATAAATTTCAAAAATTATAGCAACATAACAGTTCATCATCAGTAAATATTTTAAACATACAATTTTGTGTAAAAATATGTTTCTAAAATGGCTCTCTTAAATTTTGTAAAAACAAATTTTTATTTTTATTTTTTAAAGAATTATAAAATAAAATAATCGTATTGCGTAAGACTCTATAAATTATTACTAGAAAAAAATCTTAAAAATATTAAATATAATACAAGTTATTTCAAGTTTCGGATATTCGTGTTACACTCTATAATATAATATATATATCTATACTCATATATGTATATATTCATAATATATTTGATAAGATTACAAGGATTATCGATTACACACCTGTAGTGGCAATGAATAATTAAGTTTTAACGTTTTCATTTGCTACATATAATTGCAACAAATTAAAACATTTTTTTTTATCTATAAGGCACAACACACGAGTATTAAGCAATATTAATAATAATAATTTTTAATCGAAATACCGAACAATAAATTACACTGATTTGTTCAGTGTTCAAACTTCAATACTTATAGATATAACGTAGGTATTTGTTTATTAATTCAAATAGTACATAAATCATATTTGCTGAAAAATCTATTTTTTAATAAAATATTGACAAGAACATTGAAAATCGATATTAATTTTGATTTATTTAGAACTCGATACAGTCCACAATGGATAGGTAAAAATAATTATATATGTCGATAGGTATAACTGGTAGCTATCTGTTACCTACACACTTACTCATTTAGTTGTATATCTATAATTTTTCAGGTTACTATTAAATTCCAATAAAGTAAAACAACCACAAAATCCACGGAAAAATGCAAATATTTTTGAAATCCTCACATTTAGGTAAGTCAATAAAATTATTTATTTTAGTACACATAATAATATTAGAATTTCCATTATTTAAATCTAGTATATTTGTTAACACATAAACCCATGTTTGGGATCAGTACAGACACATCATGTAGGGGAGACTGGATACGATTGTAACACGGGACAATTATTGCTACACTAGCAATTATTTGCTCCATAACCAATACAAAAACGGAGGTCTTACGGGGAGGGGGGCGATGGGTGGATCGCCTCCCCCCTTGAACTTTATTATACTCGTATAACTACAAAAACTTGATAATATATTTATGTTTTACATTTATTTATGATTAACAATTGTGGTAAAAAAGAGAGAAAAAATCAATGATTTTAATATTTTTTGACAATAATAGGTTTCACTTATTCCGTGATATATCCATTATAATGTGGCGGGGACCAAGGGACGACCAACTAAAATATTATAGACCGATTTTCAAAACAAAATAACCAAAAAAGGACTTTAATTTTGTAATATTACATAAAATAATTTTTTAAATTTAACAAACTATTTTTTTTTTATGACTACTATTTTTAAAGACTGTATTTGATGTGAAAAATATCCCTCCCCCTTGGAATTTGTTAAGGACCGCCACTGGACACACTATAGGATTAGACTAAATGAAGCAAGTAGTATACTAATGAGCAATAAAAGAAAACTTATACAGAATTTAGTAAAAACCAGATTATTATAACTCAATACAAGATAAACTCGTAATCTGAATACAAAGATAAATGTTTTAAGTAAAAATTACAAGTAATTCAAGAAATTCCTGAGGAGCGAAAATAGTATATTAATTGCATCAGATGTGGAATTATCAAAAAAATGGGATAAATACTTTAGTAATCTGTTAAATTTTCTGGAACCCGTAAACACATTTCCATTTGATGACATACAAAGAAATATAACAATATGTCCAGTCCCAACCAAAAAAGAGATTGTAGAATAAATAATACGATTGAAGAACCATAAAGTCCTGGAGAAGACGAAATTGCCGAAGAACTATTAGAGAACAATGAAAATGTATTAACAGAGCATATATATCTACCAATAAAGGAGATCTGGGAAAAGGAGGTGATACCCGAGAATTGGAAAATGGCAATTGTATCTTCAATCTACAAAAAGGATAATAAACAAATGTGCAATAATTACAGAGGTATTACCCCGATAAAAAACAGACATTTTTTATTAAATTAGTAATTTAATCTAGTAGGTAACGAAGAAAGTTGTTTTGTGATCTTTCTTGTAGTTGTTTTAACGACTAGGCAAAACCGAAAAATAACGTAGACAATTTACTAAAATAATTCTTTATTATTTTCATTTTTTTTTTTTTTTTTGTTGTTATAATTCAGTTTAAAATATTCGTAGAAACTTGAATTTTTTATATAAATCTTATATTTGCTTTTTCTAAACATGGTAAAAATTTTCAAAATTGTTGACATTTTAATTTTACGAGATTTGTACGTAATTTTTGTTTGGTAGGTACTCTGCGGATAAAATTCTAAAACTAAACAAAAATGCTTGACAATTTAACAGAAGATTCATTATAAGTTGTATTTAGTGGGCAAATAAAAATTGAATTTAATGTACTTAGTATTTTTTTTTTTTAAGAATTTTAAAATCAAATTTTTTATGAAAACCGTAAATATTACGGACTTTCAAAACATAAATAACCAAAAATCGCTCCGTATCGTTTTTATTTGTGAATGGATTACTTTATCGTTGTCTACAGGTATAATTTAAATAACTTTATATACCTTCACGACTTTTGGCCCTCAACAATCGGCGCAATCGTCCCTATAGTATAAGTACTTTTCTTATAATCATCATTTGTGCAGCAACTCATGAAATTTAAGTTTTAATACTAAGATATTTATAAAGTTATTAAGTTAATTAAATTATGAAAAGTGTGACCAAACAATAATAGTAACAGAAAATATTAATTTTATTAAACATTTTACAATAGTACCGTACCCGTATTATCGTCTCCCCTACATATTACGAGTATTACGAATGGAGTAATTATTAATAAAATATCTTTTATTAATATTATCATATCTCGAATTAAAAAAAATAATTTGAATTCAATAATTTTTGTAAATTTAATACTTAAGTAATTTTTAATATTATATTTATTAGCTGGTTGATTAACCTGTTTAAAATGGGATTGAAAAAAGATTTAGATAAAAATGATTTATATACTCCATTAGAAGAACACACATCATCATTATTAGGAAATGAATTGGAAAAGTAAGATCTTCAAAAATAAATGTCATAATAGAATAAAATTAATTTATATTTGGCTTAAGGAAATGGAGAATTGAACAAGACATTTCATACAAGACAAATCGTAGACCTAGTCTTTTGAGAGTTCTCATTCAAATGTTTGGAGCTAAATATATGTTTTGTGGTTCTTTAATCGCTTTCAACGAACTGATTTTAAAGTGAGAGTTGAATTTAATATTTGATTTATTGAATTAGAAGATTTTTAACAGTCTAAAAAAGTCGAAAATAGTATTGAAATTGGGATACTGGGTAGCTCACTACAGTGGCGCCCAAACTATAATTTAAGTGTAGTAATTACTATAATACATTATATTTTAGTTGGATAATTGGTAATTCCTAGTAATTGGGATAGTTGGGTAAAATGGGTATAAGTTATACTTTTTAGGGTTGGAAAGTATATAATTATACCTGGTAAAAGTATTTGAGATGAGTGGCAGTTTTGAATTTCCAATTCCGCTACACCATACAAATACATTTTGAGTGCCACTGTAAATCAGTCTGCTTTAAAGTAATCACCACACAGTAAGCGATATATCCGGATCTGGCCACCTAATTTTGGGCACTATTTATCAGTCATTAACTGATTTTAATTATTATTTAAAAAACAAAATATTTATCTTAACTTCATTTCACAAATCAAAAGAATACTTCTGCAATGCAGGTATAAAAGAATTTGTTTTTGTGCGTAATTTGTACGGCATCTTATCAAATATTGTGTCAAAAATGTCACTGTATAAATATTTTATGTTCAAAAACATCGTGATAACAAAAATGTCGCGATATAAAAAATACTTAACTAACTAGAAGAACTAACTGAAGACCCGTGGATTGATAGAATTTGTTGAAAAACCAGGCCCTTATTCAACATAAATGTAAGGAATTATTATTCAATAAATTCTTGATATTCCACATTTCGATTGAAGGTTAGCATAACTATTTCAATTAAATGTTCATTTGTCGCAATTATCAATCGTTTATTCGTTATACGTGTATTTACATTGATTTATTTTAAAAAAATATATAAATTCTTAAATAATTAAAAAGTTGAACAATATATTACCGGCGTCGAACTTATAGAAAGAAAAAAAACGCCAGAAATTTACAGTAAAGTAAGTTAAAATACGTCTGAAATGGGTAAATGGGTCAGTAGGTTAGTAGTTATCAATGGGTGCAAAAAAATATTGATTGACGACTACTTCTGTTGAACATCCCACAATTTCCAATACCAATTATAATAAAACTGTTTTTAACTAACTATATAATAAAATGGCGACTACATAATTTAACGTAAGATTTGTTTTAAACTGTAGAGAGGTGGATAGAAATGACACTATAGATAGATAAACAAAAATTGAAAAAGTCTATTGTTAGATATTTAAATATTTCTTATGTAGTGACATTTATACCACAACATTTTTACTGCAAAATACTTGCAATCGGCCACGGTATTTTTACCTCTATTAAATTTGCAGATAAAACTATAGAATTCATAAAAAAAAAAAGATGTATGTGAGTAATTTGTTGGTATATGATAAGTGTTTTAACGGAAAACTAAATCAATAAATCATTAGATTTTTTTTTGTCCATCTTCAATTATAGAATGGCTCAACCACTATGTATTGGTGGACTATTGTCATATTTCAACAGCAATAGTTCTAACAAAACAGATTTTAGGCAAGCATTCATTTGGGCATCAGGCTTTTTATTAGGCATGTTTATTACATCACCTATATTTCATTCGAGTCATCTCGAGATCTTACACTGTGGTATGAAGATGCGAGTGGCCTGCTGCTCGGTAGTTTATAGAAAGGTAAATAAAAAGAAAAACTTATTTAATTGATTATTGGAAATATATATAAATACACTGTATTTATTAATAATAACATATTTATCATTATATGTAGATTTTTGACATAAAAATAAAAAGGAAAATTAATACATGCAAATAGGTACTTAATTATATAATTTTGACGAGTATCATAATAAATTTTTAATTATTTTTAAGTGTTTTTAAAACTAATCACCAACATATTAAAACAAAACTGGGGTAATTTTATAGTTTAATAGATGTGAATTGTATGTTAAGTTAACATGAATTATTTCATTAAACATTAACTGTGGTTTTTATTATTATTTTGAGTTCTTACATTTGCATATTATTTATATTTATATGGTATTAATTGATTTCAATTGCAAAAGCTAATTTTACTAAAAAACGACAAATGATGATTGTTCAATATTGAAACTGAACAAACCAATGGTAGATATTAAGTTTTTATGAGTCTATAGGTACGTGTATTCATCGACAAAAACTATTTCTTAAAATTGAGATACCAAACCAATTTAATTTACCTCAATTATTTAACACATTTTTTGTTCATAATAATCATATCAAATTATTATTGCATAGGCATTACGTTTGAGCCATATCGCGCTTGGTAAAATTACAGTCGGCCAAGTGATAAATTTAATATCAAATGATTTAAATAGATTTGATACCGCTTTACCGGAAATTCAATATTTATGGATTGGTCCCCTGCAAACTATTATGATCACATATTTTGTATGGCAAAAAATTGGGGTTTCGTCATTAATAGGAGTGGCGACATTATTTATTTTTATCCCTTTACAAGGTTTGAAAATATATAATCCATATAATATTTATAATGCATATAGAAACTAAAGTACAATTAACAAAATTAAATAATTTACAATAACCCATGCAATATTTAATTTATTTCAGGTTGGTTTGGAAAAAAAATTGCAGAATTTCGATTAAAGACGGCTAGTTTGACCGACGATAGAGTTCGTTTGATGAACGAAATCATCTTGGGCATACAAGTGATAAAAATGTACGCATGGGAAAAACCATTTGCAAATCTTATAAAACAAGTGAGGAAGTAGGTAGCAATATTTATTAAATAAAAAACAGGTATTGTGTGATATTAAAGTACTTAATTATAAAATATTAATACCATTTAGAAAAGAAATCCAACAAATCAGAGGGTCATTAATTATCAAAATTATTTCAAGGTCATTTCCAGATTTTCAAACGAAATTTCAAGTATTTGTTATGATTTTATCATACGTATTACTAGAAAATTATATATCTGTAGAAAAAGTAAATACTTACATTCAATATATTATGCCAATAAAAATAATGTAATAAGGTAAACATTTTAATATTTATTCCAAGGTATATGTTGTAACTTCTTATTATTCACTTTTACGGTTTACAATGGGATTGTTTTTCTCACAAGCACCATCTCAACTAGCAGAACTTCTAATATCAATAAAACGCATACAGGTTTATAAATAATATTTTCTCTAATATATTTATTATCAAAACTAAAAAATTAAGTGCCAAAACCATAATTGCAACAACCAAATATACAGAATGATTCACTAAGCGTGCTCACTCCTTATTTTTGCATGTATTCAAATTCTAATTTTTGAAATTTTAAAGTGTAATTAGAGCCAATATTTTCGAACACTAAATTTTTCTAGGGAATAACCTAACCGCGTTACACGATAAAATCAGTTTTCTCACAGATTAATCGAATTCAAAAATTATAAAACGCCAAGTACCATGTGCCATGCCACCACATAAATGATACTCCGCTTCTCTCCACCTAACAAAACTATAAGTGAAATATCTCATTAACGAATTGATGGAAATTAAAAATATTAACACCAAAATGTAATTAAAGTAATACTCTGATCTATTTATAAAGTTTTTTTTAAAATAGGTCCTTATTTGAAAATTCAAAGTTGGTATAGCCAAAAGATACTCCTTAAATATTATGAAAAATCTAAGTATTTGAAAATGCTTCAACTAAACTTAAAAAAAAACAATAGCCTCAACTACACTTAAAAATTTCAAAAATCAAAATTTGAATATATCAAAAGAGCACGCTTAGTGAATCATCCTGTATAATAATTGTGTGTTTATACACAGAATTTTTTAATACTCATTGAAAAAGACAGTCAGATGGTGAAGCCTGTGAATGAATTGCATTCTGAACCAAATGAATTATCCATTTTGAATAACAGTGACACAAAAATTGATTTTCAAAATTCAAATAACATTGGCATAGTCGTATCAAATGCTACTGCAAAATGGGCTTATNCATCAATAAATTAAGAAAAAAATAATAAATTATTTGTTCAGAGTTCGTTATTACAAGCGATTTTAGGAGAATTGCCACTTTCCAATGGGAACATTTCTATTAGTGGGGTAGTTTCTTACGCCTCTCAAGAACCTTGGATATTGTCAGGATCTATTTTAGATAATATATTATTCCACTCACCAATGGATAAACAACGTTATAAACAAGTGAAAAATAACTTATAATATAAACTTACATATATAATTTCTGTTATTGTCATTGGAACAGGTCATAAAAGCATGCGCATTAAAAAACGATTTGGAACATTTTCCATACGGCGATCGTACAATAGTAGGTGAAAGAGGTGTAACTCTTAGTGGTGGACAAAGGGCAAGAATAAACTTGGCAAGGTAAATATAACTCAACAAATTAATTGTATTAATTTAATTTATCAATATATTTTAGAGCAATTTATAGACAAGCAGATATTTATTTATTGGATGACCCATTGTCGGCCGTTGATACTCGTGTTGGTAAACATTTGTTTGAAAATTGTATAAAAGGCAAGTATTTATTACATTTATTTGGTAGTAATAATCTACTGATAAATCTATATATTGATGTTTCATTTTCAATATTTAGGTTACCTCAAAGAAAAAACATGTATTCTCGTTACACATCAAATTCAATTCTTGACAAATGTAGATCATATCTTGCTAATGGAAAATGTAACTAATAATTCAAATTTAATAATTTAAATTATTATTTTGTTATTAATTATACAAATTGAATAGCTTTTTTAAAACATTAATTACAGTTGATATTAATTGACAATTTTATTTTCATTCTAGGCAAGTATTATAACTGCGGGTTCCTTTAATGAACTTAAAGACTCTGGTTTTGACTTTTCAAAACTACTTGGATTTCCAGAAGAAACAACTGTAGAATCTTATATTAAATGTAAAAATGCAATTAAAATAAGTGTGGATTCATGCTCTAATATTTCACGGTCTGAAGATAGTATTAAATCTCTTATTAACGGAAATACTGAAAACCCTTATGAAGAAGAAGAAATTCATTCTTCTGGTCATGTTTCGAAAAATGTTTATATATCATATTTTTCTTCATGCGGAATTTTTAAAACAGTTTTCGTATTGTTTATATTTACTTTATGTCAAGTGTTAATTACATTTGAAGATTTTTGGATTAGTTTTTGGTAATATAAACATTATAATCTATCGGGGTGTACACATATTTTATACATTTTAAATACATTGTATATATTGTTGAAGGGTAAATGAAGAAGATGTTTGTCGCAATGAAAATACTACAATTTCACTAAACAGTACTTTAATGTTTCACAACTCATTGGATCAGTGTAATTTATCATCAGATTTTCGATTTATCCGTATAATAGTATATACTAATATTACTGTGGCAATTATACTGGCTATTCTTATGAGAACGGCAATATTTGTATCAGCTTGTACAAATGCATCAATAAATTTGCATAACACTATGTTCAACGCTATAACTAGAACAACTATGCATTTTTTCCACACTAATTCGTTAGGTAATAAAATTAAGTTAATAAATTGCATTTGTATGTATATATAATGATATATATATATATATATATAAAATAATATAAATTTCTTTCTACAGGACGGATTTTGAATCGTTTTTCAAAGGATGTAGGTGCTATCGATGATAGTTTACCAGTAATTTTGCTATACTGTGTACAAGTAACGTAAACTTATAATGCTAAACCGATATTACATTATTTTTATAAATTTATAGTATAACTATAGAATTTGTTTATTGTTATCATTAAAATTAGGGCGCAATGAAAGTTTCGGGAATCATATTTGCTATCGGACTAGTTAACATATATTTAATGATTCCATCAATTGTTGTTATAATACTTTTTTATTATTTAAGTATGTTCTATTCACCGACATCTCGAAGTGTAAAGCGCCTTGAAGGAATTGGTATGAATACAATTATTTTACTATTCTGTTTAATCATTCAATCAAAAATTCAATCTAATTTATCATTTTCTAAATTTAAAAAATTAACATTTACATTAGCACGAAGTCCTATATATGGACATTTGGCTGCATCTATACAAGGTTTAACCACAGTTAGAGCACATAAAACAGAAAACTTTCTCATTCAAGAATTTGACAAACATCAAGTAATATATTATTAATACATTTTTTTATTAAAATAATCATGAAATTAGTAGAAAAATTTAATACTCAACTTAAGTAAAGATATAATAGATACTTTTAGTATTCCATTTTGTTTGTTATCCGAATAATTCTATTATACCTTCGTAATTAAAGTCATATTATGAATTATTAAATTTTTTATTAAAAACCTAGGACTTCCATTCATCTGCTTGGTTTGTGTTTATCTCTATAAATCAAGGGTTTGGTTTTTGGTCTGATTATGTCTGCTTTATTTATATAAGTATTGTCACTTTAAGCTTCTTATTCATGGATAACTGTGAGTTTTAAAAAAATTAAATATAATACATTGTTGTCAATAATATTTTAACTGTCTTTAAGACATTAATGGAGCTTATGTTGGATTGATTATAACTCAAATCATTATCCTTGCCTCAAATGTTCAGTGGGGAATACGACAATTAGTCTCATTAGAAAACGAAATGACCTCTGTCGAAAGAATAATTGAATACTCAAATTCGCCACAAGAACCTAAACTTCAGTCTGTACAGGGTAATATGTTATTATTAAACATAATTAATTCTATTGGTATATTAAAAAATTATTGACACTATTTTATTTAGATAAACCACTTTCAAATGAATGGCCGAGCCAAGGGGAAATTGTATTTCTAAATTTTGGTTTACAATACAGTTCAGATACACCACATGTTTTAAAAAATCTTAATTTTACGATCCAATCAGAAAAAAAGGTAATTAGGGTTTTTTTCAAATATACAGATTTTTATTAAGTGTTTTTTTTCATGAAATTAGGTTGGGATTGTTGGTAGAACTGGCGCTGGAAAATCATCCATAATAGCAGCATTGTTTAGGTTAGCAATTAATGAGGGTAACATCTTTATTGACAAAATAGAAATACATTCACTGGGACTACATGAATTACGTTCAAAAATTTCTATCATTCCTCAAGAACCAATTTTGTTTTCTGGAACCATGCGTACAAATTTAGATCCCTTCGGTGAATACCCTGATCATATACTCTGGGATGCTTTAGAAAAAGTATTAACAATGATCTGAGATTTTTATACTTGTTATTATAATTTACGTTTATTTTATTTTTATCTATAGATAGAACTAAAAAAAACTATTGAGAATTTACCCGGTGGTTTAAATACAAAAATGTCCGAAAGCGGTTCCAATTTCAGTGTCGGCCAAAGGCAACTAGTATGTTTGGCTAGGGCAATTATTCGAAATAATAAAATTCTCGTTTTGGATGAAGCCACAGCAAATGTTGATTTACAGTAATAAAAGATATAAATCTATAATAAGTTTATAGATATAATAAAAATAATTTCATTAATCTTTTTAATTTCTCAGAACTGATGCATTAATTCAAAATACAATACGGAACCATTTTAAAACGTGTACAGTATTGACGATTGCTCACCGCTTAAACACTGTTATAGATTCTGACAAGATTATTGTAATGGAAGCAGGGCGTATGGTAGAGTTTGATCACTCATATAATTTGTTAAAAAATAAAGATGGATATTTCTACAAAATGGTAGAACAAGCAGGACAGTCCACAGCTAATTCGTTAAAACGTATAGCTGCAGAGGTAGAACTTATAACAGTATCATATAATATTGTTCTTAATTTTATGTTTGATATACGTTTATTAATTGTATGTTGTTTTTTTTTAGAGCTACAAATCTATAAAGACAAAACTGTTGGTGTGATTGAGTATGAAATACGAGGTGTGACTATTAAATAACGAGACTGGTTACGAAAAAGTGTTTTATTATAAAAGTTATTCTACATTCAAATGCTCCCCTTCAATATACTCCCCTCCCCTCTTCACACACCGTTTCATTCGTTTCTTCCATTGCTCGAGGCAGTGCTGGAATTCTGTTTTCGTAAGACCATTCAGGAGTTCCGCCGATTTTTGTTTCACCTCTTCCATCGACTCAAACCGGATTCCTTTTAAGGCAGACTTTATCTTCGGAAACAAGTAAAAGTCGCAGGGTGCCAAGTCGGGTGTATAAGATGCGTGTTCGAGTACTGGAGTGCCTTAAAATAACGCTTCACAGACAGCGCGTTAAGAGCAGATGCGTTATCCACGACTTGTTTTTCTACAATATCGACCGTTTCTTACGANGATGCCGTTGATATCGAAGAAAACGGTTTTGAATTTGGATTACGACTGAATTGGATTCCGATGCACTCTCGACCTTCAGAAAATAATTTATTCCACTCAAAAACACGCGCCCGAGATAGGAAATCCTCACTAAAGGCCTCTTTTAACAACTTATAGCACTCAGTTGGAGTTATTTTTAGTTTAACGAGAAAATTTTACGTTTATCCGTTGCTCATGTTTTTCGTTACACATGGTTTTCGGCATGAGAAAAAAATACGTTCGTTTCAAACCACTACTGCACAAATACTATAATAGTGACGAAAACATGTTTTGGTACGTGCATAGATAAGATATCTAGATACCCAACGCATTACTCGTTTTTTTCACTACCCATCTAGGGCGCCCTCTAGGCGAGCAGTCTCGTTAGTTAATAGCCTCACCTCGTATATTGGTGTATCATAAGACAATTGTAACAGAACATTATAATATTTACCTACATTTAATTTATTGTAAACCACATTATACAAATTGTATATCATTTCATTTCTCTTAAATTATTGATAAAATGTCATTCAAACTAACCCTTACAGTATTCATTAGAATATTAGTTTATAATACTTAAATGTAAAAAGACGTCCTAGAATAATGGGGACGGGTTCAGTCACTGTTATAGATAATTTAATGTGTACCTGTAAGCAACGATAAACCACTGCTTACGAAAAAACGATTCTGAGCAGAGTTCAGTTAAACAGACAAAGTCTCCTAATTGGCAAAACGGATCAGATAATATAGGTATAAAATTAAATTTTAAATAGAAAATGTGTCTACCCTGACAGACCTTCGTATAGAAAATACCAGGAGCGTATTTACCGGAGACATGTGAGGAAGGTGGTCAAATACCCCCATTGTCTTTTTTTAGATTTGGATCTATTGGTTTTACTATGATATTTTTTTTTCTGTCTATAAGCAACTTTACGAATGTGAACAATTTTCTAAAGGAAATTTAATTTTAATTTTTTGATTTTCCAAGATGTTTTCATAATAATTAAGAAAAACCGGAAAAAAAATTAATGCAAATATTTATGACACGCTATGGCGTTACTGGTTTCATTATTTTTAATTTTTGCAAATTAAGTTTTCTACCAGAAATATTAGTCCAATAGAAAATCGACATTAATCTTTTTTGGTTCACTTTTACCTTTCCAACTTCTCACTTACAACAGTATTACACCCATCCCCATTATCAGGTCTTTTTTTTTACTTTAAGTAAGCATACAAGTTTCTATGTAGATTAAAACAAAACTTCATCCAAGGTAGGTATGTGTTGAAATTTCACAACCAAAACATAAAAAATTACTTTAATAGAAATTCAACTATAATAAAAGTACTTATATAAAAAAAAATTGTTTTTATTCGTATTTTTAAGTTAAAACTTCAAATCACGCTAAAATTTATTTTATTCTTATATAATAACTTTGATTAAAATTATACTATAGTATTCGATAATAACACAATAAAAATAATTAATCGATTATTACAGTCCAGAGCATTTTTAATATTGTAGTTACGATATGAACGAGTAGATAATTTTATTTCCGCGGTTTATGATTATTCGTATTCATATTGATCTCACAAATACATTTATACATTAATAAACATTTTTTATCGAAATTCGATAGTTCCGGTACTCGGTAATGATAAAACTATCCGAACCATCAGACGGATATCAAACTAAAATATTTTGATGATATTAAAATTAATTAGTTTTTATTCAACCGTCCCAGAGATCTCTGTAAACACAATCATTGGTAAGTAGGTTAGTATTTTAGTACTAGGTAAGTATTTTAATTTCGTTATTTTTTGTCACTTCAAAATTCAAAATCTAATAACAACTGATAAATAAAATTAACAATTTTCACTACTTAATTTATGCATTTTCTTTTTACATTTATAATTTAGAAATAAAACGTTGAAAATAAATAATTATACATTTTGAAACATTAATAAATCAATACACACGTAATGGATACGTAAGTCGTCCGTTATATTATAAATATATTGTTATCTAATAAAAAATTGTTACTTTCTTTGGCCAGATAATGTTGATAAAACAAAATGGCATCAAAATCCAAAATTTAGCTTTACTATATAAAATACTTAAATTAACTGATAGTGTAATCCTTCTAGGCCAGTATCCTAGCTGAGGGTTCTTATCAAGATCTACAGACGTCTGGTTATGATTTTGAAAAATTAATTGGATTTCAGAAGAAACATTTATTAATTCAGATTTTGAACATAATATTAAAAATAACATAAATTGTGATACTATTTCATCTTTAAATAGTTCTCATTAAAATATTACAACATCTGTTGATAAATTTAAACTCAGTGAAAAACTCAGGGAACCTACTGGAGGAGCTAAAATTCGTTTTACTGGACGTATTTCGAAAAATGTATATTTATCATATTTCTTTGCCAGTGAGAGTAAATTCAAAATATTTTTTCTTGTATTCATATATATTTTAAGCCAAATATTAATAACTGGAGGAGATTATTGGATTAGTATTTGGTAACCTACATATTATAATTCTTGTATGGAAATGTTTAAATGTTGTAATATGTAAACTAATTTTTGGGTAACTATGGAAGAGTATCATTTTGGCAAAGGTCATCATACAGTTCTAGTAAATGATACTTCAATGGTTCACATTTCATGTGATCTAGAAATAATTAAGCCGATAACTTTCCGGTTTACTTGTATAGTAGTATATACCATTATTACAGTGTTAATGATTGTAGCTATTATAATTAGATCCGTTATTTTTGAATCAGTATGTACGTCTGCATCAATAAATTTACATAGCAGGATGTTCAATGCTAAAATTAAGACTACTCTGTATTCTTTTAACACAAATTCGTCGATTAAAAATATAAATTACCCATTTTTTTTATGAAAAATGTAATGTTTTATTTTTCTTTAGGACGGGTATTTAATTGTTTTTCAAAAGATATAGGAACTATAGATAATTACTTACCCGTGATTTTATTAGGAAGTTTACAAGTGAGTTAAATTATCAAAGTTATAATATTTCATTTTATACTCATGTTACACAATGGCTAATTTATTTAAAATAGAATTTGATGACTTTGGTTGGTTCATAATGAAGACAATATTTAAATCGATGATACAAATATACAGGAGTTTGGACTAAAAAAATTACGCTCTAAAATCTCCATTATTCCTCAAGAACCTGTTTTGTTTTCTAAAACCATGAGAACGAATTTAGATCTATTTGAATAATACTCAGATCATGTAATTTGAAAAGCATTAGAAGAAGTAATTATACTGCTAGTTTAATTACTACAAAAGTTTAAAAATATTGATATTATATAATATTTAATTTTAATTACGCGTATTATTGTGACATTGTAATAATTATTATGATTTTTTTCTCCTGTTTTGGTGAAACTCAAAGTTACTATTGAAAATATAAACGGTGGTTTAAATTCGGAAAGTGGTTCTAATTTTAGTGTCAGCCAAAGACAATGAGTGTGTTTAGTCAAAGCTATTATTAGAAATAATAAAGTTCTGGTTTTGGATGAAGCCACTGCAAACGTCGATCCACAGTAATATTATTATAAATTATACACCAGAATTACAATAAAAAAATATACTTGAGATAATTAAAGGTTCCCACTCACCTCCCTCTAATTTTCCTAACGTTTGACACGATAAATACATTGTGTAAGTACACACATAATGTGAAATCTTAGTCATCGAAATTTGTATCTGCCCGAACCCTACAAATCTTCAAAATGTCCCGTTCTTATGAATCCTGTTAGGTGTACAACTTATATAGATTTTAATTGGTATGCATTTGTTTAGAACTGATTCTTTAATTCAAAAGACTATTAATAAATTCTGAACGTGTACAGTACTAACAATTGCTTATCGCTTGAACACAGTTATAGATTCGAATAAAGTACTCGTTATGGACTCCGGTATTGTCGTGGAATTCGGCCATTCGTGCGATTTATTGAAAAATGAAAATGGATATTTATACAAAGTGGTAGAACAAACAGGATGGGCTACAGCTAGTTTGTTAAAATGTAAAGCGACGGAGATAATACTTTTTTAATGTTTACTGTTATGAAACCTACATAATATTATTGTTATATACTAATATTATAATATTGTATCTGTTTGTGTGTAGAGTTATAAATTTATGTAGATTCCGAAGTTTAGTCGATGGAACTCATCATTGGACAATGGAGTTAAATACGGAGTTAAATGGAGTTAATAATAATAACTTACAAACCCTGTTAGTTTCTAAATTATGCCTATTGGTGATTTACATACATTATTGATATGATATTATGCAGGAATAGGTAGGTACTCTGTATTCTTGTAAAAACCTACTTAAACATTTTTAAATTAAGAACAATTAACTATTATGTATTAAGATGTTTGATAAGTACATATAGATTTATATTGATTAATAGTCAATTATATAGTGTCTATATTGAAATAGTATACCGGGTGGGTACACTCGTTCAAGTGTAAAAAATGAATTAAAATTACCTGTACGCACAGGCAAGATTGATTCTCCTACACCCCCCCCCCCNGGTACACTCGTTCAAGTGTAAAAAATGAATTAAAATTACCTGTACGCACAGGCAAGATTGATTCTCCTACCCCCCCCCCCCCTCGCAGAAATCTGTAAAATTAGTTTAAATGCTTAATTTTGTTTACTTAGGAACTTCCCCAAATTTGTTTTGTGTATGTACCTGCACCAGGTATTATTAATATTAAAATCTTACTTTTGATATTTTAATTACTTGTATCTACAAATTGCAAAATAATATAAAGGTAATTAAAATTAAAATTAAGCATTTTAAATTCTAGAAAAATATCGTTTACTTTCAACGAAAATATACCTATCTACGTATTCACGTATAATTTAGGTATTTGACATCACAATTTAAATGGCTGTCAAAAATATCGTTTTATTCACATAATTGTTTTATAATATTACGTGATAATTTCAATAAAAATCATATTTACCTAACAATAACTCCTATACATATGGATTTAAATTATCAGAAAATAAATATTGTCTTAACATTAAATTTATAACCTAATTCAAATCGTGTAATCATACCATTATTAGGTATAAGTGTAACGTCCTCAAGCGTATTGTCTAACCTAATATTTTAGTAGAGGGTAAAAATAGTAAATAACTTATGTTTTTGTAATCAATCAAAAATGAAAATAATAATTATAATAATAATACGTTAATACAGCCTTGCTTAGATGCTCTTGACGATACCATAAACCTAGGGAGATAAACATACCTATAATGTATGTAGATAGCCAGTGCTGTATGTCTTGTGAAAAATCCAAAATTTCACAAACGAACAAAACATATTGATGTAAGATATCCTTATATTAGAGAATAATATGCAGAAGGAAAGTTCATGTAGGAGCTTGGAGTTCATGAAAAGCAAAAACTAACTTGCAGATAAAATGGCGATCCCAGGGCGATATCAACTTTGGTTTTTCAAATGAAAACCTACATTGAAAATTCCATAAACAGATGTATTATTAATCTTTAAAATTAAAAATATTAATACAAATTTTAAATGCTTATTATTTTTTAAATAATTAATATCAGCTTTAAATTTTCAATTTTATATAATTTTAGATTATGAGTGGAGCGAAGAAGCTTATAGTTTTACAATGATATTTATTTTATTTTTTATTATGTTTTTTTAATCTATGAACAATTTTTGTACCAGCAATTTCGCTCCTATTTATAGGACTTTTACTAAAAGTAATTCTGACCGGAAAGGAACTTTAAAGATGTTATTTTTTGATTTTCTCTGGAGTTTTCTCAATATATTGGAAAAACCGAAAAAAAAAACGGTAAAATAAGTACAATATTAAGCAAACATTATTAAAGAAAATATATATTGTACTTATATTACCATAATGTGACGTACATATTGTTGACAAAGCAACACTATCAACTGAACTCCACTCAGAATCGTTTTTCGTTAGCAATGGTTTATCGTTGCTTACAGATATATATTAAATTTCTCATCTACTACCTTCCCAACTTCTCACCTAAAACAGTGGCCCACCCACGGGGTCTAGAACACCTCACCGTGACTGTCTCAACGCCACCAACTCGCTGCCGTACATCTAAAACCTAACCACAACCTAGCAATTTAACTAACGACTATACTGCAGTACACAATGTGTAAAGCTACAATCTACAGTCTGTAAAATAATTTCAATAGAAATATGTACAACCAGTACTTTTTTTTTAAGGGAGGAAAAAATGGGTGTTAAAACCTGTGACCAACCCCCCCCCCAAAAAAAAAAATAAAATAACAAAAGATAACGATAAGATTTTTAACGATTGAAGGATAAAACAATGATAATAAAACCACAGATATATAACTCTTTTATAAATCTTTGGATAAAACCTTATAACCTATATTATCCAAATTAGTTATTACTTGCATGTTTTATAACAATATTTATGATGATTACAAAAAAAAAATGTGTAAATTTACAATTTATAAAAAAATAAATACAATTTTTGTTGTATTGTTTTAGTATATAAAATAAAAAGTCGGGTTTTTTTTAATACATATAAATTAAGTGTATGTATAGGTATCTAAATTCAATAATATTTTTAATCTAATTTTATTTGCTATTTTTTCTATTTGTCCCGGATTCGCTTTATGAAATTATAACAACCCTACGAATAAATACTTTCTATACCACGCAATTGTTTGCCCTAACATAAAAAAATCTAAATACTATTCTACTACGGGAATAAAGTAATTTTCACATACCACGTTGATCTGCAAAACAGCTTGAAGTTCATCTGAAGATTATCAGCTGTAATTATATGATAATAATATGATAGTAATATGATAGATGAATTAAAAATATAGGTTTGGATAAATTGTTATCTAGGTATACGGAGTGAAATATAGATATATGTGGGTTTCAATTAATCGTGGCAATGTGTACACTTAAGCAACTTACCCGAAGTAAACGTGAATTCTCAATATACGACACATAAAACGCATAAATACTTAATTATATAATGTAATTTTAACAATTCATACCTTTATTATAATTTACATTATTTTTATAACATACCTATTGTAATTTGAGGTATTTGAAACTAATTAATTTAATTAATAATAGGATATTCTGCTTATATAGCTTCTCCGCGATTAATAATTAATATTATATTTTGGTTATTACTACCATCATTAATAATAATATTTTGTAGATTCATGATTAATAATGGAACAAAAACAGGATGAACAATTTACCACTCATTATCAAATAATATCGCAAGCGATAATTTTTCAGTAGATAATAATTCAATAATTTAAAATTAAATCAAATTCCATTATTTCTTTGATCGATTTTAATTCCTACTATACCTACCTACTTTTAATTTTATCATTACAAGTATTAGCTTGAGCTATTACAATATTATTAAATAATCGGAATTTAAATACGTCATTTTATTATCCATCAAGTGGTGATGATCCTATTGTAGATCAACATTTATTTTGATTTGTTGACCAAGTTTATATTATAATTTTATCATTATTTGGATTGATTTCTCATATTATTAGACAAGAAATAAATAAAAATGAAACCTTTGAAAATATTAATATAATTTATGCAATAATTTTTTAATTATTATTATTTTAAAAGAATATTTACATACAATATTAAAAATTGGTTTATTAGAATTTATTGTATAAGCTCATCATATATTTAAAATTGGGATAATAATTGTAGATATACGAGCCGAAAATTATGTGTAACCATTGGTATGTCTACCATTAATAACAAAAAACGATTCGAAACAAAGTTTAGTTTGACATGTTAAGTTTACGTGTTTAAAAGACCGTAATATTTACGATTTTCGTTAAAATTTAATTTTAACTTTTACACATAAAAAAAAAAGCTGATACTAGGGATGGGAGTGGCCACTATTGTAGATGAGAAGTTGGAAAGGTAAGATACAGAAGGTTATTTCACTTATATATAAACAACGATAAGCCATTGCTGACGAAAGACGATTCCGAGGTTATACATAATTTCGATAACACATAATTTGAAGTGCCATAATTTTTTTTTTGCAATTTTAGTTTAAATTTGATATTAAAACACTTATAAAAAAAAAAACATAGGATGATTTTGGAAATTTTACCACGTCTAGGTAAGTCTAATATAATTATTATTACCTAGTCTCAAGTCTCTAAATGTATTTATAACCGAATTACAGCAAAAAAACTAACAAACATTAAAATTCCTTAAAGCTCAATAGTGGCTCAAAAGTTTTAGCGATAAAACCGTAAAAAAGAAAATCAAAAAGACAATAAAAAAAGGTATCTTGTGATTTTTCGATTAAATAATTTTTTCTGGTAGAAAACGTCGTCCGTGTTTTTATAAAATATGAAATCGTGAAATTATACGTTTTTTCCCACTTAAGTGCTATTATTTAAAAAATGGCGCCAAAAATCAATGAAAAATCGTAGCAAGTTTACTAAGAAAAAACCTGTCCAAGGACTAGAACAAAGAAAAAAAAGAAGAAATAAATAGCATTTTAAAACCAATAGCTCCTTTGCTACGCTTGGAATCTAAAAAAACATACATTTTAACTGACTATTTTAAATTATATAAAAAATAGAATTAATTTATAATTACAATAAACCTATCGACGTGACGTACAATTTAGGTATTTGACATCACAATCAAATTAAGCATGGAATTAATTTGAATGGCTGTCAAAAATATCGGTTCAATTACGCAATCGTTTTATAATGCCGCGCGATATTTTCAGTAAAAATCATATCTACCTAACAATATAACTCCTTCTATACATATGCATTTGAAATTATCAACAAGTAAATATTGTTATAACATTATAACCTAATTCGAATCGTGTAACTTAGTTACTCTCGACGATACCATAAACCTAGTCCATAAAGTATATAGTGATAGTTTCAAGAAAATATTATATTTTAACGAAGTAAACTTCCCTACATTAACACAATAAAGGTAATTCGTTTATATTTATTAAAAAATCTATCGTAATATTTAGATTATTTAAATTTGAATTAGTATACCTATATGAAAAGAACTGAAATATTTAAACTAAATTAAAATTTATTTTATTGTAATATGTTGAGCTATTCCTTTCAAAAAATGATAATATACGTTTAATTATAACACAAATTTTAACTCATAATGTAATAATAGTTAATAATAATACATAAATAAAGTACCTGCAAAAAAATAGTTTGTTAAACGGGGGATGGTAAACTCCTATAAAAGTAAATAATCTCTTACACTGACATATTGTTAGCTCATACAAAAGATTACATTAATATAAGGAATCGCATCGAAAATTCTCGAACATTTCAATAACATATAAATTATTTCCGTAAATTGGAAACACAACAATCTCTACCTTTTATTTTTGTAGTTTATAACTGAATTTTATTTATTTTAATGTTTTGCTTTTGACTTTGTAGTTTATGACTGATTTTTACTTATTTTACTTTTTACAACTTTACAACTAAGTGTAGGAGTTAACACTATATCAATGTAAGAGATTACCTACATTTGTAAGAGTTACCACCCTACTCTATTTTTGATAGAAAAAAATGCAAAAAAGGTCCATGTAGGAGATTACACCGTCTATTTTTGGCGGGTAAAAAGAGATTATGTATAAGTGTACACTATGTTTTAAATACACAAGTAAAAAGGACATTTTTGTAGGAGTTTACATATAGCCAATTATACATTTGGCCTTAAAGTGCTTAAAGAACACTATTGTTACGCCACTGCAATCTCTTTGATTACTAGACTTAAATTATTGCAATAATAATAATAATTTAAAATAATGTGTTTCGAGTGGTCACGGAAAAGTAGTCATAGATACTTCTGTTTAATTATTAAGTACCTGTATGATGCAGTATGTTAAATTTACCAACCCATATTCATTAGTTTTTCACTAGGCAATTTATATCAAAAACGTAATCTAGTGAGGCATAAATAATTATTATTGTCTCCATAAATTCATTAAAAAAAGACGTCCTAAGATAATGGATACGGGTGCAGCCACTGTTATAGGTAATTTAATGTATATCTGTAAGCAACGATAAACTATTTCTAGCGAAAAAACAATTCTGTGCGCAGTTCAGTTAATAGTGATACTTTGTCAACAATATATATGTCATATTATGGTAAAATAATTAAATAGATAATAAATATTTTCTTTAATCATATTTGTTTAATATTGTATAGATTTTCTCATGTTTTTTTCGATTTTTTCCACTTATTGAGAAAACTCTGGGAAAATCGAAATATTATCTCCCTAAAGTACCTTACCAGTCAGATTTCCTTTCAAAAAAGGGCTATCATTTTAAATCGGAGCAAAATTGCTTGTAGAAAAATTGTACACAGAAAAAAGGCCATAATATATTTTTACTAATACCTATATGTCGTACATTTTCCCGGTTTTTCCCAGATATTATGAAAACCACTTGGAAAATTAAAAAATGACCTCCTAAAAGTACCATCTGGACAACATCCCCTTTCAGAAATGGTACCATGCGTATATATCGATTCAGATTTATGGTCGAATTTTCGTACACACGAGAAAAAAATAAAAATAATAATAAACATTCTAGTAAAACCAATAAAATCTTTGCTACACTCAAAATCTAAAATTTATCAATATTTTGATTTTTTTTTTTAATTATGATTTTTTGCTTTGCTACAAAATTAAATATAATATAATGCTACTATACAAGGATATTATATTAATTGTTACCAATATATTATATAATATAGTTTAGAAGGAATACACTGAATATAAAAAATGATTAACAATTGTTTTGAAACCGTATAATAATTTGTGGAAACCCAACATGGAAAGGTAAGTCAAAATAAATAAAAATACATATGGTTGCTAAATTTAATTTGTTTTGCATTTATAGACTACTATTTGATTCTCAAAAAGAAGAACGACCCAAACATCCAAGAAAACATGCGAATATTTTTGAAATACTCACGTTTAGGTAGATAAAACGCTAAAATAATTTATTTGTATGTAATTATCATAGTTATTTAACTACTCAAAGATTAAATCTTTGAATGAATCTATAAATATTTCACTATTGCAGTAAAATAACCTCAAGATGACATACAATGCTACGGGTTCTGCAAAGGATGTGAAACATAGGAGTAAGTCTGTTCAGATAAAGTAGACAGAAGCATCAGGTGTTTTATGTGGCTAAAGAATTCCAATAGGACTTAAAGATAAGTTTTTCAAAAGTGTGGGTGAAACCAACTATAGTCGAATATATTGTATGATTTGGAATTTTGGGCAACAGACAGAAAAATAGAATAGAAAATGAGTGTAGCGGAGATGAAAATGCTTAGGTAGATGAATAGAGTCACGAGATTCATAGGATAAGAAATTAATAGATTAGAGGTAGCTTAGGCGTGGCTTTCATAGAAGACAAAATAAGAGAAATAGACTGAGATAGTCATGTTATGAGGAGAGAAGAATCTGAAGCAATAATAATTGTAACGTTATAAGGAAGAAAGGGTGATCGAAAAAGAGATATTTGGGTGTGATTAATGGTGACTGACCCTAAATAGTTGGGATAAAGGTGAAGGAGAAGAAGAAGACTATCGCAGTGAAATGTTGGTACTACACACAAATTATAAATTTTATTTTATTCATTTTATTTAAAAATTCATATTAATATACTCGTAATAAACTGACTGATCTAATTAGAAAAATAAATTTGCATTCGTATTAATTTGGTTGTTAATTGATTTTTAATTTTACATATCAATTTTTTTATTATATTATGATTATAATCAATATTTTACTATTTAGTTGGTTACTAGACCTATTCAAAATAGGAAAACAAAGAGATTTAGAAGAAAAAGATTTGTATAAAACATTAGAAGAACACTTATCGTCTCCATTGGGCAATGAATTAGAAAAGTATACTATTTTGTATTGTAATATAATATGTATACTAATATATTAATTTATATTTTAACTCCAGTAAATGGAATACAGAATTGGCCATTGCATGTAAGAAAAAACGTAATTCTAGTCTGTTAAGGGTTTTGATTCGAATGTTTGGAGCTAAATATTTGATGTATGGTATTATACTAGCCACCGATGAAATTGTTTTAAAGTGAGAATTAAACAAAAAATAAATATAAATTAAATTAACTACTATTAACTCGACAAATTAAATTTTGTTATGAAATAATTTCAATTTTTTAATAGTAGGAATATAGGTGTATTATTTTATTTGTAGACAGTATCAAGTATAAAAATTGTATGGTGACAAATAATAAATCAAATAATAATACAAATAATAATCCTTTAAATTTTACACGTATTTAAAAATGCGTAAAAATTTGTAAATTATCGTTTTTTCAGAAAAAGGTTTTTCAAGTTACTTAACTAAAACATTCTGATAGCGCGATTTATTTTCTGAAAATTGTACACGTAAAATAATATATAATTTAATTAATTAATGCGTATTCGGAGTATTATGAAATGTGTATTATACAAATATATAAATACATATGTAATGTGTACTATTGTTTAGAATGGCTAACCCTCTATGTATTGGCGGACTCTTAGCATATTTTAACTCCGACGAATCTAATAAAACTAATAAACAATACGCATACATTTGCGCATTCGTTCTGGTGTTTAACATATTCATATCGTTGGTTTTATACCATTCGACCCAAATAGAAGTCCTTCACTGCAGCATGAAGATTCGAGTGGCTTGCTGTTCAGTAATTTATAGAAAGGTAAATAAAATCCTTTAATATATAATAAAATTAATCATGTATAACTTATATCTATTTATATTCTGGAAAAACGAAAAACAAATTTAATTACTCATTTTAGATAATATAATTAATTACAAGTTACACGTCATATTCCATATTATTATGATTTATAATGTTCAGTGATGACTGATAATATACAGAAATGTACCTTTATTACAATTTTCGACTTGCGTACCTTTATGAAGTCGGTCCTACACAACTAGTGAACTAAGCCAATTATGTGTTTATAAATATTGTCCTCGTTAATGGTCATATTTTTCAAACGACTCTTATAATTTAATAATTAATTACTAGTACCAATGTTGGTGCATACTTTGTTAATCATTGACTACAGCTCCCAGACAACTTATACATTTACACAAATTTCCAATGGCATACAAATCGATACTTAGTCAGCCATTTAACAATTCGTGAGGAAGATCCATAATAAACAATGTCTGTTCTTTAAAATGTGCATGATTTACCAACAGTGAACGGGAAACGACCAATGATCAACAATTAAACAAGTGTGTCCTACTAAGTATAACTTACGGCTGGTCAGTAGTTAACATTTGCTAGTCATGTAGAACCAAATTTATTCACATTCATAAATAGTTAAAATTAATGTTTTTATAATATTTCAAACAACAAATGAAATATTATACAATAATTGTTGTGTCTAGGCATTACGTCTGAGTACCACAGTCCTTGATGGAACTCCAGTCGGCCAAATGATAAATTTATTATCAAACGACGTTGGTCGATTTGATATAGCTTTAGGGTTTCTTAACTATTTATGGATTGGTCCTCTGCAAACTATTGTGGTCACGGTTTTTTTGTGGCAAGAAATAGGAGTATCGTCAATGGTTGGAGTTGCATCATTGTTTGTATTCATTCCATTGCAAGGTAGGGATACGAAAATTAAATACTAACTTACAAATTATAGAAATATAATTGAATTATTTTTTGATGCAATATGAACCTGCGTTAACGATTCACAGGTTGGTTAGGCAGAAAAATGTCTGAATACCGAACAAAGATAGCTAATATCACCGACGAGAGAATACGGTTAATGAACGAAATCATTTCGGGCATACAAGTAATAAAAATGTACACTTGGGAAAAACCTTTTGCAAATCTTATAGAATATATAAGGAGGTAAGTATACTTATACTATGCTGTTTTTTTTCTGTAATATTTTGTTAGTTTATTAGACGATATTGTGAGAATTACTTTTATTACTTCTATTAATATCGTGAAAATATCAAAAACATATTAATTTAGTGTACAAATTACAAATTTTCGTTTTTAAAATATGGAACAATATCATAAAATAAATGTTTTTATTTTGTTAATAGTGATTTTATTAAGTGAATACGACATATTATTAACATAATATTTAAATTAATAACTTTAAATTTTATTATAGAAAGGAAATTCGGCAGATTAGAGGATCATCAAATATCAGAGGAATTTCTTCACTGTTCGCAGTAATTCAAATTAGATTCATACTATTCATTACCATTTTATCTTACGTGTTTCTTGGAAATTATATATCTGTGAAAAAAGTAAACTTCTACTATTTACGAACTAATAAGGATAATTGAACACAATGCTTATCAGTTTTTATGGTTCTGTTAGATCTATGTTGTAACATCTTTTTATAGTCTTTTGCTGCCAACAATGACAATATTCTTCTGTCATGGTTTGGGACTACTAGCGGAAGTGTTAGTATCTGTTAAAAGAATACAGGTAAATTAATTTATTTCCATATTTTATTTTTTATTATTTTAATATTAACTAATATTTAGTTATAATATTAATAATGTACAACAAAAATATGTACAGCATTTTTTACTTCAAGAAGAAAAAAATAATCAAGTACAAAACAATGTAGAACCAATTAATAATGATCAGAAAGAATCAAATATAATTAATGAAGATACAAAAAAAAAAATTACTGTAAATTCATATAATTCTGAAATAGTAATTTCAAAAGTAACGACTAAATGGGCAATCTATCAACCTGTTAACTGTTTAGAAAACATAAATCTCACTATAAGATCCGGCCGATTGGTTGCAATCATTGGTCCTGTGGGAGCTGGAAAAGTATAAACGATTAAAAAATGATAACATCATTAAGGTTTGAACATGGAAATATTATTACAGAGTTCATTGATACAAGCTATTTTAGGAGAATTACCACTACACAAAGGGTCAATTTCCACGATTGGCGTAGTTTCATATGCATCACAAGAACCTTGGTTATTTTCTGGATCTATTCAACATAATATTTTATTTAACTTGTCAATGGATAAACTACGTTATGAACAAGTAAAAAATAATTTGCCAGCCAAAGTTATAAACTACGCTAGTCACCAATACTTATGTTTTTCGAAATGTGTTAAGGTTATAAAAGCATGTGCACTAGAAAATGACTTGGAACAGTTTCAGTATGGCGATCGAACAATTGTGGGTGAAAAGGGGGTTACCCTAAGCGGTGGTCAAAGGGCAAGAATAAATTTGGCTAGGTATTTAATATTAAAAAAAAAAACAGTTTTTATATTGTTTCTAATAAAAAAAAAAATGATTTCAGAGCAATATATAAACAAGCTGATATTTATTTACTGGATGATCCTTTTTCTGCCGTTGATACTTGTGTTGGAAAGCATTTATTTGAAAAATGTGTTAAAGGTATATACTAATTATTATTATTATTACTATTATTATTATTATTATTATTATTATTATTATTATTATCATTTTCAATCTGCAGATTACCTCAAAGAAAAGACGTGCATTCTTATTACACATCAAATACAATTTTTGACAAAAGTAAATGAAATTGTTCTTATGGAAAATGTAATTAAACATTAAATATAAGTTAGGGATAACAACCATATTTATTTTATAAATTTTAATAAATCATATTTTTTCTTCCAGGGTAGTATATCAGCTAAGGGATCTTATCAAAAACTCCAGTCCTCTGGTTTTGACTTTACAAAATTACTCGAATTTTCCGATGAAACCAAATTTGATCGTATTAATGAACAAAATGAAAATAATAGAAATTTTGAATCAAATTCCATTTTATCCATTCGTGGTTCTAACGACAGTATTAGTCATTTATCTATAGATAAATATAATCTCGATGGAGATTTTCCACAACCTAACGAAAATACTGAAATCCGTTCTTCTGGTCGTGTTTTAAAAAATGTTTATATGACATACGTTACTGCTGGTGGTAGTATCTGTAAAATTGGATTGCTTTTATTCGTTTACTTTTTATGTCAAATACTGATAACTGGCAGCGATTATTGGATTAGTTATTGGTAAAGTGTATACAATTTTATTTAATACGTTCGATAAAATGTTTAACGTTTATTTAAATATGTAAATGTATGTTTAGGGTAAATAAAGAAGAATACGCCTTTCGTCAAATAAATATTAGTATACTTGTAAACGAAACATCTGCAATGGTTAACGATACATTTAATCTCATAATCATACCATCCGACGATCGCTTTACTTGTATAATGGTTTACAGTGTTTTGATTATTTTAATGATAGTAATTAATATTATTAAATCCTTAATAAATGTATCTGTTTGTATGAGTGCGTCAATCAATTTGCACAATACCATGTTCAACACTATAATTAGAACTACTATGTCTTTTTTTAACACCAACTCGTCTGGTAATAGTTCATGTTTGATACATTATTAAACAAATAATGTAACGACAACACAATATTTTAAAGATCAAATACATTTATTTTATTTATAGGAAGGATTTTAAACCGATTTTCTAAAGATATTGGTGCGATTGATGAAACTTTACCAGCAGTGATAATGACTTGTTTACAAGTAAACACAAACATTATTACTATAATCTGGATAAAATAATGGTCTTTATTATTTTGATAGGTTACAATGTCATTTTTAGGGATTGTTTGTGTTGTTGGATTAGTAAACATTTATCTTATAATACCTACCTGTGTTATCGGAATGATATTTTACTATTTTAGAATGTTCTATTTGCCATCATCTCGAAGTATAAAACGATTAGAAGGCGTTAGTAAGTCCTCGATTGTTTCTATTGCTTATATTTCATTGCTCAAATCTTAAAATTATTTTATCAGCACGGAGTCCTATATTTGCACATATGAATGCATCTATGCAAGGCCTAACAACAATAAGGGCATATAAAGCAGAAAAAATTCTATCCGACGAATTTGATAACTATCAAGTTTGAATAATTTTAATTTTAATAATGTGTGAGCACTTTTTTTAATTTGATTCTTAAATACTTAGGATTTACATTCATCTGCATGGTACTTATTCATTTCTTCAAATGAAGCGTTTGGCTGTTGGTTGGATTTAGTTTGTCTTTTTTATATGAGTATCATAATATTCAGCTTCTTATTGATCGACAATGGTAAGCTTAAATAAATTAACAGAAACCATAGTAGGAAATTTCAAAAATATTAAATTTGTCTAATTATAATTTTAGGTACAGATGGTTCTAATGTTGGTCTAACTATAACTCAAATTATGGGAATTTCTGGAATGATTCAGTGGGGAATAAGGCAATCAGCAGTATTAGAAAATGAAATGACTTCAGTTGAAAGAGTACTAGAATATTCAAATTTACCACAAGAAGCTACTATTCAATTGTCTCCAAGTAATAAAGAAAAATGTAACCCTACTAAAAACTAGAAATATTATTGTTAAATTACAATGTGGTTTAGATAAAGCTTCACCAATAGAATGGCCAAATAAAGGGAAAATAGTTTTTCAGCATTTTAGTCTTCGTTATAATCCTCACACACCACTTATATTGAGAAACCTCAATTTTACAATTCAACCAGAGGAAAAGGCAATAAATTTGATTATTATGTTATGTTATACTTAATAAAACTGATATTTTTCATATATTCAGGTCGGGATCGTTGGTAGAACTGGTGCGGGAAAATCATCTATTATAGGGGCATTATTTAGACTAGCATATAATGAAGGCGAAATCATAATAGATGATAGAGAAATACATGAATTGGGACTACAAGAACTACGATCAAAAATATCTATTATTCCTCAAGAACCAATTTTATTTTCCGGAACTATGAGAAAAAATTTAGATCCATTTGATGAATACCCAGATCACATTCTTTGGAGCGCTTTAGACGATGTAATTATACTTAAATCAATAAAGATGTGATTTGACAATTTGTTTTTATTTGTCTTTAATTTGTATTATATATATTTCACTAAACTCAATCAAACAATTGTTTTTCAAGGTGCAACTTAGATTAGCCATTGAAAAATTACCTGGAGGTTTAAATACAAAAATGTCTGATGGTGGATCCAATTTTAGTATCGGACAGAGGCAATTAGTGTGTTTGGCAAGAGCTATTATTCGAAAGAACAAGATTCTTGTCTTGGACGAAGCTACAGCAAATGTTGATCCACAGTACTATAAATGATTACAATAAATATTAAATATTTCCAATGGACTAGAATATTATAATAATTGTGTATGTCAATACATTTTCAGGACCGATACATTAATTCAAAATACTATCAAAAATAAATTCTTAACATGTACTGTAATGACAATTGCTCATCGTTTAAATACTGTAATGGATTCTGACAAAGTTCTTGTTATGGACTCTGGTATCATGGTAGAGTTTGATCATCCTTACATTTTGTTGAAAAATAGAAGAGGATTTCTGTACAAAATGGTAGAACAAACGGGACGAACCACAGCCGATTTATTATACAGTATCGCTGCAAAGGTGATTACTTCAAATTTTTTTTTTGTTATATTATTGTACTTAGTATTATCCTTTCTCACAAATATTTTTATGTTTTATAGAGTTTTATGACTATGGGAATGAAAATAAAATCCCAAAATTAACAATAAATAACGAAGATCCTAATTTTGCCTCCAACTAAAATTCAATATTCTTATTTTTAAATTAAAACTAATTTGAATGTGTAAAAATCATCTGGCATAAAAGAAAATGTATATATATTGTAATTATTTGTTTACTATATTATATGTATTTTTGAATACATCCAGATGGCTTTATATTATTTTATAGACAATGAGCACATTAACTTTTTTTTTTGTTTATATTTCAATATAAAGGTTCGCTGCACTTAATTTGTGTTTTAATTCTTATTTATTATACTTGTTTAATGTTCATACATTGCATTTTTTTTATAAGTTTTGATTTAAGTTTAATTAAAGGTTTAAGATTTAGATGACTAATCTAAAAATTTGAAATATCTAAAATATTCTATTAATTTTTTGAATAGGATCCTCAAGAAATATTTTATCTTCTTGTGATCTAAAGATATCTTTAAGCATATATTATGCCTTTTAAATGTTTTTTTGTAATTTTATTATTATACCTACTCGGCACTTACTTATATCTGTCTTGATTATTAACTAGGTATATATTATAATATTTTATTTTATTCAACAAATACAAATATGTATGAATTACTAAATTTATTACTAAAATATAGCTAAATATACCTATATTTATCTTTGTACTGTATGTATTTATCAAATACCAATATATTTCTTGTATTGTTTTTTGTACAATTTTAATTTTATCACATAATGGAACCATTCGGTGGTCAGCATTAATTGTATAAACACTATAGCGGTGACTGCTAAATAATTCAAATTATATCAAAATTATTTACTTAAAAATAATAACACAATAGGAAATGTATAACTGGCATTCGAATAATGAATACAGCATATTAAATAATATAACGAAGAACAGAAATCTACTTGGAGTTGGCACTATACAGATACCAGATCCACATTCCCTGCCAGTATACTCAAGGACACGCTGTCATTCACCATCGGTATCAGTGACATCGAACCCTATTTTAAGATTTCCGATTTCTTTTAAAAATTGAACATAAGGTCGCTTCATTACAGAAATAAAAACCTACACTGACCAGAATTTCGGACATAAAATGGGCTGTTTAGTTTTTTAGTTATTGTAATTTATTGTTATATCAAATGACCGTAAACATATTTTTTCAATTGCACAATCGTATTATGATGTCATAGGAATTTTATTCAAATATGCAAACCCTGTTCGTTTATTTAATTCGGTGATCAGTGATAACAATATAGGTATGCGTTGGAAATTTATAAAAATAATTAAATATGACCTACTTTAAAAAATTTATCGCAATATTTCTATATGATTTTATAGTCCATAAAATGTAATAAAGATTTTGAAACAATTATATTAAAGCAAATTTTAGTAACCTAAACCTACCTCAGTGGAGTATTTACGGGTGAGGGGGGGGACAAAGGGGATGAATTCCCCCAGGCTCTGTCTTTAGTTAAGCAAATATTTATAGACATTAGTCATTATAATCAAAATATTAAATTTTTTTTTTTTATTGATTAAATAAATGTTAGCTACTATTTTAAGCAAAGCTCAGTTATTATTGATTACATTTACGATTTGCTAAAATTAAAAATATTATATGTATATTCGCACTGATAATTGGTATCTCTGGTCAAGTATCACACCAGATCGACGTTAATCGGTAATCACTGTCCCTTGACTATAGATCAGTTACTTATTTTTAACTTTCTTAGACAATTTTAAATCTGAAGTTAATGATCGTTTTATAAACCACAAAAATGTACCAATTCATTTTCGTTTTAATAGAGCATTGAATCAAGTAACGTGTAGGTATGTATTATATTTTTGGCAATGTAGTCTATATATATGATGTTAATAACAATTATTGACATTTATAATTGAAGGTAACCATTAGGAGTGAGGGGGCAGAGCATTATAGTATTTTTACTAGGAAAAATACCCAACCCAAACAAAAACCTAAATATTGTATTGTATTGACCTACCTAGCTTATTTGTATTAAACCTTAGTTCTAAATTTCCCTTTAATCAAATTAACAAATAATTTTATCATCATAATATTAAGCTTTGATTGCTTCGATCCAATGCCTCGTGTACAGTTTTATGAACGATTATTAAGTTTATATTGTAATGGTTTTATTTATTTTTTCAAGTGCAGTGGTTTAAAAATTAATCAGTATTCTTTATTGTATTTCCTACGCATAAGGTTTAAGATTCTGAATTACAGGACTTAAATAATTACGTATACCAATCAAGTGGTCACGAAAATATCGTTGATATTTTTGTTGTTTTTTTTTTTTATTACCAAGTAATTCGATGCCCAAATAACTAGATAAGTTTTAAGATACGTTTTATTGGTGCTTTATTTCAAACGTATACAAATATATATGAATATATATTATTTAGTGAAATAAATTATCAATACAAATATGTCAATACTTTTTTTTAATTCACTGGTTTAGATTACTTTGCTGCTAGATTTAATTTAATTGACCTTATCAAATGTATTTAAGAGTACCACATAATATTTCTATTCGTATAATTATATCACACTTTGGTTTAATATTAATAAAAAAAATTAACAATTAAATTAGAATTCACCACTGTCATAAGGGTGCTTGTTATATTCTGTGGTGCTGCTATTAGTTTATTTTTAATTTTATTTTATTTTCTACGTCAATATCACGATGAATATTTGAAAAAGTCCAGTTAATCTGGTCTCTGGCATAGTTAATCTCAACCATGTTTTCAATCTTCGTAGTATGAAAAACGTACTATCAGCATTTGTACTACTTATTAGAAGAGTTGTCAAAATGGTCAAAAGACGATTGATTAACGAAAATATTTCTTCGTCACAATTTACAAGTATTTCCGTAACACACATAGAATTTACCAAAAATGTTTCAAAATTTTTCATGGTTCCATTTTTGTTTCCATAATCTAAACTCACTACGTAATAAAGTAAATACCATGCCTTTTTCATTTGAAAGAAGTGCTTTAAAATCGTCTGCTAATGCTTTAATGATGTCTGATTTATTGAATGAATATGAAGTTGTATTTTCATTTATAAACTTGTCAGGAAGTATGTATAAAAAATTGAAGGATTCGAGTGTTTTTTGTGAAAAACGTGCTTTTAAATCATTAATGACATTATCTAATAATGGAATAATTATGGCTAATTTATAATATTCTTCTGTATTATTGGTTGGATAATTTGCGCGATTCGTTTGTCTTGAACTATTCCTTGAAATTTTCAAATCAACTTTTTAAGTTTTAGCTATACTCTCAGAAGATTTATAAATTTCTGTAAACTGAGTAGAAACATTTTCTGGGCATTATAACAGAATATTTAGTGTCTCTTTCAATATATTAGCTGCTACATGTAACTAAATAGAGTTTTTTTGAAAACATTTACTTAATGGAAAAGAGTAGCTAAGCATATGAAAGAGACTACAAAGTGAAACGATTATTTCACTGTCACATAATATGTTAATAGGGATTTAGTTTTTCCAGAAGTATTCAAGTTTTTTCATGATTCTAACAATGCATCAAATATTTTATGCATATCTTACATAAAACTCATTACTTCTTCATGCCTCTCAACCCATCTCGTTTCGCATAAGACAATCAACTGCTGCCCAACATATTTTCATAAAACAACTGTTCTTTTAGCTGATGCAAAAAAAAATGATACAGTTACTTTAATTACTACAATAAGATTTCTGATACTTTTGATGCGTGAAGATTGTGAAATAAAATTATTTAGCGAATGATTTTAACAAGGGCACCTACGGGTATTATATGTTACTTTAATGATTTCACTAACAGCTCCACGAAGTTCTAACACCATTACGCTACATTTATCAGTTCCTACACTCACAGGGTTGGTAATATTTTTATTAAATTATTTTTTGATATTGTAATATTTTTTTAAACAATAGCAGAAGAATTTCAAAAGTTAAATAGGCAATAAACAGATAAGTTGAATAATTTTAGGAACTGGGTATGTAACAGGTACAAAAATGAATGTCGGCAATGGAATTTTAATAATGGGTTAAAAAAATTAATTTTCAGGTCTTGGGTAGGTAATTTATTAAACTAGTAGCAATATAATTTCAGGAGTTGAATAGGCAACATTAAATACACATTTGGGAACCACTGAGCTTTCTTACCAAATATTGTCATCAGAACGTACGTAAAATCATAGAATAAGTAAGTACCTTATACTAAGTACTTAGTATAATAGGTTTATGAGAGTCCCATACTCCCATGCCTAATTTTACCGGTCCGCGCTTTAGTCTATTAACGGGTATGGGCAACTCAAAATGACTAAAGGTCTAACTTTGATTACAATCTCGGAAGAAACTTTTTTACTGTTCGCCGATAATCAGCAAAGCTGTCTTGTATTCTGCCCTGCTAACAAAGTATGACGCAATTCGAAAAACGTTTTCCACGTTCTATACGCGTTTGGCGTATAATGTAATTTTTTCTACAATCAAGGTTGTTATAAATTATAAATTTAACACTCGAACTGACAAAATAATTCTAGAACGGTATAACGTAATTTTATTTGACGTCCTTGCGATTATTGAACCTAATACCTAATCCACGGACCACGGGAGGGTTTTTTCCCTCACAGTCCAGCGGTGGATTGTGCCACCGGGAAGCCGGGAAGTTTCTCGACGGGCTAGAGCCTGGTCATGAATCCATTGTCTCGTTTACATTCAGCCATTGCCACTGTTCCTCACGCTGTCGTATATACTTCCCAAAATAATTAAGTGGCAGCGTCGAAGGCAGTGAAAGTGTTTACGTTGCCCTGCTATTTTTATACCTAGTTTACATTCAGCCCACTTCCGTGGCAGTGAGCAGGGAAGTGAGCATAAAAATGGGCAGCGCGAGTATGTAAACACGTCACTCGCGCTGATCATGCTCCTCGCACTGACGCTGCCCGACGCTCCCGTCACGAGCGGTAAACTGAGCAGCGCGAGCAGCAACATAACCGGCAATGCGATCAATCCGGTCAATTACTGCTCGCGCTGCTATAATTAGCAGGGTAGTGTAAACACTCACTGCCGTCGACGCTGTTACAGAAGTATTTTGAGGAGTAAACACGGCAGCGCGAGTAGCAATGGCAGCGGCTGAATGTAAACTAGGTATTACAGCAACCTAACCGGCAGTGCGAGCGCGATTGCGTGTTTACACGCGCGAAAGTAAAAAAAAAAAAATGGCAAAAATTACGCGTGCACAACGTTCTTCTTCACGCACTTGTGCGATAACTGTATTTTAACAGAATGTAAACACGTACTCACGCTCGCACTGCCGGTTATGTTGCTGCTCGCGCTGCTCAGTTTACCGCTCGTGACGGGAGCGTCGGGCAGCGACAACGCGAGGAGCGCGGTCAGCGCGAATGACGTGTTTGCATACTCGCGTTGCCGACTTCCATGCCCACTTCCCTGCTCACTGCCACGGAAGCGGGATGAATGTAAACGAGGCATATGATCGCAATCATGTACTTATCGTCATAAAACTGTTTTTATACTTAAAATTGTTCTTTTTTATTTTTCGATAAAATATTTTTTATTACCTATGACTCTTTTCGCGTCATACGGTTTTGATCGTACGGCAAAAGTCCTAAGCCGTATAACGTGAAAACGTGCATTTAGTCATTATGCCACTACGCCACTGTGCTTATCGCGCCGTTCGGCTACCGTACACTGTAGTGGCAGTAGACGGCCGCTACACGGCACTTTCATTTGAAAGAGTATAATAATATGCACTTCTTCGCGTCACTAAAATAAAATTGCAGTAGATCAAAATCGTATGATGAGAAAAAATTGCATATGACGTATTGTGTATACGTCTATGATAATGAGAAGTGAAATGATCACGATTTAAAGACAATATGATTGCCTAACGAACTATGCGCGAATGATAAGATGGTTGAATGTGTCGTGTCCACGGACATATAAAACAAATAATTGGTCGAAACGAAATTCTCCCGGGTCGATGAAAATTCAGAATCCACCGTTGCCTCACACCGCTTTTCAAACATAATTCAATAAATAATAATTTACAAGACAAAAACCAAACATATAGGTACGTATGCAAGCTTGGTTGTTTGCTTACATATTTATTTTGTTTGTGCACAAATTTGACTTATTTTAGTAAAATAAAATGATTATGTTTAGATTTTGGTTGAATTAAGTTGCTTATCTAATTCATTATAACATAAGGAAAAAGTACAATACAGAAAATATAATGATAGTAATTTATGGTTGATTAATATGAAATTCTGAAAAGAAATTAACAATCCATCTGAGTTAATAGGACGTCATGATTATGGTCTTGTCATTATCTTCTAAGACCGTAGCACGACGCAGAGAAGTTCTTCACGAGGAATTGTGATCATGAAGTAAAAAAGGAGTGATTTTCAAAATTACGCGCGTTCCGATCGAGTATGTTTGGGAAACCATGCACGAAAACACGCCCATCGTCGAAATCCGACCATAACAACCCAATGTTGGCGGCGGTGCAAATTTATAGCTATTGGGTGATATTTCTTTGTTGTTTTCATTCGATTTCTATTGCGATTTATTAATTTCCCAACGATCTAATGGAAACCGACGCACATATGATGTCTCAACAATACGCACAAGCTCAACCAACACAAATACAACACACACAAGCTCCTCAACCAAGTACGTTAAGTCTGTTTGCGATTCATTGGTGTTATTATTTTCTCACTAGTCAATATTGGCCAAATGTAAGGAAAATAATAATTATTAAAGACGTGCTCTTACATTTGAGACGTAAACAGCAAACCACCGTGGATCAAGGAAGCTGATTAGAAAAAAAAAAAAAAACCCATTGCGTTTAACCGTGAGAGCCCAACAAATTGAATTGATATAAAATATCTAACCTAAATGTTCGCAATTTGGAATAATGAATCTATAACTCGAATTTATTTGAAATAATCTCCAGTGGAGTAATCAAACTTCCAAATGTTAATTTAATATTATTTGAAATGTGGTATTTTTTGTTTTCAAATGTTACTAACCCATTATTGTTATACATTTATACCAACAATTGTAAATTATAACCAAAACGTTTTTATGAATTTAGCTAGATACTTACTAATATGGATCCTTGGAACCTGTTATTTTAATATTAAGAATAAAATAAATATTTTTTTTATCGCCTAATTTTAGCAAGAGAAATGCAACAGACTAGTGCACCAACATCAGCTGATGCTTGTTTAAGTATTGTCCATAGTTTAATGTGCCATCGGCAGGGATGGGAGAGTGAAGGATTTGCTAAACGAGCAATTGAATCATTGGTTAAAAAATTAAAAGTAATTCTACACAATTGAATTTACTGCTCAGTCATTAAATTAATGTCATAATTAATAATTGCATGATAACTATAATATTAATATGATGTTCTGAAATATAATTTTTTTCTTATCATTTAGGAAAAACGAGATGAATTAGACAGTCTTATTTTGGCTATAACTACAAATGGATCTCACCCAAGTAAATGTGTTACAATTCAACGAACATTAGATGGCCGATTACAAGTATGTCATATTTATATTTAATACATCCAATCATTTTAATAATTTAAAAAAAATATTGTTAATTTCAAATGAAATTGGAAACTAAATTATCTTTTGTCACATATTCAGCATAAAATAATATATACTATATGTAAACAGATTTGAACTTAGTGTGTAGTGTACATGAGATCTGTCTGGCCATTTTGAATTTCAGTATTTAATTTTCTAAAATTTGATTTGAACATTTAAAAAGTGGCCTGTTTACCTCTTGCTTAAATGAAATCGGTTTTTAGAATTTTTGTCGTTTCAATTCATCAATTAAAATTATTCTAAGAAAATTGGTTTATTTTCTTTTACTATGTTAGACAAAGGAAAAAAACTATTTTAATTTAATTCATTATTCATATTTTATAAAAATTATATTACCTATACAATCCTTATGGATAACCAATTGCAGTTTTTAATTTTCTAATAATTTTTTAAAACTGCTTTAATATTATCTTACTCAAATTTCTGTTGTATATTAAAAATTATTTATTATTTTATTTAATTACAGGTGGCTGGGCGAAAAGGTTTCCCACATGTTATATATGCAAGAATTTGGCGGTGGCCAGATTTACATAAAAATGAACTCAAACATTTGAAATATTGCCAATATGCATTTGACTTGAAATGTGATTCTGTATGTGTTAACCCATATCACTATGAACGAGTTGTATCACCAGGCATTGGTAATTATTTGTTAAAATTTATTTATCTGAAACAAATATTTAAAATGTATTATTTATTTTTTTAGATCTAAGTGGTCTAACTCTTCAGAGTGGTACTTCTACTAATGGTTCTGGTCGAATAATTGGTCTAAGAGATGAGTATACGGCTGGTGGAGGAGGAATATCACCTTCTCCACCAGGTTCTAGTCAGGTTAGCAGTTCCAACATGGACAGTGATGTATCTGGAAACAGTCCGGCTGTAACTGTGCAACATCACTTACCATCTTTATACCGCCAACAAACTACAGCCACTGATGTATCCCAACAACCCACTGTTTCTCAAACTGCTGCTGGTGAGAATTGAAACATATTTTATTCAAATAAATAATTGCATGTTATTGATAATTAGTTGAAATTACCTATTTTCAATTCACTAAATCTTAGTGTTTAGAACAATTATTTTCTGTTTTAGAAGTTTGTTTATTGGTATTGCATGTGTAGTTATTAGTAGTCATAATTATTTGTAGGAGATATTGATATGTATCATGCTACACCTCAGCAGCAACAACGACCTAGTCATCAAATTGGTATAAATTCTCAAGTGCAGGTTAAGACTGAATCGTGTAATAGTTGGATGCCGGCTACACCATCACATATATCTCCCAATAGTAAGTAGTATAAATTTTCTTAGGTTTTTAAAGTAATGATTTGATCATTAAACCTATTAATTTAAAATTGTCTATTTACAACACTGAAGTTTAAATTATATAACTTAATATATACTAATATAAAGCTAAAATTATTCTCTTTATTAAAATGTATTGTTAATGTAAATAAATTAACTGGTTAAGTTAGGACCCCACAATAAATACTTACAAATATTCATCATTTCCAATGATTATTATTACATAAGTTATGGCAATGTAAGAATTTTCACATTTGTCAAAATATACTAGTCATGTAATTGTAATACTTAATGTAACATCCTGTAAGTGAAATATATTCAAATATATATATTTATTGATTTTGAATCATTATCTATATAGTTTATGTTTTTTTTGATTATTTTGTATCATACAAATGTAATCAAACAAAATATATTGTTTTATTTTAAAAATATAATTTTAAATTCGTACCTATATTTTCTTAATAATATTAATTTATTAATCGTTATAACTTAATTTTATTTACCATACAGTTGTTTCATACTTTATTTCAATTTAATAAATTGGATTTAAAAAAATGTTTTACTTGTAATATATTATTTCTTATGATTTTGATTATTATTTGAATGCATTTTTTTTTTTTACTTATTATTTTGGATTGATAATTTGTTTTGTTTAGTCATAAGCATGTAGTCAATATTATTACAATTTGTTTAAAATATTTAGTTATGGAAATATCAAGTATTATTTCATAAAATTTGTTTTTACAAATAGTATTAAAAATGCATATAGTTTATATTAAATATTGTTGTGCTTGGTAAATGGTAGTTAATCTATTTAATAATAATTAATTTTATGAAGACATGTTAAATTATGTTAAACATTTGTTTTAGGACCACCAAATATGCCATTACAAAACTCAAGTATGTTTTCAGGACAAGATAAAGAAAATTTATGTAAGCCATTAATCATATTATTTAGTGATAAGTTATTATTATAAGTCAATTATTTGTGTTTGAACTTAATTTTTGAATTTATGCTGAACCCTAGAATAATTTGAATCGAACCAGAGTTGAACTTGAATGAAAATGTAAAATGGATACAATTATTAAAGCTATAACTTATTAGTATTACTGTACTTGTTTAATTGAACTGTGGTATTTAAATTATAGGATTTGATTTTCAGTTAATAAAAATCATATAATTTTATCTATTTTATATATTATTTTTTTGGTTTTTGAACAATTAATCTTAGTTATTTCAGTTATAAATGTTACTATTACTATTTATTATTAAAGTTTTGAAAATATTTAATATTAATTCTCTATTATTCTATAATTAATATTATTATAAAATATTTTATTTTTTTAATTTATTTAGTACCTAATCAAACAATGACACCTCATGATTATCAAGGACCTAATGCTACTATGCCAGGTACTACCACAGGTAATCGACCTGTATTAAGCACACTTACCTATACACATTCAATGCAACCTCCACATCCAACATTTTGTGAGCATAAATTTAACAAGTTATTTGTTTTAAATTTAAATGAATATCTTCAATTAAATTGTTTGTTTTATTATAGGGGGGATGTCCGAAATGGGATTAACTGGTTTGTTATCATCACAGCCAGCTCCTGAATACTGGTGTTCAATTGCTTACTTTGAATTAGACACTCAAGTTGGTGAAACATTTAAAGTGTCATCTACTTGTCCACACGTCACTGTTGATGGATATGTTGATCCATCTGGAAGTAATAGATTTTGTTTAGGTGCCCTAAGTAATGTCCATAGGACTGAACAAAGTGAGAAAGCTAGGTAAACATTACTATTATTACTCTCAATATATAACATAATAAATTAAATGTATTGCATATACATAATATATATTTAGGTTTTACAGAATTATAATTTAAAAATAATACTATATTTATAATTAACATAAATAATTGTATAGAATAATAATGATCATTGCAGATTGCATATTGGAAAAGGTATACAACTTGATCTAATCGGAGAAGGTGATGTTTGGTTAAAATGTCAGAGTGATCATTCAGTTTTTGTACAATCATATTATTTGGATAGAGAAGCTGGCAGAGCTCCTGGAGATGCGGTTCATAAAATTTATCCCCATGCATATATTAAAGTATATTTTTCCTAATTACATACTATAAATGAAAATTGATTCTGGACAATAAAAACAAAAAAAAGATTAGTTTAATGATTTTTTTTAAAAAATTGTTTAGGTCTTTGATCTAAGACAGTGTTATAGACAAATGCACCAACAAGCTGAATCTGCTCAAAATGCAGCTGCCACTCAAGCAGCAGCAGTTGCTGGACATATAGCAGGACCTCATAGTGTAGGAGGTATTGCTCCTGCTATAAGTAGGTTATTAAATTACACATCAAATATATATATATGTGTTAAATCCAAATTAAAACATTTTATTTTTATTTAAGGTTTAAATGCTGCAGCAGGTATTGGGGTTGACGATTTAAGAAGATTGTGCATATTAAGATTAAGTTTTGTAAAAGGTTGGGGTCCTGATTATCGACGGGGTAGCATTAAAGAGACCCCATGTTGGATAGAAGTATGTATCAAATTACAGTTTAAAAAATACTTAATTTAGTTTAATTGGTAGTGTACTAAAATATCTGATTACTGTATTGGTACACATTAAAGTCCTGGTGTGGGCTTTATATTTCAAATTCAAACCGACCCAAATAAAAAACTTTTCTGAATCTACCTTGCCAGAATCATTTTACATATTAACATATTAATTTAACCCCCGGCCCCATTTATTTGACCAGATCAAGTCTTATGTTAATTTGTTTGGATTCAAATTAATATGCACCACAATCAAGTGAAAAAATTAGAATTATTAATAGGAATTCCTTTAATTTTTAGCTCTGTCCAGCCCAAATTTTAAATGAAGTTAAATTAAACTTGTGTTACCTGGTCAACTAACATTAAAAGTGATTAAGCTTTGTTTAGCTTAAATCTTTACCACTAAGTTACAGACCAGGCTAGAATAAAAAATTAAATATCTAAACAAAGACTGTTCTGTGCTCATGCTAACTGTAATTTTAGTATATAATAAGCTTAGTCACTGGATGTTAAACAAGTGAACTGTCAATTAAATTGGGTATATTTACTAATCTTGTTTAATATAGAAATTTATAGACCCAAGATACGAACCAGTAATATTTGTGAATAATTTAATATACTACCAACCAAAAAGAATATTTAATTTTAAAATTTGTACTGTCATAGTAAGAAAATAATATAAAAATAAACCAAATATATTATATTAGCCATATATTGATTGTACATTGTATCTCATTATAGCTTTATCATTTTTTATATCACATAAGCTAGTAAAATAATATAATCTAGGATAACTAACAAGATAACATAATCAATAATTTGTACTTGTCAATGATTACAGGTTCATTTACATAGAGCATTGCAACTTTTAGATGAAGTACTACACTCTATGCAAATTGATGGTCCATCAAGAGCTTAATTTAAATTAGAAACTAAATATTTAAGCGTAGTAAGTATGTTTTAAGAAGAAAATTGATAATAATGTTTGAAAAAGAAAAAAATATTTGAATTTTCTGTTAGTTATAGCATTTGAAAATGCTAAAATCGAATAGGGTCCTGATAAAAAATTACCTAGGTTTTGTTGTTTAAATTGTTTTTACTTTATAACACATTATCTATAGTCAGATCAGTCCTGAAAATGTTTTAAATTTTATAAATACTTATGGTTACTACAAAAAAACAACTGTTTACATTAAATAGGTTTCCATTACTATAATTATATATGTATTTTTATCTATAACTGAGCTATTGTTTTTTATTTATTTATTTTATTTTGTTGAACAAATATTGAGTTATAAAGTTATTTTATACATGTATAAAAACTCTATCCTATGTTGCTTGTTACATTTATAGAAACCAGTATTTTTTTTCTAACAATACTTTTTGACAACCTAACGATTCAATTTTCTGGATATTGAGAAAAAAGTAATTAATAGCTATTACTTGAAAATATCTCTTAGTTTTAAAATAAAATGTTATTGCTCCATTATAAATAATGGGCATTTATTGTAACCCTATTTCTTAACTACCTCAAATCCCTTGATAATATATATTTTTAAATGTCCTAAAAGTTTGAATATTTTTCATTATTTTTTTTTCTACTGTTAGGTACACAGTTACCAAAACTTTTTTTCTGCAGAAAACTATTTTTCAATATGTAAATGTAAAATGTTTTTATATTAATGTGGATGTCTATTTTTATTGTTTTTGCAATTTTGTTAAGCTCTACAATAGACTTTTATTTTTTATTATTATTATTATTATTATATACACAAAATCTGTATTAAACGTATACTTTTTATATTATATAATAAACGTGATAATTGGTATGTTCATTAACAATATGAATACATGCATACATATATACTGGAAAATTTGTAATTATAGATTATTTAGAATGACAGTAAAATAAAATAAAAACATTTTTGATAAATCTGTTCATAATCATTCGTAACTATTTAAAATTAAATTTAATATTTACTTATTGTACCGTGTTCTGCAGATAATATGTGATAATTCAATGGTTGTTAGAGCATACTAGTTTTTATTTTTACACAAAATATTCTGTGTTTATTTTTTATCAAAGAAGTAATTTATCTTATTTCTTCTTGACAGGTAATAACTATAATTTAATTTATTTATGTTTGTGTAAAATTTGGATTTCTTCACTGAAAGTTCATATTCATATTTATTAATCTATAATTCAGTATATTTTTTTTTTTTTTTTTTTGGTACTTTAGTCCCAATGACAAAACTAGGGAACTTAAAATTTTATGAAATTTAATATGTCTTATCAAAACTGCTATACATTTGTATAGTTAAACAAATAATATTTAAGTGATTTTTCAATACATACAACTTTTCATAGTAGGTTGAGTCATCACCAATGACCACTTATTTGTATTTTATTTGTTAATATTATAATTTTGTAATTTAAAATTTCATATGGTTATTGTTGTATTCATCTACATTAATTTATTTACTGGGTAGTATCATTTATTACTAACATATAGCATAAAATGACCATAGAAGGTGAAAATGGAATTTAAAAAAAAAAAAATTATTATGTCATACAGTATTTCTCATAGATATGAAATATTGAGTCACATGTAGAGTATACACTGTTGCATTTTCAATTGATTTCGAGAATTGTGGACAAAATAACTGAGATGAGTGTGTAAGAAAATTCATAAGGTGGCCATAAATGGTGACTCCGCCCTATAAAACATTATATAGACATTTATAAGATATTATCCAAGATGATGGAATCTTAAAACTCTTACAATAGAAGCAGTTCATCATATATACACTATCAAAATTTGACTTCATCGTACTATATGGAAGATTTTATGAGAAAAATATTTAAGATGTGAAGACTGAAAGCAAAAATGAATTGAATAAAGCGGATGAAAAACATTAAGATACTGAGAAATAATACACGGGAAAATAGAAATAAATAAACTGGTTAAGAAATGTTAAGTTTAAGAGGGATAACTTGATGTGCCACCTCTCTAAATAGATGTTCACACAAGGACTTTTTGATCTATATTTAATGCATCTAAGCAATGAGTATACCTGACAAGTTTTTAATTGGTTTAAGTTAATTATTAGCTAAATATCATAAATGTATTTATACATCTAAGAATAGAAAAGTGTAGTAAATTTTATATCCGTTTTTGGTTGATAAGATAACTCTAATCCACTCCTTACATCTATATTTTTTAAATTATAAAGGATTACCATAACAACAATTTTAGAAAAATATTTTCTTTTTCTAAATGGGAGGAGATAGTTATTTCAAATTCAATAGTTGATATTTAATTATTGTGTATGGAATATTGGTAAAATTTTAAAAATAAAATCGTGAATTTGCTGTCAACACATTTTTGCTATATTGTTTATTAGATAGATAAAAGACAACAAATATATAAGATATTCTCATAAACAACTTGTTTAATGAGTGAAAAAAATAAAATCTTAGTTGACAATCATCATGTTTTTTCTAACCTTTTATTATTATATAAACAAAAATCAAAATGTGTTTACAATACATTGTTATCACAATTTAAAATGGTACAAAAAACATAATTTTTTTTTTTTTTAATTTTATTATTTTTAGTTCGAATAGAAAATCATTTATTCACCTCATTAGGAAAATGAAAACTGAATCTAACTGGATTATGTATTGTGGAGAGTAGGCAAACAAAAGTTGTATGTGTTTTTTTTTTTTTTTGATATTTTGAAATTGTTTTTCTTATGCCCTATATAGGGTAAAAATGGTAGAAGGAATTTCCATCCTTTTATTAATTTTTGATCACGTATTATTGAGAATATATTAATATTTTTCTCAATTGAAAATGAAAATCATTTTTCACTAACTTATAAAACTGGGAGGGAACTGAAAATTTGATTACTGCATTGTCTTCATACATATGAGTGCATCCAAAATTTCATGCCGATTGATCACAAAAAGTGTATAAAAATCAATAATAAGTTTTGAACCTTTTTTTCTTAACGAGTAAGTTAACATATGTGTTATTTACGCAGTGTTAATATTAGATTACTAATAAAATGTACATCAAATAAGAAATAGAAAAAAATTACAAAATCATACAATTTGGAAATGTGTAGAATATAATTTTACTTTTAATGTATACTTAAAACATAAAACTATATATATAATATAAACTATACTAAACTAAATATATATAAATACATATTTTTTTTTTTTTGTTCATTAATTTTCTAAATAAATAATATCAAAAATGTCTAGATTGAATATGGAATAATATTATTTTTAAAATTGCAATAACCTTCTCATCTATAATGTGAACTTCAGATAAATTAGATAACTTAGTAGTGAAATCTTGTTTGTCAAAAAGTATTTTTTTTTTGTTTTTGGCAAATAAAAATCAATACTATTTTTCTACATTTTTTATTTAGAAATTTAATAAGTTTAATATATATTATAGTATTACGGTCTTACTAGCATATTATGATCTTAGATTTTATACCATTATGAATTTTGAAATATAATAATAATATTATTTTAAGAAAATGCCGCAAAAATGTAACCACAGTGATATAAAACTGGAGAAAAATAGAGTATTTTCATTTACAAAATAATAAAATTCAATATTGTAACTTACAAGGTTGAGTACTCTTACTCAGAAGAAGCTAACACAGATATATTTAATTATTATTTAGACAAATTTAGTTGATCTCAAAAAAAAATCATGTGTGGTGCCTAGGAACTTATTGTGGTGACAAATAAAATGCTAAAATGCTTATGTGCGTTACTCATTTATATATACAGCTTGTCTGTACATTAAAAATATAGTAAATAGTTATAACTATGCATTATACATGAGACATTAAAAAAAGAACAAACTTAAGTACATTAGTACTTCAATCGCATAGAGTGATATGCAATTGCTTAGCAGTAGCAATTAAAACATTACGACCTTTTTGTTTGAAATTTGTTATTCTGAAATTAATAATACAACATTAAATAGTTTATGTTCATAAAATAATAAATTATGCCATACTCATAGTTGAAATCTGAAACTTCTAAAATAGATGGTTCTCCTGAATTATTTTTCTTTGGAACTGTTAAATTTTTTTCAAGTGTCCTTTTTTCATCCAATTCCATTAAAGATTTATACAGCAATTTTACAACCGGTTCAAGATCAATTTCTATTGTTCTAGTTAATTGAAATGATAAAGTGTGGATTAAAGAAATGGCAGATAACAACATGAGACAATCCTAAATCAAACAAACAAATTTACTTAAGAAATAATCTATACTTCAACAATTAATCTATTGTAAATTAAATTCATACATTTTTGTACATATCAGATGAGAATATGTTTACTGCATTTAATGAAAAATATCTTCTTAACTGCACATTATTTAATATTACTGCTGTTAACTGACTAGCCGCAAATGGCATATCAATAAGATTTTCATTCAAATCAACTTCTTCATTCTAAAAATAAATTATATCATGTACAGGATATTCGACCATGTTCAATGGATCTCACCTTATATCCAATTTTTTTTAATTTATTTTTTTTCAACTAAATTTTTTTACTCCTTAATTATTAAAAAATTAACTCTATTTATTCGCTTTAAAAATGTTTCAAAATAACAACTTTGTAATAGGTAGTTCTTAAAATTATAATGTAACCATATGTACATATTTGATCAATAGTTCCTATTAGCCATTTTAATTTTAATAAATGATGTGAAAACCATTATATTTAATAAGACAACCATATTCCTTGATATAAAATTACAATCATAATTAAAGATGGGCACTATCAAACTATTAGATAATTTATCGGATTCAAATTATTCAAATAGTTTCTATAGAATGAATATTTTTTTGTATAATAGTTTTTATTTGAAAAATATTGTACATAATTTTTGTGGAAGCACAAAGTACTGCAGGTAGTATTTTGTGCAATTATTTGCAAATTCTATTCAACTGAAAATGGGTAGTAGAAGATCTACCTATTATTTACCAGGCGTTACTTTATTCAAACAAATTGTTTGTAAATATAGTAGTACCTTTGATCTAAACTTGATGGGACCAGGCTCTATCCGGATTAAACTGAACAACATTTTTTTCAACTTATTAATAAATATTTTTCAAAAATATAACCACCTTATTTATAAAAATTCAAAATGTATTGATTTATTTTACATTACACATTCATATATATTATATCAATACAACTGTATAGAAAATTAAATTAATGTCACAATAAGTAATCCAAATGATAAAATCTTAATCATGGGTAATTCCTAAAAAACAGGTCACGTGCTTGTATAGACTTTATTAGACAATTCCAATTTCATATAGGTTCCTACAGTTATGCTATAAATATCTAATCTAATGACGTATTATACAAAATAACAATGGATGTTGATATAAATCATTTTTATATAATATTTATGTGTATGTATATATACATAAATATGAACTTAAGTACAAAATATAAATTGTCCAGATGTCAGGACTAGCGATGACTGGATAAGTGAAACTCTAATGAACAAATATTTTATGAATAAAAAAGAAAAATACCAAAATAAAAACTATTTAAGTATTCAAATAGTTTTTCAAAATATTTAAGTTTTTCCAAACATAATTATTCAGTACTAGATTGAAATATTTGATAGTTTATTCAAACTATTGAAAACTATCAATAGTGTAAACTATTCAAAATTGCCTATCATTATCATAATGAATTATAATAATAAATGCATGCACATACTTATTAAAACTATAATCACATAGCAAGAAATGGAAATAATTTTTATCAGTTTTATTATTAGGTACATCCCTGTGATTATTAATTCTACTGTCATGTATTCACATAATGTAGGAATTATCTATTACAAGCATAAGTAATAACTTAATAAATATTATTTGTTTACAACTTTTTTAGAAATTTAAATGGCTAATACTAAAAACTATTGATCAGATATATAATTATAGTATATTAAAATCTTTAGAATATATCTTTTAAAAAGTAGCTATTTTGAAAATTTAGATTTTTTTTGGAAAAATGTATTAATTTTTTTAATAAATATCCTCTTGAAAAAAATTGAATTGAAAAAAAATTGATTGTTAACGAATATAAAAATTCTGTAATTTGGTTTTAATACTAGTTAAAAACTTACGTTTCGAATTTCATCAGCAACCATATCCATAATAGTATCAATCATAATGGAAAATACTTTTTTGAATTCTATTTTACTAATCTTATATACTTCCAATAACAGTTGAATCAAAGCACGGCGTAATATTATAGGTGTCTAAAAAATTATATAACAATAACATTTTATTAGGAATTTGCATAATTTAAACTTTAATTTTTAGAAGCTAAATGTTTACCTATATTTTAATAATTTATATGACTAGTATTAAAAATGTACTTAATTTTATTATAATCAATTTTGGATATCGCTATAATTTTAAATTTTTAAAGTTTAATAAATTTTATTAGACTTGATCAACGTTAGTGTTAATATTAGTATCCATAATAATTTGTCAGTTCTATAACTCGAGACACTTCAGAATTAACTGCATTTTTAATTTAAAAACATTTTAATATGTTAAAAATTAAATTACAATATTTAGGAAGCAAATAACATATCTTTAATATAAGATTTAATGTATTTAAAGGAATATCTTTAAATAGAACATGGACTAAATCATTAATACTTGATTTAATGAGAAATCTGATACTCTTAAAAAAAGTATCTAGTGATCTGTTAGTTAGATATGCCTTGTTAAAAAAAAGAATTCTCAAATTCTGTTGGCCAGCCACCTATTCTTATGTTTACATTTCAATGAAGCGTGTTCATTAGTGTATTTATATAATAATTTCTACAGCTCTAAGAAAAAATCAGTTTGCATATTATTAAGAAGTTCTATAATTTGATACCAAAATCCTAATGAAATAATAAATATTAAATATAAAAATCATGTTTTACCTACAATAGATATTATTTTGCTTAGTTTATTTAAAACATTGTCCATATGCTTAACTTATGTTGAACAGCAGACAACGATAATAAAAAAAAGATCTAATACTACTTAAGAGTGTGTCACTGTTAGCAGTGCTTGAATTGGAAAAATAGAAAAAGTGAGACTATGAGACTCACAAAAAATAAGTGCCCCTTAAAATTATTAAACTCAATGTAACCCAATTTTAGATTATGAGTGCAGCGAGGAATATATTGGTATTACAATGATTAAATGGGAAAAACTGGAAAAATGCACGAAATAATGTATTATTTTCAAATTGTAAATATTATGGACCAATTTAACCAAACTTGCTAATTAATCTTCCCAACTTCTTAACTACAACAGAAACCCAACCATTGTGTGAAGTATGTCTATTGGTTTTTGAACATAATTCAGTAATTAATTTCCAAAAATAAACACAAATAACACTAGCTACAGCAGGCTCACTTTTTGCTTGCATAATAGATAATATTTATTTTAGATTGTACTATGAAATGTGGGTTTTTTTTTTTTTATGTGAATAATTTTTCTACCAGAAATCTTTCCCCGATAGTCCAATCATCATCTATAGAGGTGGTTATAAAAAAAAAATATTGCCTTGTTAGTGCAATAAGGTTATATTTTGATTTTCTTTGTAGTATTCTTAATTATAGCGAAAACCCTAGAAAAACTTTAAACAGTTTCATTTATACAGTAACAGTTTCTGTTATATTGTATTTTAGTAGTAAAAAATAGTAAAAATAGTAGAAAATAATCATCGAGGCTGAAGATGGCCATGAAAATTGTCTCATTTTAAACGTAACTTGACTTTTATAAAATCATACTTTAACATCTGTGGACTATCATACGTCTTCAAATTAAGGATTTTTCAAGTTCAAAAATATAAAGAAATCGCTGAATGTCCAAAACAATTTTTATTTTTAAGCTAAAGAATTTAATAGTTAAAATATCTATAGCACAAAGAAAATACAATGTAATGTGTTCAATATTTCCTTTTTTTTTTCAGACAGAAAAGAACAACTGGAAGATCAAGTATATAAAGAACTTTTTTAATAAAGACATTTTTACAGAGCATTTTTTGAAATATTTTATTAAATACTTAGAGCATAATTTGCCTGTTTTAGTACATTAAAATTACATCTTTGCTCACGATGAACTTAAATGAAAACTCAATAATTTCAAATACCTTTAAATAGCTCAACAATTTACAAATTGTTTTAAATATTTCACTGTGTATAAAAAGATAATATTAATGTTTTGTACAAATTTTAGGTCTCTACGATTATATTTTAATTGAAACAAAAAAACTGGAAGTAATTCTGTACATTTTCCGTTTTTCCCATTCAATTATTATTAAGGAAATACAAAGAAAATCAAAAAATATCCTTCCCAAGGCAGCAAATTAACAAAATAATATACAAACTGAATATTTTTCCTTAGTTTTAGAAATGATTATATAATTAAATTAATGAGTGCACCTAGTTGGAATGCATGGATTATATGACGTCACACTATATTTAATGAATGGAGCAATGCAACAAAACTATTATTTTATCAATGGATTTGTAAGATTTCATACTTACCCCAAAAATAATTTTAAAATATTCTTCACTTATCTTGGATTCACCAAGGCCCAATATGATTTTACCCACACAATTTATGAATAAAGGTATCTCTTCTTGAATATTATTATCATTTGATGATTTTAAATTTATATTTTTTGCAACTTCGATTAAAGTTCCAACTGTGGACAACGTAACTCGAGGCCCAAACATGCCTGAAAATCAATGTTATTTAGCAAATTAAATATGCAATTTACAATTTTATATTGCTATAAGTATTAATTTATAGCAATAATAAATATTTAAGAGAAAAATAATTATATATTCTTACTTCCCAAGAATTTAGCACAAAATACAGAATATGTATTCAAAAATGTTTTGTTCATCAATTGCATTAATAAAGTATTATACACTATAGTATTTACATTTTCTATTGTCCTCACTACAAATATAACAGTAGTTGCTTTTATAGGACGTAAATCAAGACTAAGTATATTGCTAGAATAATATTAAATTTATTTTTAATAGTTACTTAAATCTATATGTACTATTTGTAACTATATACTAACTTTATAATCCACTTCATTATAGATACTTGATAGTTAATAATTTCATCAACATTATAGTTACTTTCATGAATGTGGTATAGAAGATGAAGGCGCAGATTCAACCTGAATAACTCCAGTAAAACTTCATCTGATACTAAAGTACTTAATTCATTATCTGAAGATATTCGGCTCTCAATTGCTGGCTAATAATTAATACAAATGAAAACAAATAGATATGTAATATGATTACTACATTGTTACAAAAAAGTTCATGATAACAAATTATGTACTTTCTTAAATATAATAAATCATCGTCTTATGTTAGTATAGGTATACAATCAATTACATCTATATAATTACAAAAAAATACATTTAGGTACTAAATTTATTATACATTATATATTTATTGTACCTATAAATGTTAGTATCAGTAGTGTAAATTAGGAGATTAAGAAATAAAGGAATTAAAATCAAAATATTATTTTCATGATCAGTATTTATTTATTAATTAATGAATTTATAAACAGTATAACCTTGATGCTATTAGTTGACACATACAGTGACCGAATAGGTATTTGTAATAATAAACATTAACACTTCCTACTTATTGAACAACATTGTTAAAACTAATAAATGTTAGTTCTATGTGGCAATAATGAAAGGAGTATTCTGCCTGTCTAAGATATTGACTAGAAAATATCATATATAGACATAGATTTCAGGCAATGATGAATTGAGCAATATTTTCTAGGCAATGAGCCAATAATAATTATTCCATCTGTCAGTCATTATTAAAATAAAGTAATCTATTTCTCTATACCTATTTAGGGGAAAATGATAGAGCACCGTTTTACAAATGAAAATCAAAAATTAGAATATTACAGATACTTAATAGTTTTTAAAATTTAAAATCTGGGTTCAATGGACCTACAAAAAGATTTTCATTCTATCAAATATATTAAAAAAATATATATATGAGCAGCTCTAATGTCTTTCAGAAGATTCAAAATAGATCCAACATATACAGAGTAGAGCAATTTATACAAATTTTTTGTCAATTGATTTGATATATAGGTCAGAATTCTGAAAACATTAGAATTTGATGTGAGATATACTTGGGTGGTAAACCATTGGTCAGGATAATTTATTCAACATAGTAAAACTATTTTTTAATTTTTTTATATACATTCATCAATTTCAAAATCAATGTTTTGAAATTTAAGCACTAAAATTTAAAAAAGGGACTTGATTGATACACTTAAGATAAAGAAAGAAAATACTGGTTTCAAATCCCATCAAGCTGTCTTATTAATAGATATATAGAATCAATTCAATCTAATAATGATACAAAGTTATAAGTAAATATTAATTTGTTGAATTACTTACAAATTTATACTTAAATATATATATCAAATATATATTATTTAGAAAGGCAATTTATTACTCTTCCCTGCTCCTCCGGTCTAAACTTTAAACTGTTATAACTCATAAACGGTAAATCTGATATTAGTGTTACACACATCAAAATTTCTAGAAAAATATTCTCTATTCAAATCTATGTTCAAAAGAGGGGGAGTTCTTATTTGAAAATCATAATTATTTAGGGCACATGGAGTAGGGGTAAAAAATTAAAAATGGTTTTAAAATAAAGTTTTAACAATTCCATAATAGTAAGAAAAAATAGAAATTGAATTTACTTAAAAAACTTTGATAATTACAGGTTCGTGATAAAATAATCACCCTGTATATAAAAACAAGATAAATATCTTGAAAATAATAAACTAAGATATTTTAATAAGAATACCACGTTGATTGTTTGAATTTATAAATATAGATTGATATGATTTTTAGTATTATAATAACAACAATTTATGTTAATTAATAAAATGATAAAGTAAAAATAAAATTATTAAAATGGTTAACATTCGTAAATAAATATATAAATACAAAATGTATGCATAAAAATAAAAAATAAATAAATGAATAAATGTGACACATTTTTTTATTTATATATTTATTTACTATAATCATGTTTATTGTTGAAATTTTGTGTTAATAATAAGTATTTCATGTCAATACAAGAACTCTAAAATTTCAGTACCACACAATATTTAAGTATTTACCAAAATATAAAATGTACCTTAACACGTTGCAAATATATAATTTGATCATAGATATTCTTTCTATTAATTTCAGAATTCAAAAGTGATTTCTGTGTTCGTGAATTAGTCAGCATTGCATTTATTAGTATAATCCCTGTCATTGGTTTACATTCGTCTATATTTGCTTGAAACCTGACTCTTTTTCCTTCTGTAGTAACTTCTTTAGCATCCTAAAACATTACAACATTTTTTTTTTCATTTTATTTTATAAAATATATACAAATTTTATGTTTTTAACTGTACCGGAAATCGTGAATCATTAAGATTTAAAGTTTTAAAAGCTTCATCAAACCAAACATTCACAAATTGAATTATCTCATAGCCTCGATTCCACATACACAATGTGTATACCAGACAATCAACTTTACGCAAATCAACGTCTTCCTCCAAGTATTTTAGATCATATGGCAACTTTTTCAGAGAAGATATTGCTATACTTGATACAGATATGTGAGGAGTTAATTTAGAAACTGGAATAACACTTGCTAAACTCATTGCACTGTAGTAAGCATCACCTTCCTAAAATACAATAAATATAAAACCTATTATTTTTATTTTTATTTTTTTTTTTTTGTTACTTATGTTCAAAATATTCTTATTAGTTATTATTTATAAAAACTTAATTATATAAAGCTGCATACACACAAAACAGTTTGACTATCCCAAAAAAAATTACACAAAGTTCAATGACAAATACAATCACACAAGCCAATGACTTCATTTAAATTAATCGCGTATTTTTAATGAGCCTAACCTAACCTTTACATAGCAGTTTTATCACAGCAAAGTGGCTCTGTATATTGTATTATTAGTAGCAAATTTTGTTTAAATATATAACCACCCATAACAACCAGGTGTGACTGAACCATTCCATGTCTAAACAGCTTAAATATATACATTTGTGTAAGCCTTATTTGAAAAAAAAAAGTAATAAATAGTCATAAGAGTAAAAGATTGATCTATTGGGACACTAGTAAATTCTTTAATATTACAGTGGCTAATATAGCCTATTAAAATAAAATGAACAACTAAAAATACTGACATACTTCACAAGTGGGTGAGTCACTGTTGTAGGTGAGAAGATGGGAAGATAATAGAGAAGAAATTTAATGTTTATCGTTACACAATAATTACTATAGCTAACAGAAAAACGATTCTGAGCAAAGTTTGGTTGACAGTATTGCATTGTCAACAATATTATGGTAAAATAATTAAATACAAGGTGTTCAATAAATACCCAGACTAAAATTATTACAGATAAACATTTTAAGTTATCAGCAATATTGTTATACTAAAATAAACTAGAAATAATGACTATTATTTCAGTATATAATTATAATAATTATCTCAAATCAGCCATCGACAATACGTGTTCAAAGTTGGTAATTTTGTATTAAATCCATTTTACGATGGACAATATTATGGAGCAACGCGCGTGTATTAAATTTTGTTTCAAAATTGGTAAAAATGCTACAGAAACTTTTGAATTAATTAAATTGGCTTTTGGAGATGTTTCACTAAGCCGTTATGTAACTTTTGACTGGTTCAAACGTTTTAAAGAAGGTCAGATATCCATTAAAGATGACCTTCATCTTGGGCGTCCATCAACATCAAAAAAATATTTGAAAAAACTGAAGATTAACTGTTAGAGAAGTAGCCAATGCAGTTAGCATATCAATTGGTACTTGCCATTCAAATTTATCACATGAATTGGGTATGAAAAGAGAATCCACCAAATATATATATATTATTATAAAAATTAAAATATTTTAAGTAAATCTTTATATAAATAATTACTTTATAAAACTTCAGTATTTTAATTAAACAATGAACGCAAGAATCTTGAATTTCTTTAAATTGTTTGCGATTATTTTTTTCAATAAATGTATCACGGTAGAGAATCATAAGAACGTTTACAGAATCCAAAATACAGCATACATTTATATGTTCATTTTGTTCAATGTCATCACTGATAGATGAACTACTAGATGAAGAATCACTTTGACTACCTGAAATATAAAACTATTAGTTATATTTGTTATAATATTATATTTTTTTTTTTTACCATCAGAATCATTATTTGTCTCATTATCTGTCTTATTTTGAAGTTTTAATTGCTGCTTCTTTTTTACTAAGTTATACACAGTTTTGAGTAATGATAACATAAGATCACAACCATCATTAAACTTAAGATGACTTTCAGAATAAAACAACAAATTCCGAAGAGCAACCGGATTCATTTTGTAAAACATAATTAATCTTATAAGAGTAGCATGTCTATTCGGTACTTTAGGTCCAATAAAGTTATCAAAAATTAAATCAACAAGCAATACTCCATTTTGTCTATCTTCATCCTAAAAAAATAATATTCATATGCATTTTGTAATTAACAATTCAAAATTTGATTATACAATTGTACAATATAACAATATTAATAATGATAAAACTTAATATATAAATATATAACTCACAGCAAGTGCATTGGCAACATCTGTCAAATTAACTATTGTAGCAAAGTTAATTGTGTTTGTATTCCCATTTGGTGAACAATCAACTTTTTTCACTTTTAATAAAAATAATATTACAGCGCGTCTAACTTTTTCATTTTCATCAGTCAATGCAGTTTTAATTTTAGATACAAGTAGAGGTTTTTTAAAATAATTATGTGATTTATTTTCTTCGAGTAACTGACGAAATCCATGGATTACAACTAATCGTACTTCACATATGCTATCTTCAATTAAATAGGCAAATAACCTGAAGCAATGCTTTATTTGATTATCTTCAAATGATTCCCAAAAATATCGCATACAACTACAAAGTCCCTGTTAATATAAATATTATAATTTATTTACAAATTAAAATACATAAGCTTAAGGGACCTGGTACTGGTTTTTCTGTTGTTCCAATTTTGTATAATTTGAGAATTAATTTTACATTTTATACTTTAGTGTTCAATACTTTTCCACTAATCTACTAATTGATGTCCATTTAAAGGATACAGCTGATTTCACGGAAATAGAAATAATGTATTGTCAATTTCATATTTTTTAAATTTCTTTTTTAATTAATAAATAACAACATTCTATAGTCAGCACTGATCCATAATATTTTATTTGATTTCAAATAATAGTATAAAAGATAAGTAAAAAAAAATCAAAAAATTTACTATTTTTAAACATATTATGTTTAAGATTAAAATATTGAAAAACAAAGTTAAATGCAGGCTGTGGGAAATCTCTCTCTTTTAAAAAAAAAAAAAATCATCAAAATAAGACTAATAGTTTTACCCATAAGGCAAGTTTTTGATTGAAAAAACACAATGACACTGACATTTTTAAACCAATTTATATAAACTAAAATTAATACATATCATATAACTAACATTAATATTGCATCATGTACTTGATGAAATTGAATACTATTATTTTTGGTATGTAATGAGATAAATATTTATAATTACATACTTTAATAGCGGAAATTCGAACTTGAGGACAAGGATCTTCCAAAAAATCAATAAATTTTTCTTGTTGCTTTGTTAAAAATCTTGACCCTACTTCACGACCTTCTCCTCGTTTTTCTAATGGATAAGCCCTAGCTAAAATTTCAATAGCATTGCATCTGACCACACTTAAGTCACTCTAGTTAAATATCAAAAAATAATTAGAAAAATACTAGATCATAAAAGTAAAATTTTATTGAATTGTATACCCCTAATTGTCTCCAAAGAACAGGCGTATATAATTTAGTTACAGCTTTGCTAAACATCAAATGTTTTCTGTGTTTCTGCATACTTTGCATAAAAATTAAAATATTATGATAAGTTTGAAAAGATGGACCTTTCCGCTGTAACGTAAATGATCTGTATATTATGTCAAACATTCCTTGTTGTTCAATTATCTGCAATTAAACATTATTTCTTATCTTATTCAAATTCTAAATTTAATCCAACAAATATATAAATTTAAAAAATACATTACTTCTCTCATTGATGGAGTGGAATTTATCCATGCAATAAAATAGATTTCACCATATGCTTTTGCTATACATTTATTTGCTTTTGGTAAGTTTTCCATAACTATATTATGAAATCTCTACAGAAAATAGTTATTAGTAAGTTTACTTAAATTATGCATAAATAAAGTTAAATTATACAATATACACTAAAGCAACAATTCTAAACTTTATTAATTCAACATTCCCTAAATAAAAATGTTCTCGTTCCTTCCTTGATTGAATAATATAAAATAAAATTAAAAAAATTTTTTTTTTTATTTTGCATGCATTATTCTCCGAATTAATGTGTCAAAATTAATAAACAACATTTTAATTGATACACACATTTATATTCCTATGTTGATTTTAAGCCGATATATGGATTATGGTTACCAAAAATCCAGCTCCTCAGAAATAAAAAGTCTCCAAATGGTATTCATTAAATAAGTCTCAGTTTTTGGACCGCTGCATTGATGCATTAGTGTATACAATATAAGAAATTAGAGAAAATATATACATTTTAATTTTAAATTCAAACCACAATTAATTAACTATCACATTATATTGTAATTAAATAAATTATAGTTGGACTTTTGACCAGTGAAATTTTTTTTAGTCAATTGTGTCTCATTTTTTTTTTTTTTTACTATATATTGTATATTTTTTTATTATTATATTCTAAAATCTAAAGTGCATTTGTCATTTTTTAATTTTTACTAGAAATTTCTAGAGATAAGAAACATTAAACAAGTTTTAAAAATATTATACAGTATATCTCCTAGAATTATACTCATACATCAATTGTTTTCAGTTAAATAGGTATACAAATGCATAAGAATACAAATAGTAAACACGTATTTAACAAATTAAAAGTGAACCAATTTCATGTTTAAGTGTGAAATAACTAACATAATTTATGATAATTTATTGATAAAATACTTAAGTAATCATATAAAACACAATATAACAGAAAGACCAACAAATTAGGATTGCAGAATATAATCTTAACAAGATTAAACATATCCAAACATACAAGAACAAAACCTAAATAAAAAGGAATTTGTTTAACGCTATCAAACTTACAATGATATTGTTAGATATTATTAAAAAATTTTCAAATAAGCTTAAAATAATATTTTTAATTTATTACTCTTGGTATAAAAAGATATAATTACTAATTAGGCATTTATTATTATATAGAATAAATGACCTAAAATATTTAAATGTAAATTTTGTAATTTTTTTGGATGTTTTACTTTTTATTTATATTGTTGAATCTGTATACAATTTTTTACAATAATAATAATTTATTGATTTATGAGGCTTATTTAATGAATGAAGTAATCATGGCACTTTCACTTAGGTCGTTTTCACAAATTATAGGTAAATATATATTATTGTATAATATACATCTCTAGTTTTTACAAATAAGTAGTAATTTTAAAAAAATTTTTTATTACCAGAAATAGATGTTCACTAGATGTAAATATATCCGCAATAGTCATTTTGCCTGGCTCAGTTTCTAAATAACATGTATGTTTCAAATTTTTTTCCAAATTTGACACAAACAAATTCAAAATATTTTGATTTGAAGCCAATGAACACACAACTTTGCAAAATTCCCACAATATCGAAGATAATGGTTTCTTAATCAATCAAATAAACCAATAATAAACAACTATATATAAAAAAGATATTCTAAATCTTACTGCATCAAATTTCTTTGTCATGAGTTTAATTTCGTTGAACAATTGTGTTACAGTAAAATTTAAATTTTCATTCATTACACTCTCAAAGTTTAATGTTTTTAATGCACATTGATTTTGTTCATCAGAAATAACTAATTGCCAAAAACTAAGGCACATATTTGCTATTTCCAATTTAAACTAAAAATAAAAAACATATATAATATAAGCATTGATTATAATTTATTTAATATGAAGAGTTTGATGAATTATTATCATTAATACAAGTTCAAAAATCTGTAAATTATATAAAAAAATTATTTGATAAATCAACATAAAAAAAAAAAGCTGATACTGAGGTTGGGTGCGGCCACTGTTGTAAATAGACAGTTAGGAAGGTGGAATACATAAATTTGTTTGATTTATACCTGTACCGATAACCATTACTAACAAAAAACGATTCTGAGCAGTTTGGTTAGACATATTTTAAATTTTATTATTTTAATATATTAAAATAATATTTACCATATTAATAATCAATATAATTAGATATTAAAATTTGTATACAAAAAATATATAATATAAAACTCAACTTTTACTTGTTGGCCAATTAAGTAAAACTTATAATAAACCTCATGTTAAATTGTCAAGTATTTCAGTTAGATCTAACAATTTTATCCACGAAATACCTACTGAATAAAAATTACATAAAAACTTTCAAAATTAAATATCTATAAATGGCTCAAATTTTTTTTAAATTTTACCAGGTCTAGAAAAAAAATATGTGTTCTCTTAACATTTCAAGTCTACAAATATTTTTAACTGAAACACATAAAATAAAACAAAATTTAAAATAATAAAAGAATATTTTTTGTAAATTTTCCAATTCTTTTTACTTTTTACGATTTTTCCTAATTACTAAAAAAATACAGAGAAAATCTAATAATGACTCACCAACTAAATTAAAAATACAACAATAAAGATCTTTTGTCATTTATCTATTGGAAAAATATTTGTGGTAGAAAACATAACCCATACAATTTTTAAATAATACGCCAAATGTATTTTTCGTAATTCTATATTGTTATGAAAAGTACTTTAAAAATGAAAAATAACTTTCTCTGTAAGTGGCTATATATTAAAAGGAACAAAATCAATTTCCTGTCATTTTTCGATTGGACCAATATTTCTGGTAGAAAACATTGTGTATACAAATTTAAAATAATAAATTCAATAAATCTGTGATGCACTGTAAATATTTCCTGTTTTACCTATAATTTTTTTTCTGGGTTTTTTACAATTATTTTTAAAACCCCTTAGAAAATCAAAAAAATTATCCCCCAATGCACCAACTAAAGAAAATTTCCTTTACTACACTTGATACTTCAGAGCAAAATTTTTGATAAAAAGTTATTCACAGATATAAAAAATAAATAAAAAGAAAAACACATATCATGGTAAAACTAATAAATCCTTTGCTACATTGCTAATGGGAACAAATGAAACCACTGTTACAGGTAATTTGATGTAAACCTGTAAGCACCAATAAACCATTGCTAACGATAAACAATTTGAAGGGGGTTCAGTTGATGGTGATGCTTTGTCAACAATATATATATCATTTTATAGAAAAAATAATTAAATAATATATTTTCTTTAATAATATTTGTTTAATATTGTACAAATTTTCTGAATTTTTTCTAAGTTTTTTCCCGGTTTTCCAATGTTTTATCAGTTTTTCACATTTGCTGGGAAAACTTCTGAGAAAATCGAAAAATAACCTCTCCAAAATATCTACCAAGTGAAAATTCTTTTTCGAAACATTGCTATCGTTAAAAATTGGAACAAAATTGCTGGAAGAAAAATTATGTACAGAAAAAAAAATTGTAATATTTTAGTAATATATTTCATACATTTTCCCAGTTTTATTTTTCAGTTTTTCAAATTTGGTGAGAACACTTCAGAAAATTAAAAACTGACCCAACAGTACCTCCACCCGCAAATTTCCTTTCAGAAAAGATGCTACACGTATAAATCCAAGCAAGTCTTCCGGTAGAAAAGTTGTGCAGAGATAAAAAAAAAATTTAAAAAATAAACATATATGTAAAACTATAAGCTTCTTCGCTTCACTCAGAATCTAAAATATAAAATATTTAAGCTCTGTTCCAATTGCAGAGTTTTTTTTTATTTAGTTAAATTTTCACCAGCCAACTAATCTAGTCAGTTAGCTGGGATGGCTAAGCATAAATGATATTTCACTTGATAAAGCTGATTCTCAATAAAATACACATGAAATAATATAAGTGTTAATAAAGAGATATTTTGTTGACCGACAACCCGAGACATGATTAATTTCTTACATACAAGTAAAAATTTGATTTAAATAACTATAATAATATTTACCTTATGCTGGAAATCTTTAGCGAAAAAAGTTTGAAATTTTATAATAAGTTGTGTTAAATTGTCATCTCCACATATCCAATGTATGTCTTCTGCACCATTAATAACAGAACAGATAAGGTTTAAAACACATTGATAGCATGCCAATAACTCTGTATCTTTTGTAGTATCTTCTAAATCTGAGGTTTCTTCAATAAAATCAAGTAACGAAGTCCATAACTCTTTGAAATCACTTTCACTTAACTCTTTTAATGAATGATTCTACAAACAAAATAGTATTAAATTAAACAATAAAATAATAAAGTAAAAACAAAATTATTAAAATGGTTAATACTCATAAATAAATACATGAATAAAAAATGTAGACATAAAAATAAATAAATAAAAGTCGCATTTTACATTTTTACTGTGATATACCTGATGATGAAATTTTAATTTGTAACCAGTCGTATAATACACTTATCATAATAGTCCAGGCAACAAATTCATTAATTTATTTATTTTTATTTTTATACATACATTTTTTTATTTGTATATTTATTTATTATATTAAAATTAGATATTGATAGTTTAATTATACTATAATGAAACAATGCATAATACTTATTTTATGTTCATACCTTAATTTAAAGTTAATATTAATGTAATATAAATATATAAGAAAAAGGCACGACACAGGTAAAATATTCAAATTTTACTTAGATATTTCATACTTTTTTTGTTACTGTAAACCCTATTAAAAATTATAATAATTCTAAAGTGATATACATCCAAATCTGAGTCCAAATCCATGGCACTCAAGGCACATTCAAATTTGCGCCCATAAATTATATTTTGTCCGAATTATGTCCGCGATTTAATCATGATACATCAGAGTTACATCCGCATTAATAATTGATATATACATATTTTCCTTTCCACTTTTACTAACTAATGGGAACTGTAATTTATATAAATGGTGTTGTTAAAAATATATTATATATTTGGTATTATAAATTATTTATTGATTTAAAATGTATATTTTATTAAAAATTAATTTAAAATAATATTATGTCCAACCTTGGTAAATATTGTTAGATACGTAGATATTATGTTAATTATTATTATTATTTTTATTTTATAAAACGAATAAATTTGTGTACACCAATTTTTTAATGAACTCAAGACGTGATATATTTTTATTTTTAATCAAGTCATAGAATTTTGAATAAAACATTTGTTTTCTACATCCTTTCTTTGTTTGTTTGGTAAATTTGAACTTTGCATTTTAATATAAATATCAGAACATTTTTGAGATAAACAATATGAACAAAATTAACTTCCACCAATAAATTGTATGGTAATATTTACCAACCTATAATTTGTATTATTTATTTATTTATTTTGTATTACTTACACAAATCAACTTAACATTCTGTTTTTTATATATATATATAAATGATTTAACTTAGATGGGAATACATTGATTCAAATAATTTCTTCATAGCTGTATTTTGAGGTTACTAATCCTAATTTATTGCTTCTGAAGTCACTTTATGTAGGCCTTCAAAACCTTGGCTAAATTTTCTTCTTTGATATTCTATTATGATATAGTTTATTGTTTGTTCTTTGTTGCCAGTCACAGGTTGGATAGTCAAGAAATCCCCATTTATGTAGGAGAGTGTGAAACCTGTTATAACTGCTATTCCTAATCTGTTTAGTGTAGACCAGTTGCTACAGAGGAGATTCATCCCTAAAACTCCAATGTTAGGGTCGAGTACTAATTTCCCGTTTTATACAGTAGCTCTAGGCCATTCTTTCCGCCATTCATCAGCACCATCAACTCCTGAACTGGATAGTTTCCTAGCGGTCTCAACGGGTGGACTCCTGGATTTTAATTGCTGTTCATGTGTTTGGAGCAACATCTGGTATAGGAGTAAGCATTTTAATCTTTAGACTTCCTGATGGTTTTTATGAGTACTTCTTTCCTTCATATGGTGGTTTAATATTTGCCAGTACCGGCAACCAATGAAGTAGTATGGATTCAACAGTTCCACTAATTATTCTCATTATACTGTTAAGCTTTCTTTACATGTGAGCTATTACCCCAAGTTTGGATCCCATACTCTGCTGCACTATAAAGTAGGCCTTGATATTCTCAAAATCTTAACATCGGCACCCCGAACCATACGAGCTGACATTAATACTAGGTTAATCCAGGACCAAATCTTTATCGAACCAACCTATAATAAGGTATCGATAATCGCCGAACAAATATTAACGAATTCATGATCAACCATATAGAAATAGGATAACAATTATTTGTATGAACGCAACTCGGAACAGTCGCCGAAAAATCGGGATTATTGGGGAGTATATTTTCGTTTTTAGGAACGCAATTCGTATAAAATCGGCCACAGTGATATGAAATTGTGTACAAGGGAGTACATATAGGAATTTAACAAAGTAAACATTTCTGTTTAAATTTTCAACCAAGTCGATTACTATCACACAATACTTTATTCAATCACATTATCTTACAAAGAAATATTATATTATTAATAAAATTAATTTGTATTTAGATAATGTGATGGCATGTATTGATATTTATTCAGACAAAACTTTAAATATTGGTGTAACAGGCCCAACGTAGGAATAGGACTTTGAGGAAAAATGTTTGAAATAAATCAAACTCCAACTTGAGTTTATAAATAATTAATATTTCCGACACGAAAAATTACAAGCCCAAATAATTCAATTCAACATCGAAAAATATTCCAAGTCAAATTTGATTTCATACACAAAAATATTAAATGTCTTAAAATATTTCATAAAACTGAGTGACGCGAAGTTGCTCGCATTTGGTCATGGTGGACTCGTCTGATTCGATGATGTTTAGTGCGTTATATATACTCTGAGGGACCCCGCAACTCGTCGTTCGTAGTGCGGCTATCTACATTATTTCATTAATGGCATTTTTTTATACTTCCTGGAATCGAAGTATTGCTCGATGGTTTACGCGTTTTATTATAAATATTATATATTTATTTTACAACCATACCCTCGCGCGCTGTTACGCACAATTTGACAAATTCAAAAAGGTACATTTTAATATTGCTTTCGGTTCCCCCTTTTTTTTGGTTGTTGACTTTATCGTTTCATTATATATTTTTGTATTACCTCGTATGCCGTCGCGTCGCGGCTATCTATTTTATTTCGTTTATGGCGCATTTCCGTATTATTTAATATTTTCATATTATTTAGATTTATCGTTCGCTTGTGTGCTGTCGCCGATGCATGTGCAGTTGATTTATGCCTATCCACCCCTTTGGTAAATAAAACGTGCAATTGTATTTTATGGAAATCTTAGCTCTCGGTTATGGTTGTGATCCTTTTTTTAAATGATAATTACTACGGGTTCACGCGCGTATACTTATAGTAACGTGTGGGCACGTAACACTGGATAGTATCTTAAGCTAGGAGCATAAACGAAAATGTCATAGTATATAATTACAATCTATAATATTTATGCATAAGAACCAACTCCAAAATAACTAACAATTAACTAGCTGCTATTCGTCCAGCATTGTGCCCTTGTTCCTATGAGACTATGCCTTTCTACTGAACTGCCAGAATCTGCGCGCTTATAATAATTGACCAGTGATAACTAGACCATTTACACAATAAAAACATAGCAACAAATAATCTTACCACTGTGTTTAAAATTTCTTTGGCTTTTTCTGGTAGCTTTTTACATTCAGGCAGTGCTATTTTAACATTTTTAAACAATGCCTTAGCCATTTTTAAATAAGTTTAAAATTTAACACTAATTCAATCCGTAAAAGTTAAAATATACACATATTAATAATAATTTAAAAAGACAAATAAGTATATCAAACAGCAAACACTAAACTAAGACTAACTAAGTCTTCAAATTTCATTTCCATTTGTTTTCGTTTCACAATTCACAAATCTTAATAGTAATTAGTTATTAGTAAACAATGAACCGAGCGCGAGAAAAATCTGTATGCTACTACTAGCAGCGTTAGCTTTAGATAACTACATAACCTATAAATATTATTAAACAAAAAATAACGCTTTGTCTATTGATCATATATATATATGTACTTATATATACATATGTATATATTTAATCAATACTCGGTAAGATTTTAGTTCGTAATTTAGTTCATAGAGTACTTCATGCACCCAGCTGTAGTGGTTTGTATCATAGCAGGGGAAATTTCTTACTGTCCATGATGTTATTATGCCGTTAATTATTATTTTAGCTTAAATACTTTTATTTTATTTAAATTTTATAATTGACCATGGCGTATTGAATAACGCGTTACTGGTAGAATTTGTGTTGTCGAGTTCGATATCGTTCGAGACATACACTAAACTTAGGCATTTATTTTTATCACTTTTCCCTATTACCTACTCAACAAGGTTTTGCACAACAAATTGAGGGGTTTTTTTTATTAAAATAGTCCGAGTGAGCGTAGCGAGCGAGTGACCCCGCCAGGTCTCCAGGTGCATCCGAAATGCTTTTTCTATACATAACACAAAGGTTAAAATTTGACAATAATGATAAACAGCATGATGTTATGGATAGCGAAAAATCTTTCCTGCTATGATCCGCTCGTTTGGATAGAGCTACTACATGATAAACGTATACTACAAATTGAAGACATCATTACGAACGAGTGCTAAGGGAATTGATATCTATTACGCATTCGTACCAGTACTCGTCGCATATATATCGTATAATCATTATAAAACCATCAGACAGCACGATTTAAGATATACTTTATATATTTAAGATATATCTTAAATCGTGCCAGGCAGTGATGGTAAGTAGTACGTCACACGTGATTTCGACCAATTGCCCGTGATATAAATTTTATGCCTGCTCATTTGTCCAAATTCCCCTTAGTTGTGTTTACTTCAAATATTTATTATCGATAGTATATGATCTAAGTAATAAACGAACAGATAAATGGTAATAATAATAATTTAATTGATAACAATTAATACCTATTCAAATTAATGTTTATTGAGTACTTATTAGCGGGAAATGGGAAGTATAGTATACATAATACACTAATAATTTAAATAATTGACATATTTTATAGAGAATTATCATTGTTAATGGTGGGGATACATCGATTTCAATCGTCGAATATCTATACTGGTGTAAAATAATCGGTATCAAATGTTAGTAAACCGATACAAAATTTATCGGTAGACCATTTTATACCATCGAATTTCTAGGTGATGGTGTAGAATAGGGGTCGGCAATTAGTTTCTAAGGTGGGTCAGATAATTTTAAAAAAAATTTTCGGGGGCCATATATTTTAGTAGTATTTTAGAATTAAACAAAAAAAATTTAACCTCTACCTGTTTGGTATTCTGTCTTATTTAACATTTGAAAACAAATTAATTTATAAATGAATAAATGCATTTATTTTTGTATTAAAAACACAATTATTATATAATATTATTTAATTATTTTATATAGAATAAAATGAATATACAATTTTATAATAATATACAAATACTCCAAATATAATATCATAAACATAGATTATGTTTGGACGACGACGAGGAATGTCGAGGAATACGATTATTTTATCTTTAAATAGTTATAAATAAAACACTAATAGGTATGTTCAAACTTAAATTTCCTTTTTGACCAATAAGTACAACTTGAAATTAATCTTGTGTTAATTTTTTTAAGAATTTCTGTTTAGGCATTATTGCATTAGACATTATATATTAATCACAGATACCTACCAAACAAAAATACATAAAAAAAACACGAACATATTAAATACTTACTTATATGAATAGCTTAAAAATACCTAGAATATTTTAAAAAGTTGAGAAGTGAGAAGTTAGGAAGGTGAGATTTAGATGGGAATTTAATTTATATTTGTACGCAATAATTGCTAATGAAAAACAATACAGAGAGGAGCTCGGTTATTAGTAAATATTAGTGTATTACGAATAACTGTAATTTGAAAAATTCTATTTTTTCGGTTTTTACAAAAGTTAACACACACTAGATGAAAAATGAAACCATATAGAGTTTAGACGTGTTTTTATGTACAAAAAAAAAATTCCAAACATTATTTTAAATAGGTAGGTATCGATCCTTAAACGGCAGTTTCTATGACTCACGCAACTAACCACAGTCAAATGCGAGAAATGTTGGAAAAACAACTAGGTATTTAAGGCAATAGTATTATAACGACAAACTTGAAACAGTTGAAACTTCCAATTTATTGAAGTGTGCCAGTGTCCCTCCGATATTAGATCTAGTTCATTGATAAGTGGGGAGGGGGTAGGTGATTTTATGATATTCCTTGTACTAATTAATGGAGATAAAAACCTTTCCTATTCTTAAACAGAATTTCTTTAAAGAACATAAGGTTTATTATAAGTTTTACTTAGAGGTCTAAAGGTAAATTTGAGTTGAATGGTTTAGTGTTTTTTTGATCAAATTACAGAATTTCAAAATTTGTCTTACCGAATCGGTTTTCGTTAGCAATAGTTTATCGTTGCGTACAAATTTAAATTAAATAACTTTGTGTTATACCTTCCCAAAATCCCAACTTCCCACCTACAATGGTGGCTGCATCTGTCCCCAGTATTAGCTCTTTTTTTTAAAAATATATTTATTTCTTTTAAAAAAGGTTAGGTTGTAGCCACGAATTAAAATATACCTTAATCATAATACATATTCAGTATCATTGTTAATTTTTGATAATGGTGGAGGATACAACGATTTCCATCGTCTAATATGTATAATAATCGGTATGTATCGGCTATTGAACCATAAGAACTAAATTATCATATAGTTCAATGATATCGTTAAGGTTTATAGATACTCTATTATCTATAAACCTTGATGTATCGGTACACCATTGCTTATACCATAGAGTTACTCAATGGTTTGTACCTACAAATATCGTGATTATATACGTGTATTACAAGAAAGCAGGATGCATACATATGTTTATTATCTGTGTCACTAATATTGTATTGTCAACATGGCTTATCATTATTGTTGGTTTCGTTAAAAGTGTACCTATACTCTCTAGTCTCATATTAATATATTACATTATAAACATAATACGAATTATAGAATATAATTAATTTTTTCTACATTATTAATCATACATAATAAATCACCATTATTTCATGTTTTCACCAATTATATAGGTTAATTTATATCTGTAGGTCTTGGTGATGGTAGAAAAGAAATGTTTTAAAATTTGTTTTAAACTTTAATAATTGTTTCAAATCTTGACATATGTTACCAATTACATAAATTCAAAAAATTAATTTTAAGTTTCTAAAAATGGATTTAAAACAATTATTTTTGACACGGTCACATGATGGGTATTTAGGAAAAGAGGATAAAGTAAGCATTTTAAAATAAATAATATCATTTTTCTTGTTTATTGTTTGGGTTATTTGTTAAGTGTTTAATTATAATTCTACTTTTAATGTGTGTGTAGATTCACTATTCATTAACATATTGAAGCATTTTTATATTAATTCAGTGTTATGTAAAATTAAAAATATTAGAAAAAATGTATTCTAATTAAATACTAATTAAAATAAAATTGTATTTTATAGATTCGAATTGAAACTGCTTTAGAAACAGAAGATGAAGAAGATAATGACTTTATAATCAATGAAGAATTAAAAAATGTGTTGGCTATAGACAATTTGAAAGAATGGGGTAGCAACATTAAACTTACCAAAGGAAAACCCTTTTCTGGTCTTACTCCTTCTATGTGGCCAGAAGATATTGCTGTTAGCTATACTCAATATGACAATACATCTCCTCCTAGTACTCAATGGTAAATATTAAAATAAATGTATTAAAAAAATCAGCAAACAAAAGAAAAATGATTCTGACCAAAGTTCAACTTAACCTTTTTTGATTAATTTAAATTGAATATTGTATTATTTTGTTACTAAGTACAAAATAAATTTAAATGATTCTTAGTTTTTATGAATTTGAACACAAATTTGGATTTAAAAGGCTGATCAAAATATATAAAAAATTGTATTCACAAGCAAAAAAAAAATTTAATTAAACCATGACTATAAAGTAATATAATAGGTTAAACATGTTAAATCTATATGATTATTTTTCACTGAATTACAACAAAAAAAACAAAAGTAAAAATAAACTGTTATTCCTAAATTATTCTTGTTTTCCCCATTAAGAAAATTGCAATAAAAGTTAAAAAATAACTTCCTCAATGCACAATCAAGGCAACATTTCCTACCAGAAACCACTCTTAATGTTAATGGTTGGAATAAGATTTACCGTAGAAAAGTTATTCATTTAAAGAAAACAATTCTGCACAATACAACCAATGCATTCTTCCCTTTGCTCAGAATTTAAAATTATAAATATATTCCAATTTTTCAAAAGATAATACTTCATATAAATTTATTTATATTTATTATTTTAATCAATGCAATAGATTAAGTATAATATTGTCTGATAAATATATACAATTAATTTTTAAATCCTTTTAAATATATATATTTTTTAATTTCATTTGCTTTATTTGAAGACTTAAATAAAAATTAAAGTCTCTTTTTATATTTTGACTGTGATATACCTGATAATGAATTTTTAATTCAAAACTGGTCGTATTTTACACTTTTATAATACACTTGTTATAATGCTCTAGGCGATGCATTGATTCATTTATTTATTTTATTTTTATCTATACATTTTTTTATTTATATATTTATTTACGAGTATTCACCATTTTAATAATGTTGTTTTTGCTTTATTATTTTATTAAAAATTAAATATTTATTTTAAAAAATACTAATTTATATAATATATTTATATATATATATATACTTTCAGGTTTGATGAATTTGGTTTTCGTATTGAAAATCACAGTGATTTTACAAAGGACTGTTTGTTAACTGATGATGTATATGAAGATCCTCAACATAGGTATTAAATTACTTGTTATATACATTTTAAAATTTATTTATTATTAAATAATATGTGTATTAATGGTTATTAAAGAATGCAGTGGCTCTCTTATTTTGAAAATCTGTACAAAAATGAATTATCAGAAAAAGAAAAAAATACTCTTAAACACCATTCCGAAATATTACAATCAATGGTACGGCAAGGTATACCTCATTCACTTAGACCACAATTATGGATGCGATTTTCTGGTATATAAGTATTTATTCATGAAAATATGTTATTGTTTACAATGTTTTTTTTTAATATACAGAGTTATTCTTTTACTATTGAATAGTCATTATTGCAAAACAATTTTCTCGACAATTTAAAAAATTAACAGCTCTAAAATATTACATTACCATTAGTTTTTTTTACCCTTATTTTCAAGAGTGAAACAACTACCTATTTTTATTATAAGTAACCATTTGAAAATTAAAAGTAAGTACTAGTTTAACCTCCATAAATAAGGGTGACAACAAATAATAGTAATGTTACATTTTAGAGCTGCTTGTTTCTTAAATGGTTAAAAAAATTATTTTGAAAAAGTCAGTACTTTTGAAACAATGGAGTGTTTAATAATATATGAATCACACTGTAAGTTTATAATATATATATGTTTGTTTTAGGTGCATTCTTAAAAAAACAATCTCATAATGTCACTTACAAAGAAATTGTAAGATCATCAAACAATGATACTTTAGTATCTTCAAAACAAATAGAAAAAGACCTTTTACGCACAATGCCTAGTCATGTTTGTTTTAATAATCTCCAGAGTACTGGGATTCCAAGATTACGTAGAGTATTGAGATCGTTGGCTTGGCTTTATCCTGATATTGGGTAATTTACAAATTTACATTAATTGCACATAAAATTATAATAAATTACTATGTTTAGTTATTGCCAAGGAACCAGTATGATAGTGGCATCACTTTTACTTATCCTTGAAGAAGAAGAATCATTTTGGGTTATGTGTGCTATTGTTGAAGATTTATTACCTGCATTATACTACACTACTACTTTAATAGGTACCATAGATTGTCCATAAAATATGTATGTTTAATTCATTTTTTTCATTGTTTTTGCTGTAGGTGTGAAAGCAGATCAACAAGTATTGCAAACTGTTTTAGGAAATTGTTTACCAGGAATCTGCCATCTTTTACGATTACATGATATAGAATTAAGTTTAATAACAGTAAACTGGTTTTTAACACTGTTTTCTAATGTTGTCAACTTTAGAGTTTTATTAAGAATTTGGGATTTATTATTCTTTGAAGGATCAATTATTCTTTTTCAAATCACAATAGGACTTCTTAAATTGAAAGGTAATATATTTATAAAAACACAAAATTTAATTAGTTATCAGTAAAATATTCTATATTTTTCGATATAAAAATGTCTAGGCATTATAAATTAAATTTCAAACATTTATAGATGGAACATTTATTTTCAATTCCATAAACCGTGTAGTACTGTTGAAATTTAGAGTACCATTTAAAAATAACATGTAAAAATGTTAGTTTGTTGCTTTCAATATTTAAAAATAAAAATGTTTCCTGTATTTAAATATGAACATTATCATGTTATTTAGAACTATAATTTTTTTATGGTATATCTTATATGTATATCTGAAAACGCAGAGCAAGTGTTATAAAATAAACTATTGAAATACAAAATATTATTACTTTTGTGTTGTAAGAATGTTTAATAGTAAAGGGATAGCTCATTTTTTTCGCATTCTCTAATTAACTTGGCACTTTTATGTTATTTTAGTTATAAATAATTGAATGATATTTCAATTTGGCCAAATTCATAATATTTTATTTTATTTAGTTCATTTAAATTTTTCATGGGGACATAGAGTAAAATTTAATCTAGAAAATTAAAATATATTGTATTAATCAATCTAGATTTACAAATATAGCATTTCAAATTATAGTTAATAAAATTAATACAAATTGATAAATGGTTTGGTGTATTATAATTTTCAGAACCATTATTAAAAACACTCGATAACTCAGCTGATATCTTCAATGCTTTATCTAATATCCCGGGAAATATATCTAGTATTAAAGAATTATTTCAAGTATATACAAATTGATCAATGCACTATGTATATTTGTATTATAAGTTATATTCATATTTTTTGTTTTAAGGTATGTTTTGAAGTATGTCCTGAAATTACAAATGAAAAAATTGAAGCTTACCGAAAACGATATTTAGGATATTTAATGGCTGATGGAGGAGCTTTAGTTCCACATATAAATTCTGCAACAAACTTGCCCAAACAACATCTTAATAGGTTTGAGTTAATTTATAGTTATTGAAATATAATACCATCTAACAGGCTGTTTGTTTTGGTGGTGTAAAATCTTTAATAGAAGACAAATTCGAAAATCAAGATCTTTAATGCAAGTATTACTCTTTGGTGATGAAATAAATGAAGACAACTCTAGAGTTACATTAAAATGCAAAAATATTCGCCAAACCGGTTTGTTAAATATTTTAATTTAACAAAACATTTTTAATATTATAATTAACAAGATATTATTTTTAGAATTTCTAGTTGATTTAAGAGAAGCAATAATGCAAGTAGCTCGTCATTTTGTTATTGTTGATCCTAAATTGAATAACCTTTCTTTAAAACCAGACTTTACCAAAGAAAGCCATTCAAAGGACTTAGAAACATATGCAAATGTTTCAAGAAATAAAAAAAGAAGGGCCAAAGCACTTTTAGGTAATTATTATTTGTATTACATAACTAACATGTAATAATTTATCATAAAACTTAAACAGACTATGACAATTATAGTTTGAGCCTATCTATGTTAATTTTGAAGAAATATTAAATATCATTAAAAACTTGTAATTTAATAACAATGATAATAGTAGGTTTAAATATAGATTGAATTTATCCCATAGTGATTAAATTGACATAATTTTATATCAATAATCTGTTATTGAGAATGATAAAACAGACTTTTAAATGTATTAAATAGTGCCTTTTCTATTATATATCTATTAATTAATATGTAATATATAATTTGATGAAAGAAATATATATATATATATTTGTAAATATTCAATAATTTATGTATATTATTTTAAGACTTTGAAAGACATGATGATGATGAATTAGGATTTAGAAAAAATGATATTATAACAATTATAAGCCGTAAAGATGAGCATTGTTGGGTTGGTGAATTAAATAGTTTGAGAGGTAATGTTACTGATTTAATATTAAATATTTTTAAATTTAGTAAATAAATATATAAATAAAAAATAAATAAATAAATGAATATATCACCTGAAGTTTATTTATATATTTATTTATGAGTATTAACTATTTTAATAATTTTGTTTATACTTTATTTTTTTATTATTTTAAAATTATTAATAAAAAAATTAAATCATAATAGGATGGTTTCCTGCAAAATTTGTGGAACTTTTAGATGAAAGAAGTAAACAATATAGTGTAGCTGGTGATGATTCAGTATCAGAAACGATTACAGATTTGGTAAGAGGAACACTTTGTCCTGCTATTAAACAAGTACTCGAACATGGAATGAAACGTCCATCATTTTTGGGTAACTACAAATATTAAATGTATAATATATTTTTAAAAAAAAATTTGACCACTTTAACTGTATGCGCTGAATACAATAATCCAATAGACCCTATCCATATTTTACTTTCTATATACTCTAAAAATTCCCTTGCATATTTTATGCACACACAATTATTAATTATACAAATGTTAATTGGTTCAATATGTCATTGTTCCATGCGCTACACTATACTATTATGTTAAATAGTTTTTATGTGCAATATATTTCAGTACAATCTATTTAAAAGAAAAATTATTGGATCATTTATTTTAACTAAAAATTATAATTTTGAAATTATTTTAATAATAAATAAGTATTGTGTGCCCTTACAATCAAGAAAAACGTTGCATCTTTAACTCACAAATGATCCACAATAGAGCAGTTGTCAATTTTACAATTATACTAGTTCACGTTCATTATGGCGCAAGAAGTATCTTTTAATACCTAGCTTGACCACTGCACTTTTAATTTTGTATTTTTCTTGTCGGGATGCAGAGACTCAGTTCTTTTTAGAGAAATAGTTTTCTAAAACATACTAAGAGGTTTATCAATTATAAACCAGCCAACAACTTGAGAAAATATTTAGTAGATATTTTTTTTTAAATAAACATGTTTCTGAATATTAAAAATACTCAAAAAATTCCATGTAGTGACTTTTATATTTTTACATAATTCAATCCAAATAATAATTTTATAAATAAAAATAAATTATGCAAATGTTAATTAAAAACTGTACACACAATTTTGATCACATAAATACTTCAAAAAAATGATAGCAGTTGAATCAAGTATTTTTAAAATTTAAAAATATATTAATATGATAATTTATTGTATCAACAAAATAACATATTTTGACATTTAACATTATTATTTAGGTGGACCATGTCATCCATGGCTATTCATCGAAGAAGCCGCAATGACTGAAGTGGAAAGGGATTATAGTTCTGTGTATAGTAGATTAATGTTATGTAAGACATATAGATTAGATGAAGACGGCAAAGTTTTAACTCCTGAAGAAGTAAATAACAATTATCATATTAAATACAAGCTTACATTAATCATCTAATGTCATTATATCTTTCAAATTTCAAAAATCAACAAAAGTAACTTGATGTTTGCTTAAGCTTTTATATAGGTGTATTCAATGTATAAATCAAAGTCATGATGCAGCTGGTTGTCAAATGGATGTAAAATTGAGAAGCCTTGTTTGTCTTGGTCTTAATGAACAAGCTTTACATTTATGGTTAGAGCTATTATGCTGTTCAGATCAAGTTGTAAAAAAATGGTAATGATTTAAATAAAGTATAGTTTAAATACCTCTTTATATACTCATTAATAATAATGGTATCATTATTATTTATTAGGTATCAGCCATGGAGTTTTGTATGCAGTCCAGGATGGGTACAAGTAAAATGTGAATTAAGAGTTTTATCACAATTTCCATTTAATTTAAGTCCAGATTGGGAGCTTCCTCCGAAAAAAGAAAATACTCAGACATTAAAAGCTGGTGTTAGAGACATGCTAGTAAAACACCATTTGTTTAGTTGGGATCTCTAGTTTTCTGTTAAGAATAACAGATTTATTGAATTTTTATTTTATTATTTATATTTCTAATAATTCATAGTTATATTTGTTATGTTTTTTAGATTCTGAGCACAGTGAAGAATTTATTGGTTTTACTATGTATTTTTTTAAACTTCTAAAAGAAATATTGATTCAATTTCAAGTGTAGTTTTTTTTGAGAACTAATGTTATCTAGTAGGTGAATAGGTGATTTCAATTAATTTTTTGTAGGTTCCTTAATGATTGGGAAGGTGCATAAATAGTGAAAAATGTACAGTAATAAAAATTACTTTTCAATTTTTTTTTTATATTTTGAATTTTTCTAGATCTAATATTTTAAAAATATTTTGACAATTTTTGTGCTATTTATAGGTATTTGACATTTTCAAGTTTTTTGATAGATAAAATATTTCAAAATTTAACACGAGGTTCATCATAAGTTGTAATTGGTGGTAAAAATGAAAAAAAGTCTGTGCAACATAGTAGATTTTCTTTAAACATTTTCGGTTTCAAGTTTTGATGAAAATTACTAGATTTCAAAATATGTTTATTCAAGTTTTGCTCAGAATAGGTTTTTGTTAGCAACAATAATTTAAGTAATTTTATGTATCCTACCTTCCTAAACTTCTTACCTACCATAATGCCACGTTCATCATCAGTATCAGTTTTTTTTTTTCTTTTGGTGTGAATCATTTTTATTTTCTAATACTTAATAATATTACTCTGTATATGTAGTTATAAATTTAAAATTTAAAAATTAAAATACTAAAAAACAAGTATACAAATAAATAATTGAGAAACTTGATGTTGGACTGTTATTTTATTTCTTTATCCGGGTATTAATAATTATTTCAATGAAGTAAATCGCTTTTAAAATCAATACTGAGAAAACATTATTAAATATTATTATTTTAATAATATTGAATTTGTTTTTAAAAAATGTAGTGCCTTCAACCATACCATAAATATTTTTGAATATTAGAGTATATTTTTTACTCTATTTAAATTATTGATTCAAAAAAATGTAATATTGTAAAACCTAAATAAAATTCTTTACTTCATTCAGAATCTAAAATACACCTAACTTCTGATTGTTTTCCTTTATAATATTTATGTATATATATATATATATTTAAATGAAATTATGTTATAATTTTCTTTAGGTAAATTTATGGGACATAGTTCAGCATATTTTTTGTTAATGTTCTTATGTATAAGTGAATTTTAAATAAATAAAATCTTGTTTTGTATTTGATAATAGAATAATTTTGCTGTACATGTTTGATAAGGATTATAAGTTAAAACAGTATATATTAAAAACAAATGTTTGCATATATATAATTGTATGCTATATATTTGAAATTCAGTTGGTAATATTATATTTGCACTTTAATTTAAAGAAGTGGGATAAATTTTCAATGATAACTAATTAATTACCATAAACAATTTTAAACACTATTCAATTTGAGAGTACACCGGTTTGCGTATACGCAATAGCGCTGAACGTTGCCTTACCCTCTATTTAATTAATTGAAAACAATCATTATAGAATGCACGACATTGTCATTCAATCATGTACGCTGTACTCTGTGGTTGTCGCCACTGCCCCCATGTATACAGAAAGTCATAATATTTAAATACCTACTGCCAAATAAATTATCGTAATATACACGCATAATATAACGTTTCAATCAAACTAAATAGGAGATATAGAAAAATTACATAACTTAATGTAAATTATAGTGTTCATTCAAATTAAAACAGAGAATTTGTATGAAAAATATGTGATTTCGTTCGACACCTGGTGTATTTTTAAGTTGAACAGAGTATAGTTTCTAGAAGAAATTTAATTAAAGTATAATAATTTATACTAACTATAACTATCTATGTATTGTAGATATTTTTTTTACAAAAATTCTAATGAAAAAAATCTATATTTTAAGTATAATAAAATATAATTTTAAAGAATTTAAAAATAAAAAATCTTAAAGGGTATAGTAAACCAGATTTAAATTAGCATATGGGGTTCTTTTGAAAACAAGTATCACAATTACAAATAAAAAAACTCATAATTTCCTTTTTCAAATAATTCATTTATTTACATACAACAAAGAAAACCCAACTTAATTTGTTTAACTAAAAATTAGGCAACATTTTTCTTTTAACAAAATTAAATAGATTTAAACAATGAACAATTTAAATTATCACCCTGTGATTGCATTTTCATTATGTTATACTATTTACTGAAATGACTAACTATATTTTAATAGAGGCCTCCATTAATTATTACTATTTAAATAATATTCAATTTTAAATTGAAACCTTGTAGGTTTAGTTTACAGTAAAATTAGTTTCTTAGCTTGAAAATAGTTACATTAAAGTAATATCCAATTTACAATAAATTCCATAGAGGCCAACTATTTAATTTAATATCATTATTTTTATACATATTTTATTGGTAAAGTGTGCTGGGCACATATTATATAAACTTAATTAGTAAATATTGAAAATAATAATAATTGTTTAACGAGATATATTTGTCCAAATCCTAAATGAAGCATATAATTAACTTGATTGAAATCTGGACATAAGATTTATCACAGCGTACAAACTTTCTTAAAAAAACAACAAAATATAACCAACACATATTATGTCAAGATTTCAATTTAAAAAAAAAAAAAATACATTTAAATAAAACGAGTATAACTAATAAAATATAATTGATATTATATAACCTTATATATGGAGTATAATTTGTCTAATTACAATACAATCATTGAATTGAGATCTAATTTAACTTAAATTTTGAAAAAGTTTTATTTGAATATAAAATAAAAAGAAATATTACTGTATTACATAGTACTACAAATAAATTATATTTTTATTTTTAATTTGTTTGAATTTGACCAGTCTTAAATAAGTTAATTTATTTTTGACTGTTTGAAAAATAAAATATATTATCCATTAATTTTATGTCCAATATTAAGTTTTGTTAAGTAAATAATATTAATATAGAAGAGTATTTGAATAACATATAAATTAATAATTATAATACTATAAATATTATTAAATTAGTCTCCATATATCACCAGAACACTTCTACATGAACCATTAATGTGCATTAATAGAACTTACTCAAAATGGTTGATTTTTTTTCTCACTATTAAGTCTAATTTTGAATGACTAGCATCTAAATAACGGTAAAGGCACTTGGATATAAAAAAATAAAATAAATAGTCATGCAGGTTCATGGAACATAAAAGACGAAAGAAAACAATTATCACAGTTCACTAATTTCATAAATTTATACAATGCAAATAAATGTTCAACAATGAAATCCATACATGTATTAGTGTGTATATATATAACAATTTCTATGGTTTTACACTAAAAATAGACAATATTCTAACAATTTAAAACAGGCTCATATCACAGTGAATTTAACAATGATAACTTTTTTACAATGGTCGGTTTTAATTTACATAATATTAGTTTATCACAGAAGTAAAAAAAAATTAAGTTATTGTTTATACCATCAAAAACAAACCATATGAATATGGAGACGTTATAATATGCCTACAGTGATGATCTTAAAAAAAAAAAAATACATCAATAGGCTGACAGTTTTTAAACAATATTGGATTAGACGTTGGTAACTCAAAACTGATACATCATTGGTAATCTATTTTATAATCTAACAATATGATATAATAATATAATATTAATAAATAATTACAAATAAACATTTTAAAAAAATCATTTAAAACATGACAAAGGTCGATACTCAGCATTTTAGTCCATTGAATTAATCTAAATTTTATTTATATAAATCCTTATAAACAAATATTAAGTTTATCTTTAAAATAATATACAAATAATATATATTTTTTTTTTGGTACGGGATAAATAATCATATTCTAGTTTTGTAAATAGAGATTAATAATAATATATAGTTCATATATAAAGATAAGATAATAAGTGTCTTAAAATCTAATCACGATTATTAGGATTATTTTTCAATTGAAAATTTGAGTACTCTAATTTTTTTTTTAAAGACGTACTATTATAATAGTATTTACTAACTATCCTTTAAACATAGTATTTATTAATGCTATGGCTGAAATTCCTAAAGCAATTTATTTTAAACTTTTAAAGTTTATACAAAAAATGGACCATCTTATAATATTTTTCTATCATCGAGTCAACAGATTATAAATTTTAACAATAAAACAATAACAATCAAACACTCACACAATAAAAATATGTAATTAAATAACAGGTCAACGATTAATATGGGTATAACTAAAAGAAAAATTAACTAAAGGGTAACAACAATAAATTAAATAATAACAATAAATGTACCATAAGTATTTTTTTGGGTCAAGTTGGTGGTAACTTGTTTACATTGTGAGAAGAGTCCACTGTTGTTGAATTATCCGTAGCTGTATTATTGTTGGTGGGACGTGGATGTCTATAAGATACATGTTTTCTTAATGCATCCCTAGATCGAGAAACATGACTACACACTGAACAAGCATACTGTGCATTTTGATGAGTTTCCATATGAACACGCAAGTTGTAATGATTGCTAAGTTGTTTACCACAAATGAAACACATTGTATACAGCTTGGATACAGGTGGTCGAGATTTAACATTATCTGATTGTGAACCCTGTACTACTGGACCTATAAATTATTTATAGTTGACACATAAAAATTGAACTGACATAGATAATTATATAAATACAAATTATATTATTGATTAATCATAGTTAAATTTTTTTTTTTTAATACATATTACATGATTTTTTGATAAACAATACTAATTTACATATATAGATAATAATTTATTCATTTAAATAAATAGTCAAACTTGGTTAACTTGAAATTGAGTTATTGAATTTGAATTATTAGAATATAAATCTGTGAAATAAAAATATATTTACTAATGTTTTAATTATACCTATTATTTAGAAAATATTTTTAATGTGTTTATATCTGTTTGCACTGATCCAGTGCAAATTTTATTAATAAATATTAAAATAGTGTTAATCGTATATTAGGTATGCAATATTTGTAATTTTTAAATAAAAATTATAAATGCTAATAAAATTTATTAGCATGGTATTTTGTAACTTCATTAGAATTTCTAAGCAAAATTAAGCTGCATTATTGCTCCAGCAATATTTGATACATTTTGTCATAGAGATATATCATTTTTATTGAAACATGCAATAAATTTCAAGTATAAACAAGCAAAAGGGCGTAAACATTTTTTGCCAACATTACCTTTTAATATCAATAAATTAAGACAAATTAGCTTCATTGGCGATTTTATATAATTTATTTAAAACTAATGGTTTTTTCAATAAATGGTATTTATATTAATCCCAAATGATAGTGATAAGTTGTAAGAAATACAGTTGAGTAGTATAAATCAGTGTTTCTTAAACATTTTGAGATTACGGAACACCAAACAATAATATTTTTTTATAAAGAACCCCTAAAATATAAAAACATTATTTTAATTTTAAAAAGAAATCTAACTTATTTTGATTATTCATATTGGTTAAGTTAGGTTAATATATAAATGTAGTAAATTATTATACTGGCACAAATGACAGGGTAACAGGGGAAAATTTTAGGAAACTCACTAAAAATAGCTAGAGAGTATTACACTGTATAGCAGACTGCAGTGTTAACATGCAACATATCATTGCTAGTTTTGCTTTTTTCATTACTATTATCGTTAAATGGGTAATTGTTGTAGAATTTTAATTAATTTCATTTAGGCCTTCCCGAAACCCCTGAGAGTTATTTGTGTAACACTAGGATTATGTGGAACATAATTTAAGAAACACTGGTTTTAGTATAGATGAATGGTGAAAATTACAATATTTATGATAAAACTGTATCTAACAGCAATCTCTGATTAATGATATCCGAAATAATTTTAAAATTATAAATAAAATAAATTTTCTTATTACAATTTATTTTATTGTATGTTTGAGATTTTGACACTCTTTCTTATTTATTTTTATTTAACATGTGTATTTTAATCTAAAATAAATTAAAAAATTGTTTGAAACTTAGAATGTATTTTTATGTTATATTTAAATAACTACTTAGTTTCGGTATATTACCATCATTAGGTTATTTATAACATTGTTTTTGTTTAGTTACACATTAACAAAAGGTAACATAAAAACCTATATAAAACATATATAACTTATAAATCATTTTATAACGTTTTTAATTTTAATTTATATGCCTTTTGCCTTTTGTTAATTCGTAATTAACCAAAAACATTGTATAAGTAACCTGATGATAGAAATATACCAAAACTAAGTAGTTACGTAAATATAACTTAAAAATACATTCTAAGTTTCAAACAATTTTTTAACCTATTTTAGATTAAAATACACAAGTTAAGAAAAAATAAATAAGAAAATTCATCAAATATTAAACTTTTAAAATGTTTTTTGTTCCTGTTTATTTACACATTTGTCTATTAAAGCTCAATTTGTAAAAATATGCAATTAGATCAAATAATTAAATTACAACTTGTTAAATAACTACAAATTATTATGATTTGTAAAGTTTATTAAAGAAAATCTAAAAATATAAAAACTGAAAAAATATGCAGTATCATACAAATTAGTGTTCTAATCATAACAGTAAATTGTTCAAGTTTATTGAATAATGAAATATGTAATTGTTTCCATAGCGATATCAGTGTTAAATTGATTAAATTCTTATGACATGCATTTAACATAATGCATCTAAATAACAATAACAATTAATCAAAAATTAGGATTACACAAATTTGTTTGTATTGTTTAATAAGAAACCAAAAGAATAAAAGAAAAAGTTTAAGTTTACCAAGTTTGAATGTAATGTAGTTAAAAAGCTAAGATGTAAAATTTGCCAGGATTTTTTGTGGGGGGTTCAAATATAAAAATTACCTCAACTGTTAATAATTGTCTGGGGTACTACTAATTATTACTAGAGTAATTAATAATAATTAGACCAAGTTAATGCAGTGCTTTTCATAGTTTTAAAATAGTAAAAACATAATTCAGTTATTTAAATAATTTGGTCAGTACACAAATTTCACTAGTCAGATGATCAATTTACTTACTACCTCAGTCAGTAACCATTTTATCGAGGGTCTAGTATTTAAGGAACTTAACAATCAAAAATGATATTTCGATTATTAACTTATAATATTCAACTTTTAAAGTACTTTTTGGTACTAAAGATACTGAATGGACATCATTTGTTTTCATTAAACATATAAATAATAACAAAACAGTATAAAGAGGACATTATACCCGCATCTATTGTCTCAGTCCAATTACCAGGTAACATGCAAAAACAATGCTTACATAGAATAAGTAAAACTAGCTTAATTTTGATTTTAGAATAAAAATACAAATTATAGAATTTATAGAGGATAATATTTTGAAGAGAATTTTGTTGGTGTTTTTTGAATTTTAATCAAAAATTATTATTATTTTTTTTTTAAAAAAAAAAAAAAGGGTTTGTATCTTTTATATTGAGCTGTATATTTTGAATAATACAAAAGTCCTAAAACATTCCCTCCGAAATGTTGTTCTCTAAAAATTTTCATAATAGATACTTTTGCTCTAAAATCTAAATTAAACTGGTTTTACTTATTTTGCGTAAGTATTGTTGGACTGAGACATTAGATGTGGGTATAACATCCTCTTAATATTAAACAAGCATAATATATTTCACGTCGATTCAATGATTAATTTATGAATTGGTTGATACGATCCTTTAATACTAGACCTTCGTTATAATAATTACAATTAGATACATTTTATAAATCATCACTTTTAATTCTATAAATTATTAAATAATAATTCAATGGGTAATTATTTATTTATTAATAAAAATATTAATATATTTTGTTTTTTTGCAAAACAAGCATACCTTGAAATAAATCTGTAGGTACTGGAGCTTCTTCCCCATAAGATACATTTATTTCTGATGTGGACGGTTTATGATCAACATTAGTAGATAAGTTGACATTATCATCTTGACTATCATTTTCTGGAACACGCTTACTTAGATCTTGAGCAACATCTATATCTGCAAAAACTTCAGTTTCACTCAATGTTGGTCTTGACATCATTACCCTGTTAAAGGATTCCGATTCTTCTACTCGTGGCCTTTTCCATTTAGATGATTTCTCAAATGTCCCAGGTGTATAACCAGGTACCTAAATTATAATGATGACATTTTATAGTGTTAATTCTAATGAAAAAGTAAATGGATTATCATTTTTATTTATATATATGCCGGATGATTTATTTAACGCACAACACTCATTATTTCACAAAGTATTGATTTTTTTCAAAATATGGTTTTTAAGAAACAAGTAGTTCTAAAATGTTACAATACCATTATTTGTTGTCACACTTATTTTGGGGGGTGGCCCGTTGACGAGATACTCCACTTTAAAGTTTAGGTAACGGGAGAGTAATGAATCATAATTTGTGTTGCAGCATTTAAAAGTCAAAAATAGGTAGTCGTTTCACCCCCAAAAATAATGATGATAATGATAATAATAATAATAATAATAGTAATAATAATAATGTAACATTATTTTGAAGCTGGTTGTTTTGTAAATTGTCAAAAAAATTGTTGTTGAAAAGTTAATACTTTGCAAAATAATGTATGTGTGCTCTATGTTAAATGAACCACCTGGTATTGACAATAATAATATAATACATTATAATTGTGAACTTATGTCTTAACTATTGTTTACAAAGTAATAATAGTTATTACAAAATATTGAGAAAGGTACTCACATTAGAAAACTCAGCCAGGCCTTTAATATGTAATGTATCAGCCATAGAAAGCATGCTAGCTAATTGGTGTTCATACACATTTACTTCACCACTATACATAAATGTGACTAGAGCACAGAGATCAGCAAATTCAACACCAGGCAGAACAATTACTGGATGATGACTTACTCCTAATTCCTATATTATAATATAATAACATAAAGTTAAGATTAATATTTAACTATCAAATATATAGTTTAACATCCATAATATTATTATTATTAATACTTAAATATATTATATTGACTTCAATTTATATTTAATAAATAATTGGAGTTATTTAGTTCACAAACCTATTGTCAACAGTACATACAATTATGAACTTTTAAATTCTAATTATGTTAAAAATTATTTTTGATATTATATTTATTATGATATGTTGATAGTCAATTTAAAAACAATTAAGTATCTATATAGGTACTACCAAAATAGAAAAAAAAAACGAATATTTAAATTATATGTTCAATAAACAAATAGAATTTAAGTAATTTACTTATATCCAATTATTCTTACACTATAAATTTGTCTATATTAAATTAACTAAATGAAATTAAATATTTATACTACTCCAGTATTTTCAAAAGCTAACAAAAACATGTTATTAAAAACTAAATGTGCTAAAATAAACATATCAATCAAATTGAATCCAATTATAATATCACAAATATCTTTTTAAGTAAAACATAGTTATTTATAAAATAATACTAATAAATTAAAATAAAATATTTTGTCTATAATTTAATACTTAAAAAAATGAAAGAATCTTACTTTTGTGAGCGCTTTGAATAATTGTTTGAAATAATCACTACATGCTGACAAAACAACACGATGTGCTTTAAGTGACTTCAAACCAGCACATAATGTAACATCAGTCAGATCATCATGATTTAAAAGCTGTGGCAGAGTTGACATAAGAGAACTTTGATAATTATGCCATCTGAGACAAAACTGTTGAGAATCCTCTGTACTCATTCTGCAAGTGTATGATTCTACTTAACTAAAAACATATCAAATATTAATAATTTGAGTACTATACAAAACAATTAAATTTATTTGTGTTTACTTTTCATATATACTTGCATGGAAAACAAAATTTATAAAAAATATTTAATTTAATAATTCTTAGATTAAACAAAATATATTATAATATATATAATAATTATTATCAGTATAATGCCTTCAATAAGAATTTATAATAGAATAAGTTATTAAAAGGTTAGAGATTCACTTTATTTTAAAATGCACTATGAGTTTTAAAATAACAGATGAATTAAATTAAATATTAGCTCTTCAAAGTAGCCACATAAGTAGGATATAAGGCAATTATATTGATAAAAGTTCCAAAATAATATACCTAATATGGGATCTAATAATGCTCTATATAGAAACATATTTAATTAATATAATTGAAAAAGAAAAAAATTATACCATTATACTAAATGGATTACTTTTTAAGATTAATGTAATTTAATAATAAAACACAGATAAAATCAATTGAATTATAAATATTAAGGCTCAGATTCTATAACTGTTCAACAAATAGTATACAAGAATATTACAATATTATTTTCTATGATATACAGGTACATAGGTATTCCTATTGGATAAAATATAGCAGTGTACTGATATTATTAAGTAAAATAATTATTTGAATTAAAAATAGTAAAATATATTATCAAGAAATGTACTTTAGTAATATCTGGACAACATATATATACTTAAAAATGTACGATAAATTATTTTTGAATAAGGCATATAATACAAATTATAGCTAAATAAAAATTTTTCTATTAAAACTAAAGTTACAGTTTCCATATAATATACATTATAATTAAAACCATAGTTGCTAGTTATATAAATCAACTTAAAATAATATATATAATAGTATATTATTATAATTTCCTGTGTAACAATTATAATAACATTTATTTTATGTTAAAGAACTATTAATTAATCCGTACAACAACTATTGTAGCAAACTAACAATCCTTTTAATATTAAAAGGATTCAATAGTGGATATTAATCTTAAACAAATCTTAAATGTAATTATCAACAATTACAACATTAGTTTTACTTTTATTTTATATTAATTATATAGTTTAAGGTAGGTATATAGATAAGATATACAATTTATCTTATCTATTCATAAAACTATTAATGTAGAACCTAATTAAAACTATTCTTATTAATTAAAAATCAAATAGTAATAGTATACACCATTTTCTTATAGCTTCATAAAGATAATCAATAGATTAGGATAAAAAATTTAACATTAATTTGTTTTATTGAACTATTTTATTCCATAATTTATAATTAAACTTAAGAATTCCATTTTCTTAATAAATAATATTATATTATAATATTAGTATAATATGCAAAACGGATATTTCTCCCCTACTGATTTTTTACCACCCAGACATTTCTCCCTTCAAACTTTTAAACAAGTTTCATTTATTTAATCTAATAATGTTTAGGCTTCTACCCCTTGAAAAGAAAAAAGTAATAATAAAGATCAATGTAGAAAGTATTATTTTTGATAATTTTTGTCAAGTCACCAACATTATTAGAATATGTTTTCCAAAACTCAACTAGAAATTGGACGAACACAAGGCTTGTAAAACGTGATTTTATAATATATGTACTACCTATAATTATTATTCATTTTATGTAAATGTAAAGATAGCATTACAAATTCAAACACTTAAACAATTTCAATAAACCAAAATGTGGATGTTTATAGGACTTCAAAAGAACAACACTTTTACAACTATGACTATAATGCATTCACACACAAGAAAACTTACTAATAAAACACTTGGTAAGAAAATCAGAATTGTTAATAATAATTTTAAATCTTCATTTGATGACCAAGGTGAACAAATCAGAAAAAAATATGATAATTTATTTGAAACAAAATTTATTATCAGTTCAATTAATAAAAATATTTTTAACTATAATTTTAATAATAATGTAATATTTTTTTTTTTTATAATATAAATGTTTTAATTTTATTCTGTGAGGAAAATGTACACAATATATAAAATGTCATATAATATTATATATATATACTAATATTAGGTATACATTGTATAATAAAACAATAATATAAATATATTTTTATCTATGTCAAATATTTATTTTAGTTTTTTTTTTAATACCTACTGATGTTTTCAAAGTTTAAAAATAATTTGAACTTATACCTAACCTAATTACACATACCTATTTATTTTATTTTATTAAGTAATTGAATAAAGATAAAAATGTTTTGATAATTGGTAAATAGAAAAATATCTTAGATTCTTTTTTTTCTTTTTATTGAATTTATATAAACGTAATAAACTAGTCAATTTTAAATTATTAGAAATTATTTTTAAAACATACAATTAGTAGGAAATTCTAGTTTACATTGGGCATGACAAGAGTTCTTACCTTGATGGAAACACTTCGAAAATATAGATAATGGAATAAAAACAATGAAATTAAAAATAAAAAAAACTATGACAAAAGTAATAAAATGATGAGAGCCCAGAAAATTTGAATTTGATCCAGTCCAATCTAAAATTATAACTCTGGATATGCTGGAAATAGGATTTTTGGACAACAGCCAATCAGAACAAATATTTTATCTTGACACACGGAAATGTAAAATTTATAACTGGTTCATATTATATTTGTTAAGAATCTTACATTCTTACCTTTTAATCAAATAGTTTTCCTAATAATTTGGTTTTAAAATTATGATATATAATATTACCATAGAAATAAAATACAAAAACTTACTTTTTTGGTAAATTAAATCGAATCTTCAATCAATTTTCATAAGCACTTGCATATATTTTTTTTTTTTTTTCAGAATTTTTCAAGTGCACTTGGAGTTGGTGATAAGGTTAAAGAAAAACACGTCACGTGATAAAGAAACAGCTGATATTATATTTATATTTTATTAAAAAATGGCGGGTAATACTAATTTTTACTGTATAAATAAAAATACCAAGTGAATGTTTTTTAGTTGTTTATTATATTTGGTACTGTTTTGTTATCCCCTTGTCCAGTTATCCTAAAAATGTACCAATCCGTCACTCAGGTTTTTTATAACCTTGCCACCATAATTATTTTATAATAATAATATAATGGAATATAATATTAAAAAAGAAGTCCTAGGAAAATGGAGATGGGTGCAGCCACTGTCATAGGTCATTTAATGTATATCTGTAAGCAATAATAAACCATTGCTCTCGAAAAAACGATTCTAACCGCAGTTCAGTTGATAATGATGCTTTGTCAACAGTATATTTACATAATATGTCATTGTTATGGTAAAATCATTAAATAGGCAATTTATATTTTTATTATTAATATTTGTTTAATATTGTACCGATTTTCCCGTTTTTCCTGATTTCCTCATGTTTTTTTCCGATCAATTAACAATCATATGCATCAAGGAAATGAAAATTTCAATATTTGTGAAAAAATAAAATAATGCAATAGTAGAAAAGGCCAAACACGGGAAAAGGAGCGGGTGCTCCAGGCGGAAAAAAATAATTCGATAATATCGTTTGTAATATTATAATAAAATTAAAAAAATTCAACTGAATAAATATTAATTATTTTAGTTTACGAATTTACGATGCCACTTGTCGGAATATCCAAAATCGTAATGAAATCTAATATTAGGACTACTAGGTACTTATTGGAAAAGAATGCTCTTGTGGTCTTGTAGAGCTTATTTCTGTAATACCTATGGTCATAGGCGCCTATAGGTAAAATTTTAGGGAGGGTCAAAATAAAAAATTCTCAAATATACAATGATAAAGATTTAATGTTATTTTCACATATAAATTGTAAATATGCATGTTAAATTTGTATTGTTATATATATAATTAATTAAAAAACATTTTAATAAGTATAGAAAAAAAATAGAAAATCAAATAATCTAATAAAATTTAGTATCGGTAAATAAGAACTGAACAATTTCTTCGTTTTGTTCCAAACATTTTAATGACATACTAAATGAAAATATCCTTGTTTATGATCACTCCTTCACGATAATGGCTCATCATACACAACCTATTTAAACAATCTTCACCTGTAGTTGACCGAAGCCACATTTTTATTTTTTTTTTTTAATGTACTGAACGATCTTTTATTATGCAAATTGTTGGAGGCGGTAATATAAAAACATCAAGTATTTAAAAAATCGCAGGATAATATTCGTAATGAACCAATAAATCAACAAACGAAATTTCATCACACTGGGAGTCAATCAAATATGTAGGTATATTATGAGTTTGAAATTATTATATTAATAAAGTGGCCATTTAAAAATGTATTTATATCTATTGTAAAATATAATACGTGTTAAATAATTGCTGATGTGAAGCAAGACTAGGTAGATAAGCATATAGTTATTTTGTAAGTATAATATAAAATTTGTTACGTTATTTACTTTTAAAAAATGGTGTGTACTGAATTAGAGGCGTCATATTTATGTTTACTCCCCTATACATTGTCCTTTAATACGGTCCTAAGAAAACCAAAGAAAATTCAACGATCTACCATCTACCTAAATCAAGTTGTGCAAACTTATTAAATATTGAAAGTATTTATGTATTCTTATTGCGTTTGCGAGCATTTACCTAAACGTATACAAAACTGCAACTCAAAAGATGAATAAAAAAGTGAGCAGTGACTATTTTTTTTTTCTTAAATGACAAAAAGTGACTATTTTTTTCAATAAAACCTTAATGAACATGAGTCATCAAGAAGTACACAGCATAAAATAATTTTTTCTTCAAATTATTATTAAGCGTAAAAAATTATTATAATTATAATTATTAAAAACTATTTGGTTAAAATCTAATGTAAAAAATATATTATTTAAGTAGTTATATAAGAATATTTAGAATAGTCATGTGACGTCATTGGGCCGGGCTCGTCATAATTGCCTATCTTACACGTGTAAAAGTTGTTCGCTATACACAATGATTTACCAACTTAAACGTATTATGTTTAATGGTTGATTTGAGTATAAATATGTCATTTTTTGTGCTAAAGACTATAGAAATATGAGAATTGGAATATAAAGTTTAGTTTTTTTTTTTTTTTAATTTTAAAAATACTAAAAGATATATTTTCATAAAATACACACATATAGTGACAATGGCACGGCGCCGTGCCATGTGTTGCGATAAGTGACTGTTGCTGTAATAGAGGCGTACATAATAAAAATTACTTTTTAAATATTTCAAAAAAACTGAACTATTTAGAAAAGCTCTTGTTCCATAAACGTTTCACTGTATAAAAACATATTACACGCATACAATAATACTTCGAAAATATACTTTAAAGATAGGTAAATAAGTGTGTGAAGTTTTACACGTATGCGATAGGTAATTACAACGAGCTGGCCCAATGACGGCATGCGTCTTTTTTCAATTCCTCATAAGTCATTGAATATTGTGAGTAAAAACATTAAACTTGTATCATTTTTCTTTGAGTTGAACATTCTTTCAAATTAAAAAAAAAAACTTATATTTTTGTGTTTTTTACTCAAATAAGATGGGTATACAATTTAAATGTTTATCGTTATTTTAATTTTTCATTTTAAGTTAAACGTGTCATTTAAAATAAAAAGTAGGTAGTTGTTTCAGTCTAGTAAATAAGGGTGCAAAAAAATAATGCTAATGTAAAGTTGTTTGTTTTAGATTTTGAGCAAAGCGAGGAACGTGTTGGTTTTACAGTGATGATTATTTTTTTTTAACTGTAAATTACTTTTCTACCAGAAATCTTGCTCCGATTGCGCCAATATAAACTTTTAGAGAGCGCCTATTCTGATTTAATCTATTTTATGATTACTACCTAATCATATTACATATCGTGTACTATAATGTTCATAGTGACAAGGTTACCAATATTTTTTGTGAATACATGTATAGTCAGTGTCGGCCTGGTCAAGGAAGCTGGGCAGCAATCGCTGCCGGGCCCTTAGTTTTTTTTATTTTTACCAGATACACGGAATACATAGGTACATTATAATTTATAAATAATCGACACACCAACAAATAATTGGATTTTTCCTAAATAAACGAACAATAGTCGATAAGATAATATAAAATCTCGTGGTTTGAAGAAATATATAAGCACCTATATAATACAAACTCCTCCCACCAAACACTAAAGAATTATCTGGCGGGGTGCAATTATAATATATTTCGACAATAAACAGAAAAGTTCGGAAATAAACTGCATGTTCTCATAATATAGTCACATAGATATATGCACTACACGTTTTTCCATTTACGATAAATTGTTGTAATATTAACACTTATACAGTGTAATTTTTCTAAAAGGAAATTCGACTGGGGAGGTACTTTAGGGAAGTCATTTTTCGATTTTCTTAATTTTTTCCAGAAAATGCGAAAAACCAGGGAACTCGGTACAACATTAAACAAATATTATTAAAGAAAATATATAGAGCCTACTAAATTATTATACTATAATATGCCTTATTATATATTTTTGAAAAAGCATCACAATCAACTGAACTCCGCTCAGAATCGTTTTTTAGTTAGTAACGGTTTATCGTTGTTTACAGATATAAATTTAATTACTTATAACAGTGACTACACCCGTCCCATTAACCTAAGACGTCTTTTTAATATTTACTTTTATACCAAAGGTAATACATATAAAGGTGAAATTTATTTTAATTTGTAATAAATTATATTTTATATTAACTTTTAAAAAATATCTGATGACTTAATTTATTTACTTAACATAAATCTGAATAATGAAAACAATAATTCAAGAATAGTTATGCAGGTTGGGCCCCTAAAAAGAAATCCTGTCTGATTCCTTCGATAACCAGGCAGACACTGTGTATAGTACATTGATATCGGTGCAAATAGAACATAAATTGGGAAATTTCCTCAAATTAGTCTTCATAAAATAGATACCTACCTAATATGTAAATATGTAATATAATTACGTCCTTGTGCGACGTAACATTCTAACATAGATTAAGTATCTACCTACCTACTTACGAATTTGATCTATTTCATTCTCAATTACCGTTCTTCAAACATTGTGAAAATTGAACAGTTCCTTTTTCTTCACCATTGTTTTCTTATACCTACCTAGCGATTTCCATTCTGTTATCTCATTTCTTTCTGGTCATCTTCTTACTACTCATATTGCTATTATAATTAACAATGATTATTGTGCTCAAAACTAGTCATGTATACACAACATGCTATATGACAATGGCGTGTAACATAAGTGCTAAATTTTAGAAATATCATGGAGGGCTGCTGACTGAACTATGATTTACCCATTATTTTAAAAAAATATTTTTAATTTATCAGTATAAGTCAATTTATCACATTCATTTAACAACTAATAAATTAAAACAAACAAAACTTATCATAAAACATTTACTTTAAAACCTATTTATTAGATTTAGATAAATTATTATTAGGTACCTATATTTTACTATTATAGAATATAGGTTAAACATAATACATATACAGACAAAAAGTTTATTTTATATGAATTAGATCAGATTAGTTTAAATTTATGAAAAAGGGTTTTACCATTGTTTGTACTGTTAATAAAACTATTAATAAATCAATTTCTCATTTCTGTGAACATGGAGAATTTAAATATCATTTAAAAGTTTTGTGTTATTGTGAATCTGAGATACCTTTATGTCTTAAGTGTCCGAAGTACAGAGAGGTCACTCTCTGTTGTACAAGAATTAGATATTGGTACTTTTTACACAATTCTTAATAGTTATTTAACTTTTGTTATACATTGTATAGCATTTTATAATTACTGAAAAGATCAAATATCCATAGACACTTTGAGTGTTGTAAATTAAAATACCTTTTATTTGTGTTATACCTATCTAAAAAGATATCTCTGTGTAATTTTTATTTTACTTTGACAAAGTCAGATCCATAAAAATCAATTATATTTGTTTTCCGAATTTTTCCCAATAATATAACTTTTTGAACACCATTCTTTAATGTTTATGAGCTAACTGTACCTATCATATGTAGTGTTTTATAGTGTATTATTAATTTTTAAAATGTAGGTACTTACATTACAAATACGATAACATCGATAATAATAAATATAATATTTTTTCAGTAAGACTTTTTTTCCTAAATTCTAACAAACCAGTTGTAGCAAGTATTTATTTCAGAAGGATGACCTATTACTCTCTCCTTATTTGAAAAATGTACACCACCTTCTGGAAATGCACGACATTACTACCTACACTACATGTGATGTTATGGGTTATGGGTTATGAGTTATGGGTCAATTATGAGTCCCCTTGTTGACAATAAAATTTAAAAAATCATATTTTCTTAATTTTTTCCCCAGGTATAAAAATTCTTAGATCTGGTTCTGTTTTTTGCATATCACTTCCCCAACCAGGGGATAAAGGTCTGAAATAATCATGACCTACTGTTACTTAATATTTCAATAATATTGTATTACCTCACATTAAGTATTGGCATTTTTGCCAGTTCTCCAATATTTTTCAAAAGTACCTACTATAATTAATGTGTACAGTTTACTGTTTTTAAAATTGTACCATGTCTAGAAAAGATTACTATATTGAGTGAAACTTTCAGGTTTCTAAGATTATCTTTAACCAAATTTCATCAATATAATAATGTAATAATAGTAATCAATATATAGAAATTAGAAATAAAAATCATTATACATTTGAAAGATAATATAAATATAATAAACATGTCTTTTATCAGTTATAATAATAACTTATTTAATACTCATTAGATTTATTTCTTTTAAATAAATAATAATTGATAATACTTACATTTTAATTATTAACATTTCCTTTAAATTTAAATAATTTAGATAACTTATGGTATACTATATGATTAAGTAATAATTAATTTTAATTAATTTTTAACAATCAATTTGAGGGAAAGTAACAATTATATCAAAATAAATAATACATATATAAACATATCATTCTTAGTATTAAGTATATTAATACTTTGTCTTACTACTTATGATGAGTGGTCAAATTACTTGATAGTAGCCTTTTTCTAGTAGGCAGCTCAAAGTGGTTACTGGTATCATCATTGCAAAATTCATCCATAGGGCTAGGCCACAGATCAGAGTTAGTCCCACGTAATGGTGGTCTTGCTCTAATGCCAAAGGTAGTTGGACGTAAATTTGGTTGTGGTGATAACATTAAGCATAACAAATCATACTAGATATAAATTAGAAATAAAGATATTTTTAGAAAATATATAAAATATGAATAAATGTATACATACAAATTTAAATAAATACTAACTTCATTTTTATACTTTTTTGAAAATTCAGAAGGAAATATATTATTCCTGAGTCTAGTTAGTGTTTGATATCTTTCCATTTCTGTAGTAAAAGGATTGATCAGTTCAAAAAATATAACTCCAAGAGAATAAATATCTACTTTATAATTATATGACATTCCAGAAATCTATAAGGTAAATTTGTTTAAAAAAATTATTGATTTGGTATTATTAAAATTAGTTTTACATTATTTACCTGTTCTGGACTCATGTATAATTGTGTACCAACTCGATCAGTATGTTGTTCATTTAACCATTTTTTTTTATTATCACATACAGCTATACCTTCATCAGATTCTATCATTTCAGTCACTAAACCAAAATCACCAATTTTAATCTGACCATCTAATGAAAAGAATATATTTGAAGGCTATAACAAAAAAGATTTATAAGTTATTTACTAAATTAAATAACTAAATAGTAAATAATAACAACAGTGAATTTAAATGTTGAAATAAAAGTTTTATAATGCCAATAAGAGTTCCTAATTTTATTTTTTAAGTAATTATCCTATAACAGTGTGGTTCAATATTTTGTAATTGACAAAACCAATTTACACAAACGTATACAGGGTGATCAATATCATATAAAACACAATATAACAAAATATATTGTGGCTTGCAATAAAACATTTTTTTGATTACATTCACATAATCTAACAATCCAGGATATGATTTTAGTTTTGTTCAAAATTACAAACTATTACAATGAAATTGACTGAATAATTTTATAATAGTAAATAATAAATTATGACCTATCTTTAAAAAAATATACATATTTACATTTTTGTAGAATAGATTATATAAATTATTTATTCATACTTTTAAATCTCTATGTATTAATCCTTGTAAATGAACATATTCAACAGCTCGAATAATTTGGCTAAAAATATCTAAGATATACTTCATATCTCTATTTTTAATATTATCTTTCAACCATTCTCTTAAACTATTTTTATGACAGAGTTGCATTTGTATGTATAAGTAATGTCTAGTTCTTCTATCTCCATGAGCATTACTTGCTGTATCACACTCAGATTTATGTCTTCTTCTTTTACTACCTTTAGTTAAGTTGTCTGAACTCAATTCCAGTATACAATCTTTTTTACTGCTATCATTTGTTTGACTATCAAATACAATAAATGATGAGTCACTCTTATCATTATTATATGATCGTAGGGCATAAGGATTGTTTAAAATGTCAGATAACTCTCCACTACTTTCTGGAAATGTTATCATGGTTGACAAACTTTTTGCTCGTACATGATGTTTGTTTGTGTTCAAAATATTATTAGTATGTTTTTCGGCAGTTTTTATACTATTACTTGCATCAAAAACACTAAAAAATACAAAATTATAAAGTTAGTGTTCAAAAATTTAAACTATATAAATACAAAAGTATATCAATTTAAGATTAGTTTTTTTACACTTAAGAGTAAAAAAAAGACTGACATATTTTGCATAATGGGTGAACCACTATTGTAGGTGAGAAGTTAGGAAGGAAGGACATAAAGGGTAATTTAATGTATACCTCTACACAACAATTAATCATTGCTAATAAAAAAAGATTCAAAGCGAAGTTCAGTATACATGTTTTGAAAGGCTGTAATACTTATGATTTTCGTGAAAATTTGTATAAAAAAAAATTCTATATTGCAATTAAAATTTTTTCACCACAAAGTATAACTTACACTAAATATTCTGTTAAATTTTTAAGCATTTCTGTTAAGCTAAACAATGATAGTCATATAATACCTACCAAATAAAAAACTAACATATTTAAAATATCTTTTAATAGCTTAAAAATGGCTAAAATATTTTGAAAATTTTACCACGTCTAGAAAAGACAATATAAGTTTTCTGGCAAGTTTTAACAAATATTTTTAATTGAATCATAACAAAACCCAAAATTTAAAATAATACATTTCATAATTTTCAGTTTTCCTGTTTTTTCTCAATTATCATTCTTTCATGATATCTTCTTCTTTTTCTTCTGAGCTTTTACAGGCCTTTAAGGCCCATCGCCGCCACAACATATTCTCTCTATCATTTGCACATTCTTCCGCAAGAATTGTTTCATGATGTATATAGGTTTAAAATGTTAAGAATATGACAAGTTTTTATACAAATTTAATTTAATTCTTGCAATTATGCAGTTTTAGTCTCTTTTAGGGAGGATAATGTTGAAGCAAAAATATTATTATGAATCTCAATTAAAACTTTATTTTACCAAGATTTTTGTATCCAATCATTATCATGTTTTTCTTGCCAACCCCTAGGAGGTTCTTCAAGCCAAGTATTGAAATATCGTACAATATGTTGATGGTCCAATTTTGCTAGTGCTTTAACTTCACGAAGTACACGATTTCTAGATTCTTCTCTAAAAAAAAAAATACATAATATATTGTACATAAATTAAATTTGTACAGTTTAACATTATAAAACCTCCTAACTGTTGTATTTACATTTCATTATAAATATAATGTAGTGAATTAACAAATATTATTATTACACTAATAAAGTATGGGTAATATTATTGATATTTTATTTATAGTTATAATTAATTATTAATAAATATGTTTTTTATAATCGTACTGTGATGGTAAAGGTATTCTTTTAATAGCATAATGACAGTCATCAATTTTATTTCGAGCTTCAAATACAATGCCGAAACCACCTTTTCCCAAGCAATGAATGGGTTCAAAATCTTGTAAATAACGTGATTTAAATTCTACTACTGGAAGTGCTTGTTTTTGAACAATAATAGAATTTAATTCAATACCAGAATCCTTACAATGATCAGTATTATCATTAATTGTGTTTTCTGTTTTCTCAATAACTTCATGGTTGTTCTATTACAAAAATATGATATTTTAAACATTTTAAAATTTGTTGAATATATAAATGATTTAGAATTATGAAAATTGTTTAAATTTTCATAATAAATATAAAATTTAACTTACTGAATGATTACAAATAAAAGTAATTATTCGAGCTAAACGAGATGGAATAAATATATTTATCAAAATGGCAGTTAAAACACTAATAAATAACACTTCTTTCCACCAATACCACAATGAAACAATAATTATTTCAACTGGCATTTCAAGTTCTTCATATTTAATAATATTATTATGTTCAGTTTCATTTTTTTTTTTTGAAAATTTCTTTTTTTGTTCATCATCAATTATATTTGATTGTTTTGGACCATTTAAATAATAACCATTACCTGTAAAAAAAAAAAAAAAAAAACTAATTTATTTGTAGCTATATATTGTATAAAATATAAACTATACATAATATAAATTTTTACCATTAATGTACTCTGATGCATATAAAACAGATAAGGCAGTTGTTTTAGAAATATCATAAGTAGTTTGCATAGCTGAAGAACTTTTTGAAATCAATTGACCTTTAATGTAACAATATTTTAACTAATTAATTAATGATAAATTCATTTATCAATTTATTAATTAAGAGATTTATATTATTATATATTATATATTATTTTTATATTTGTATCAGTTTATTACACTGATTGCATTGTGTATATTGTTTTTTGATCAAATGTATTAACATAATTATTGTTTCCTGTATATTTTCAATATAAAATTTGATTATTAAAAAAAAACATATTAATGCTTAAATAATTGAATAAAATAATAAATTTAATGATTCATTTTTTTTTAATGCTTTATATTGGAAAAATAGAACTATAACTTTGTAAGGTGCCCTTAAACTTTGAAATTTTACAATCTATTTGTATTGTATATTAATGGATTTTTCATATTTTTTGTACTCATTCTACTCATTACATTAACACATGTATTAAAATAATATTGTAAATTTAATGTGCATTTATTTATAATCTTTAGCATTTAAAAAAAAATTCTTGTATCCAATTTTTCCAACTTAAACATTTTTCTTAATTAGCTGTGATATACTAAGTTTAATACGGATTATCAATAAGGTTTCATTAAATGTATAGATCATTGAAATCACAATGGAATTATATTAACATAAAACTGATAAAATCTAATATAAATTATAATCAGTGTTTGGAAAGAATGTCGTTCATAAACACATGTTTACCTTCATAGTTTGTAAACAATATGCGAACGCCACTCGTTTTTTTCAAATAGAATATGAACAACATTTATATAATAAATGAATTTGAACAATTTTTAAAATGCTCAATTTATTTACCATTTAATAAATATATGTGTATAAAATATTTAATATATTGATTATTTTATTTTATACAATAATATTTTCGAATTTTCCTGTTATAATTCCTATTATATATTTTAAATATTTGATGACAAATATTATAAAAATTTAATACATGACATTCCAGATAGCTTGGCTCAAAAATGAACAACAATACTATTATTATAATTTCCACGAATTTGTAATAAATAGGTATACCTAATCTAATCGTCTAATTAAAATAAAAATGAACAAAGTGTAAATGTATGTCGTGGTTGTGTGGACTATAAAAGGCTTTATCGTTTATCATCTGTGTGGTCAAATTTAAATTTAATTACTGGAATTACAAAACAACAGGAATGTACAGAACACGCTCAGAATTTATTTATAGTTGCGATTGTTGTGAAATGTGTACCTACTATGTAGGTAAACTATTAATAGACAAAAAAATAATTTAAATTTAAATTTAAGTAAATAAATTAAATTAAATTAAATTAAATTTTTCAATGAACGTGAAAGTTTCTTTTTTAAGGAACGTGAATAAATTCATTTTTTTTAGTGAACGTTCCAAACACTGATTATAACTCTTATCATCTGAATTTGGATTCTAAAAAAAATGTATAAATGAATCTATGTTATGTTTCAATCATTTGTCAGCTAGAATATCAAATTTATATTAAATCAGCAAAAACAAATTTCATTTATCATTTAAGGAGGAATTTTATAATACAAATAGAATATACATATTTAATAAACTTATGATTACCTACATGAACTTTTTTTTCTATATTAATATGATATACATACTAGAAATGGGTATTGGGTTCCAAGGAATTCTAGATTTGTCTCCTTCATGTTCTTCAAGAAGAAGTGATTGCTGATATGAAGTTGGATAAATAGTAAATACTCTATCGCTTTCTTGAATATATAACTATAAAAAAATGTTTTTTAAATTTGTATAACAATATAATTTACATATCTGTATTTGGAATCTTAGAATAAATTTAATTATCAAATTTTAAAAAAATGTACTTGTTTTTGGTGCATCCCGAGATAAACTAAAGGATTTACAGAGTTCATATTGTGATTATGTTTAAACAAATCAATTGATTCTATTTTACCGTATTCAAATTTCCAAACATTTACAATTGGAGACTTTGACTAAAAATGCAATTACATATTTTACACAAAGAAATTAATAGAAATATAAAAACTGATTACTTTGTGAGTCCAAACTACTTCATGAGGACGGTCAAATGCTACTGCTGTTATAACTCCTTTAGGCATGTTTATCTTAAAATCAAGTTTAACACTAGGCTTTGTAGTGTAACAATTAGTATTTAAATCCATGATAACTTTGAGATCATGTAAACCAACACTGAAATTCCATCTGAAATATTAAATAATATATACATATATATTAATTCTATTTAGTACAACCTAAAATATTATTATAAATCCAGTTCTAATAGTTATATTTAACAAAATACTTTATAATGAGAGGTACATCTTCATAAATTTTAATAAAACTATAAATTGTATAAGTGTATTGGAAATATTTACTCAAAAATTAATTTAATGGGATAAAAGATAAGTAATAAAATGCATTAAGATAATTTTTAAATTTAATATCTGTAGTTGTATCATCTGAAAACTAATGATCCAAGATGAAGTTTTTAGAAAAATACAGAAATCAAAAAATTTTAAATTCAACTTATTCTAAATCATTTTTATGTAACTACTTTACTACAAATTCACTCAATTTGTTATGAAAAACTGCTTTCAACAAGCACTAAAGGAAAAAAAATTGATAGTATTATGAATATTGTATTTTAACAATAATGATGACAACAGACAATAAACTAGTGGTGGAGCAATAACAAAATAATACTGTCTGATCAATACTTAACTAAAAATATAACTATAATATATTATCTCAAACTTTTAAAAAAAACTACCTTTCAATTCCACTACGTGGTTCTGATGCTCGTACAGTTTGTGTTTGTCTTTGTAAAATCAAAATATTTCCATCTATATTTGTGAAGCTATTACTAGTAATATTATTACACTGAGCCATATCACATTCATATAATAATTGACCAGTATTCATATCCACGCCATATGTTCGACTGATCTTACCTCCTTTAGTATTAAACATATTTTTGTAATTAAATCAAAATATTTATTGTGTTATGAAAAAGAAACATACCAGATATTATTAGATCATCATTGTACCGGAAAGATGACTTTAATAAAGAATCAACAGTAAATGGTATACGATCAAGATTTTCACCATCAAATTTGTAAAGACTTCCACTTAATGATGGGATCATTCGTATCCAATAACCGTGGTTTGATAACTTTAAAACAGAAATATTTTAAATTAATACCAAAATAGTTTAAAACATTTACATTGTAATATAGATAAGGTACCTATAACACCACATGGATTATTATGCTAGCTATCTAAAACATGAACTATTCATAATCTTAAACGTTTACATACACTGGTAATAAATCATTTTAGCATGTTTATTTAAATATTTTTGTTTACCTCAAGTTGATCAATACTAGACGATAACAAAGCTCCTGGTTCAGTTGACAATTCCCAAACTTCTGTTCCACCATCAAGAGTATTTAATGCTGTTAGTTTACCATCCAAAGTACTTATGAATATAAATCTATTATGAACAAAATATTATATAAATATATTATAAAAATTATTATGAATTGTTTTATTTTCTCACTGTTTATTGGCGTCATGATTTTCATTGCAAACTGGATTGTCACATTGGACAAACACGGATTTAAATCCAAAAACTATCAACATCAATTTCAACAAAAATTGTATAATAGTGAAATTCATCATACATCAAATCCATTAAAATATTTCATCGATATGATATAATCTCATATTTATATAAACATTTAATAATACTATTACTACTTGTATACAATTTACTCATCGAATTAAAATTAAATATTGATATCAATAATGGTATTTATTTATTTTTTCAATAACAATAACAAATTCACAGACAAAAATTATTTCACCAATTTTAAATATGATAATTTTATTATTGATATTCTGCGATAATAATATCTTATCAGCATAAGTATTGCTCTATGATACTGTCTAGTATCAATAGATTTTAAAATCATAGACACGGTCTTGACCACGGCCATATAGATCTATATGACCCGTAGTCTTGACTGTATCATAGATAATACAAAATGTAAATAAAATACAAATTTTAATAACGGATAGATATTTAAAAATAGTTTTGAAAATATATTTTATTTATTTATTATTCACAACACTCAAATTATAATAGGAGCATTTATAACATCAATATTTGTGTTATTACTAGGTACGAAAAAACAATAGGCTACAAAACTATAATATTATGTTTTATGACGTACCTACCTAAGTATATGTTTCATTTATAAAACGTTTACATGAAAACATACATATTAAATAGGTAGGTAGAATATTTTTGAAACCACCTATTTCGCTAATGAACTGATTCCGTCGTTTGCAGCATTTTCGCCGATACATATTATATACCTACCTACCTAGGTATATAATATGAGCCGAGTGGTTCTTCCATTTGTCAAACAAACATCTTTTCCACTGGAAATCTGGTAAGGAATGATATAAATCTAAAGTAATTTAATTCATATACTGTATAGGTATTAGGAAAATAAAGCCTCGTAATACTTAAATCAATACTTATTAAAAAAATAATAACGAATCTGTAAGTGATATTTTATGGTAGTTGAATTTTTGGGAAATCTAATATTAGTGTAGTATATAAATATATAATGATTAAAAATTAATTCAATAGACCAATCCAATTTTATACCGACCTATAGATCAGGGGCGACTCCAGACCTTGACTATGGAAAAGGTGGGGGCGAAATAATTACATTTAATATTAATGATTGATAAGAAAAAAATACGGAAATACTTCGTACAATGGGTGGACCACTGTTGTAGATTTAAAATTCGGAGAAATTGGGAAGGTAGAATATAGAGGAAAATGTAATGTATGTCTGTAATCAAAAATTAATCATTGATAACGAAAAGTGATTCTGAGGGGAGCTGGGTTATAATATTGTTTTTTCAACAATAAATCTATCGAGTTACATACATTACAGTTACATACAGAGAATACATACATTTTACTGAAACAATTATCGTCAAAATTTGATATTAACATTCTTATAGAAAAAAGTATACTACTTTAAATTAAATTTGTTTGGTTTTGACCGCAAAATACGACGTGTAATTAACCTACTGTTCAATTTTCAAGTATTTCTGTTTTCTCTAACAAATAACAATTTTATCCACTGAGTACCAACCAAATAGAAATTACTCACAAAATTAAAGTGTTTATAAATAGCTTAAATATGACTCAGGTGGTTTTATAGTACGAATATTTTTAATTGAATTACAACAAATAACAAAATTGAAAAATAATAAAAGCATACATTTTCATAAATTTCCCGTTTTTCTTACGTTTTCTCCCGGGTTTTCCCAGATATTATGAAAACCGAAAAAAAAAAATGTTTATAAAACCAATACATTCTTGTACACTCAGATGTCTAAGTATTATGTAATGTATCTCTTTAATATGTTAATAGACATTAGTCATACTTTAATACGGGAAAATTTAGCGGTTCGAAAGCTTTTGTCGGAACAACGGGACAGTCGTTAGAAATATGGTAATTTCCTTTCTAATACGAGACATCTGGCCAGCCTGTGTATATACATAACATCTAAAAAAAAATGTTTTTGAATAATTATTTTTTAAATTGCCGGTATGGCTATTTATTTTTTTTTATTTAAAATAATGTGTTCAATAAATATTAAATTTTTTTTTTTTATGAAATTCATTATTAATTTTTATATTACCTACTTATTTTATAACAAGCATCTTTTTGCTACACAATGAGTTTTTTTTCCTAGTATGTTTTTTGGCCCGAGTCTTTTTCCTATAAATTAATTGCATGCAATGATTAATCGATTAAATGTGAATTAAAACTAAACATTTTATCAAGTTATAATTATTTACAAAATAAATTATCATTATTGGTGGTATACAAAAATCACTATTACAATTTATTTTTTTTTAAATAATTTTGTTGAATACTGCAGAAACGAAATATTACGGCGGCCAATCAGTCTGAGGCGAATTGAGAGTCTAGGTCGGGAACCTTTTCGTGTAAATAAGCCATTTTTTAAAAAACTTGCAAAAACCATGATTTTCAATGAACCGCAATAGTTAAGATAAAAAAAAAAATACCTCAATACAATAAAAACGACTATTATATTTTACTAAGCAATTTCAATGGAAATTGGTAGGTGTTTTATTAGCAGTTTTAATAACTCGTTAAAAATATTTCGATGCATAAACATTCTTTAACTTTTAACGGGCTATTAATGTTTAGTCTTAATGGTCCATTATTTAATCACCCGATTTTGGCTCACTAAATTTCAAATGACTCGTTAAATGTGTGTCATCAATATAGTTACAGTAATTTTCCCGTATATCATTGATAATATAATTTTCAAAAAAATGATAATGAAAAAATAATTGGTGGACTAACTTGTTAATTCAATTTTTAAATATTTATTGAAGGCACAATGGCTGTTATTGTAATTCATCATCTAATTATAGTGATAATTAATTCATATTGAAAGTTTTAGGACGTTTACCAAACCAAGGGTGTTTCGGAATAGGTCCTATCCACTGACATATTTTGATAATGTAGACTTTTGTCGTAAATTCCGGTAAGTAAAATTAAAATGTAGGTATATTCAAAATTTAAATTTTACTATTTAGTTAATGGTTTTTATCAATAAGTGTCGATGATAACAACCTTCTGATATGAACGCCATAGCAGGTGCTGTCGTTAAAAGATAAGAGTATAGAAAATATATGCTTATTCTCCTTGAATAACTGTACAATTTCCATGAAACTCATTTGAGATTTAACAAACCATTAAAATTTTAACAAGGTATTAGTTAATCATTCGTTTAATATTTATGGAATAATTTTTATGCAACCCAGCATTAGTGTTAAATATTCGTATAATAATAAACTAACGGTTGATAAATTAAAGTTTTATGTCGGATTGCACCAAATATTTACACAGACATACAAATCATATACCTGGAGTTAAAATAAATTCTGTTGTATAAATCATGTTTTAAATTTGTCTGTTGATAAAAATGTACTTTACAATGTATGTATAGTTAAATTTCGTTATCAATGTTTTGCGTTACTTCTATAACCGGTACCACGAATTAAAATATACATTATCATAAGTTTAACATAAATATTGTGTTAAATATAGCAATAACCATGATTCATGTAGATTGTTCTAGAATAAAAAAAATATTTATGAAATATACATATATGCACATGTATGAATGCATAATTATACGAGCAATACAATTTATAATAGGTTATGGTTTGAAATAAGGCATATATTTTCCAAAAATATTACAAGTTCAATATAATGTTTTTAGATTAAGTAAGTGTAATACAGAACTTGGAATAAGAGATCCTTTTAATATTAGCATTTTTCTGAATTTTTTTTTGAAAACTTAATAAACAAATAGTTCTAAAATATTACATCACTATTTTTTGTTACCCTTATTTTTGGGGATAAAACGACTACTAATTTTTGATTTTAAAACTATAATTTATATTAAAAGTCTCATTGAAAGGTGGAATATTAGTTAAAATAAATTTTTGAGTTAAAATTTTTGATTTCCGTCAACCCGTTCAAGAGATATTCTACTTTTAAGTTTTGGTAGGGGAAAAAGGTGGAGTATTTGTACGGCGGTAATGTACGCAGTGTGCGATGAATAGTGCTCCACTACTATAAGGCAGGATAATAATCCTGCTCCAAACTTAAAGTGGAATATCTTGTCAACGGATTTGCGGAAATCAAAAATTTCAAAACCTAAAATTTATTTTAACTAATATTCGATCTATTTAAGGAATTTTTTATGCATGCAGATTGCCATTTGAAAATCAAAAGTCACGACTAATGTTAAAAATTGGATAATGTCAAATTTTTAATCTGTAGAACCAATTTTGTGCCACTAGTTTTAATAATATTGTCAATTAGCTTTTTATTAAACTTAAAGATAGAAACATTGTCTGTATTTGTACGTTGGTTTTTTTTTTTTTTGATATTTTAATCATTAGGTAAATTATGAAATAAATTACAATTTAAAAAAAATCTGGTCTTAAAAAATATTGACTGGTCTGGTATTCTGGTTCGTTTTTTTGAAAAACTGGATTTATTATATTGTCATGTATTATATTTTTATAATTTGATGCAAAACGGTTAAGCAAAAAATGTTTTTCATTAGAGTTTTGTTTGGATAAGTTTTTTCAATAATCGTATTTTTTACACCTTTTGAATTGTAAATTGAACTGCTATATTTAAAAACGTGTTGTTATTATAAGTTATTATAACAAATATTACAATTTGTTATTAATTTCACTAACCAAAAATGACATTTGATTATATTAACAGTGAAATTATTATTATTATTTATTATAAATTTCTTAAATTCACTTTTATTTTATTTAACCCCACTGAAAACTGGATGTACATTTGCCTAAATACTCAGTTAATTTAAAGTTTTTCTTTAGTCTTCTCGTGTAGCGTTGGTTTGTGCATGTCGTGTTTTGATTAAAATCGTGTTCACCGTTACACCGTAATGCCATAAAATTATTATAAATGAAATGAAATATGAAATAATTATTTTTTGTTACTTTTAAAACATTATAGTCCTAGGAAGTCGGGGAACTAACTTTATGAATCATACCTTCTCAATTTCTTAGTTACAACAGTGGTACATTCAATCATCAGTATTTTGCTTTTTTTAATAATTTAAATAATAATATAAACTAGGCGGTTTCTGTATAGTAACTTGGTTATTTATAATTATATTTATGCATTTTTTTATGTATATGTAACAAATATATATACATAAAGATTGTGTATGTATATTTCACCATGTTATATATTGTTCGAAAGAAACAATGTACAGTATACTATTACTTAACGTGTTTTTTCATCTTTCCCAGGCATTTTATGAATAAAAAAAACCCCTCTAATTCTTAGTAGCGGTGTATAGTCACGACCGCGTTGGTTTTATCCTTTTTTTTTTTTCAATTTTAATGTATTATAAATTACAATATGTTATACAACGTATATAATACAATATTTTTGCATTCAAAAATGTATTATGATTCTTAAGATAAAAAGTTAAATAATTTAACCAAATATATAAAATCTTTTTTTATCGGTTATTAAGATTATTTTAGTATATTTAATCATCCTTAGTAATAAATAATAATATATTTATTAAGTAATAACAAAAATGATTAGTGCTTCTCTCGAATTTTTTACCTGTCTACGCGTGACGCTAACCTAAATATTCTATTTATATCTAATTTTTTTATATACCTAAAGATTAGTTTATAAATAGCTCTAATAAAAAATGATTAACTAGGAATTTTTCTAATATTATGTTTTGTGAGGTTAGGGTAGGTTAGAACGTTAGATTTGTGGGTTCAAGCAAATAGGCTTTGAATATATTATTTGTACATACATTTTACAAAAATATTTCCTAATAAAATAGATGATAACAAAAATAAAAAAGTATCTCGAAAAATACCAAAAATGTACTCTTTTCCCTATAATTAATTATTATAATTTATATATATATATATACCTAATATAAGGTACTATTATCATATTCATCCATACCTATTCCTATTAAGACTTTTCTTAGTGAGAAACATATTTTCATGTTAATTAAATAACTTATAGTTTAAATTGACCTATTATTAAATATTATTATAAAACCAATTGATAACTTAAATAAAGTAATTCAACTATACACAATGTACTACATTGTACTCATTTATAGACTATAGTTATAGTACACGACACACGTGACCCACTTAAATCCATTAAACTATAATCAACTAAAAATATTCGTCCCTGTTAAACAATATTTTAAATTTATAATTGAGATTTTTTTCCCCGATTTTTTCATTCCGTAAATTAAAATATGTGGATTTCTTGCTCGATGGTTTTTTACTTAAAGCATTATTTAAATATGATGAACAATTTACTCCAATTGTTTTGGTTTCTTTTGTCCGAAGACACTTATTTTATAGTTACTTATAGAAAAAACACTCCAAATTATTTATATCGTGGGTACCTTAATATATATTTATTGATTTTTTCCCCATCGGTAGAATAGTATATTATACTATATACTACTATATTTGAAAATAGTTTCTGAACAGTTTTTTTTTTACTAATTAACAACAAAAATGTCGATAAATATCATTGGTTTTATTTTTGTTAATTTTTGAGTTACCTTGGGCCCTTGTTTACGAAATTAAAAACGTAACTATTATATAATATACCAAGCTCTGTTCTTAAATAGTTTTTGATTGGAAATTGCAATGACCTATCGTAGTTTTCGGTATAAAATAAACTAAATTACCCCATATCCTATATACCTTCCAAGCTTCCCACACCCACTTTAAAGATCAATGACCTATCAATGGTATCAGTTGTTAAGTATGTTCGGCTATTTTGATTCTCTGTGACCTGCACAATGAAATTAAATCCTTAAATGATTAAGAATATGTTTTATGACTTTGTTACGAATACAATATTCTTACTCCGGACGGCTGGAATCAATCACCAATCATCGATGACACCCGATTTTTAATAATAATATACATTTCCATTTGGTATACATGATTTAATCCTATATCTACAATAGATTTATGTAAAAAAGACAGTACCTAAGTTATAATAAACTATTATAGTTAAGTTATACAATTTTCAAAAGAGGTTGGTTGGTTTGTGAGTAATTTGTGATTTCGTCATTTACGATTTACCACAATTCTTAAGTACCCATCTATAATAAGTAACGATATACGACAAACATAACATTAAGAGTACTTACTAATTCTCGACCGACGTGTGTAGTCACGAACGAATTTTTTTTTTCGTAACCCTTTTGTTCTTCAACGTTTTTTTCCCGCGGGACCACGGTACGGTGGCATTATACCTACAATTTTTTTTTACCTCGTCTATTTCTTTTATCATTAATTCAATTAATTATATTTTTATTACGATAGCCGAAACCGTTTTCAGTTTTTTTTTTACGTGCACGTTTATTATAATATATACCCAACTGTATAATAATAATACGGCTGCAGTCGATTCTTTTCCCGAAACCGTCTTTCTTTTTTTTTTCTTTTTCTGTGCCCCTTCAAGTCCGGTTTCTCGACGGAGCGACCTCCCCACCGCGATCTCCCGGTACTGCCGTTTCGAGTCCCCTGCCATTCGCACGGCGCGCGGCGGTAGTGCTGCCGTCTGATGCGCACCAGTGCTGCAGTGAGGAGGGGTAGAACGAAAAAAACCCACCTACCATTGTTGTAGTATAGCGACTAGTGACATGGCTCGGGTACAATACCGAGCAGGGAGACCCCTCGTGCGCCGGCGACCCCTCCGGCAACACCGTCCGGCCGACGAACATCGACAACGAGCGCAGGTACAGCTGCTGCTGCTGCGGTCGTCGTTAGGCCCGCTGGAAGTGACGGCGTTTTTCCTAGGCTGTAATGCCATAGATGGCGTTACGGGCGTTTGGCGATCGCGCGCCAACGGTCGCTCGCGCGTTTTTCCTTTAGACTCTCTCGAGAGTCGCCATGCGGCAACCGTCACGGTGTAACTATCGTCGGACGTTTTGCTGACACCTCGTCACATACAGCGAATCATCATAATAATAATATTATTTACCTATAAACCTATGTAATATTATTAATATTAATCGTAATTATATATCGATTTATACGGTTTTTTTTTTTTTTATGCAATTTGTTTGTTTTTTTTATTAATGTTTTTATTAATCGTTTTTTTTTCCTTTTCCTACTAAACTGCAGTGCAGTGACATGTTATTGTGAATATAGTTTTTTTATAGGTACGTTGTTACCGTCGTGTCGCGTCCGTCGTTGTTTATTTCGTTGTTGTAATTTTTATGGAAGCCAACGAAAGTACTGAAGTTCGGTGTACCGGCACGCCACCGACCAACGGCGACGTCTGCAGGACATCGGCGGAACCTTCTAAGAAAATCTTGAGCAAAAATTCAAACGGCACAAGTAAGTAACTTATTTTGTATATTGGGTATTACCTTTCTGTTTTATTTAGCACATCCCTATTATACGATGTACGTTATTTGCTATTTGTTTATTGTTTTACTAGTTACATACGTGGGGTTAGTTATTAGTAAAATATAATTCACGACAAAATAGATATAATTAAAATATATGCAAAAAACAGCTTGGAAAATAATTAACTTGAACCTCAAAAAAACAATTGTTTATAATTTTGTGCGATTTCTTTTAATGTAGGTACATATTTACAAAAAAAAAGAAATCATTTATATACGTAAATAGGTAGGTATATGTAGGTACCATGGAAGAATTTTTTAGGTTCCTAGGTTATTACTTAAGTTATAGGTATAGATACTCTTAGCTATAACTCGTTTAACCAGATATATTGAATACCTTTAGTATAGTAGTACAGTGCCTATAGGTTTTATGAATAAAGTTCTAATTTTATAAAATTCTTAAATAATATATTATTTGATTGATACATGATTATTAAATATTTATCAATTTTTTGTGTTTAATTTTGTTAATTATTATGATTTGTATTAGGTTATGAAGAATCTAAAAAAATGCATCGTATTAATATTACTATAATTTGACAATATAATATATTATTATTAGGTACCTTTACTAAATAATAACTATTTTGATATTTAAATTTATTTCTATCTAAACGATTAAAAAAAAAAAAAAAACGATATAGTTAATATAATCATTATTTAAAAATGTACAGTTTATTATTTTATTGTTATTTAAATTAATAGTTAAATAGTTAATTATAAATTAAACATTTACAAAATGTTAACATTACAGAATGATTTAATTTGTTCAAGTGTAACTAAAAATAGAATTGGCTTTAAAAATTGGTATTAATAAAATAGAAACTTATTTTTTATTTAAGTCTGAAATATGTGCGCTACTAACTTGTTAAGTGTATTTTATGGTGTTTAAGAAACTTGAATAATTACCTCTTTCACTTTAAAAATTTAAAAAAGAAATTTAATTTTTATTTATTTATTTTATATATGAGTATATATAGGTACCTAATAAATTTAAATTACTTGTCTTTATACGTATTAATTACGTAATATTTTTTTTTCAATGCTGACTTAGCTTTATCAACATTAGGTAATTCATAGGCTATATAACCTGATTAGTCTTATTGATATAATTTTTGTACCCTATACAAGTAAATTCTATGAAATCGAGACGTTATATTATTATATTGTTTAGGCAAATTATACTATTATTCAGTATATGAAAATAAAATGTTATAAGATAATTAAAAAATTTAAAACAAGTATACGCCAATTTGATGGTATACATACGTGCAATGGAGCAAAGGGGGGAGGGTTAGGGGTTATAATCCCTCCAAAATTTTAGATTTTACGAATTCTACGTAACCATAGTATCATAATTTTTTTTTGCAATTACAGAAATTTCATTAAAATATTGAATACGTGAACTTCGTAATATAGATGAACTTTTATAGTAATTTACCATCCCAAATATCATAGTAAAAATTTGTTTGAAATCCATACTCCCTTCCCTGGAAATGAATCCTGCTGGTTACATCACTGTACACGTATGTGTATTAAAACGCGTTATTAGAATACCTACGCCTATTCGATTAATCGATCTTCTCGGTTAATTGTTCATAAGGATAATCAGCTGTGAAAAAAAAATAATAATCCAACAGTCTTAGGTATACCTATAGATATATATATGTGTAAAACCGTAAAAAAAGAATAAATAATACCCGATTATCCTGTTCAAGTTGGTTAGAATCACCTCTTGATCTCATTTTTGAAATATATAGGGTACAGTTTTAATACATGTAAATCGTTTAATAAAATATTATTATCTGATCAACACGTAGGCATTTTATTTTGTTTTTATCATAATGATAATATTATGTGTAATATAAGTATGATTACAGAAACGAAACGAATCGATTTTTTCCCCCTGTACCATTTTAGTTCTTATCCTAATATAATAACGCGTTGATTTATTCTGTTATGCATCACGTCGATCAATAAAATATCGACTTATTTATTTCTCTTTTTTTTTCTGATGATTTTTTCTAGTACCTATTTTTTTTTTTTTTTTACTTTCTTGGATATAATATTTTTCACGTATGTAACAATGATATTGTAAAGACAAAAAACGCATTTCAACCAATAAATAGGACGTTGGGTAATTTTTTTTTTTAACTGGCTGATTTATCTGATATGCCTTGGAGCGTAGAGGTTGAATTGAGTTTTTTTCTTCGTATATTTTTTTTCTTCATTCTTTCTTGCTGTTCGTTTTTCTTTGGTGTATTTTAGGTATCCGCTGCACGAAGAAATCTAATGCGTGATTTAATATTAATTCCAAGAGTAAAAAATAATTCTTTTTTAGACGTTGTTTATATGTATATGAACAATTTTTTTTATTTCAAGAAAGTACCGCGACATCCTTCGTCATTTGTAATATTTCCTACAAAGACATCGATTATTATTTTTAACATCATTTAAAAGCGTAATTGTACATTCTCTAAATTTTAGAATAAAATTAATTTAGACTTTCTCTTTGATTTTGCAAATTTATATAAAATTGCCTTGATTCGTTTTTTAAATATAAATGATATTTTATTTTTAGGTATATCCCGGAAAGTTTAAAAATACTTAAACAATTTTTGCATTGTTTTTATTGAATATAATTATTATATTCATGTTAGCACTATTTATTACCACTTTATATTTGTGGTTGATTAAATAAGAAAATAAAACAAAAAACAAAAGTTATTATCTACCCATGTATATTGTTCTTAAAATTCAAATGATGATACTATTATTATATATTTATTCACCAGTGTATCTACTATCTGTGTTACATGAATGATTGTTAAATTTATTAATTTTAACATATAGGTATTTACATCTCGTATTTACAAGGATAATTAAATCACAAAAATATAAAAACATATTTTATAGGTATACAGGATGTACCTTCAGAATTATCTCAGCGATCAAAAGTTTATAACTACATACATTAGGTAGTAGGTATAAGTCGAGGAATTAGTATATATAATTAGATCAATTTGAAATTTATACATTTTAAATGTTAATAATTGTTGGATTTTTAAATTTAAATTTTATAAATTTAAATAATTAATTTGACAATTTTCTATGTCAATAGAAATACATAATTTTTACAAAACATACATATAAAATGATTGTTAATTAAAACAAATAGTAATAATTGCTCCGGGGCTAATTTGTTAACGAAATTAGAATTGTTGACCCACTTGTATTCATTTTATTTTAATGTTATTCAATGGAAGTTGAAGTTCAATTGCGAAGTGGGTATTAATTTTTTAACAAAAAGAAATTATAAACATCAAGGAATTATAGCCTATAGCATAAATTATACCTATATAGTAGCAATATTATAGTATTACAAAAGTGTCCTGTTGATTTATTCTTTACGATTTGAATACTTTTAAAGCAGAAAACAAGTATAGATATCTCTAGTAAGAGGACACCACTCCATGATCTGCGTTATACCAATTGGCTATTTTGTATTTTGTTTATATATATATACGGCAAAAAAAAACCTCATTCCGCAAAATCAAAGCTGAAACTTAAAATTAAAAATAAATACGTTGGTATATAAATATAATGGTATATCGAATTTGATGCATTTTATAAAATCAATAAAAATTAATTTTGTATTAGACTAATAGCTTGCATACATAATTTTGAAAAAATTTAAATTCCAATACTATTTTATCACTATAAACAGTTTTTAGTTGTATTTCTTGAAATCTGTTATATTATTACAATTGAATGGAATGTATAAAACGATCCTATTTAAAGTTGTATGGTGATTAGTATTTCGTATGAAAAAAATCAAAATTTACCAAAAATGTATCGTAAAAAAATGTCCACCCGTGTAATTACAAGTGTTTAGTACTAATCAGCAGTCTATAGTATAGTGCGTCCATTTTTATTTTTAGTAAACCGTTGCGAAAACGTTACAAAAACCGTTGATCCCATCCAACCATATTTCAGTCACCCCTGCCGCTTCCCCATTGGACCGGGATAGTCATCCGGAGGGTAGAACGATGCATAAAAAAATAATACAAAAAAAATAGCATCCACCCCTAAACAATACCGGAGGGTAGCGAAATGGAGGACGTACCCTCACATCCTTAATTATCCGTATACAGACGGGGAAAAAACAACCCCTCTTGGGACGATCCGTTCCCTATATCTAACAGTGTTAGAATCAATTTTTTTTGGTGGGTGGCCAAAAAAAAAGTTTTGGTTATTTTTTTTATGTAAAAGGGGTTCGTTTTTTGCATTAACTTAGTGATGACCTGAGAAAAGGGTTGTGTAAAGGACAAAAAAATTTACAAAGACAATGCCATCGTTAGAATCTCACGCAGGGTAAATTTTTTTCTTCTCTTCCACTACATTATAATACGTGGACGAGCATTTGCATGCATCCGACGGATTATATCCATGTAAAACACCTGTGACCCCTTCCTTTCGTTCTCACGCATACCTATCCCCCGTACTAGCACTGGCAGCTGAGTATTGTTTTAGGTAAAAAAAATAGAAGTATGAAAATTAGACGATATTTTTTTTTCTTTAACCGAGGACATAGTCACACGATATTTGCATGTACGTGAACAAAATGCAAGGTAGTTTTTTTCGGACAACTTTTTTTTCAATACTTATATGAATATTGTTTCAAGAGTGGGATCTTTTTGACGATAATATTCCCACACCGAGGGATTAACTAGTATTATTTTATTCAATTTAGATGCGTACCTACCTATATACTGACAAAAAAAAATATTTTAATTGTTTAATATTAGTGATTATTTTTGATTAACTTAATGTTGCAATATTTGGTATAAATTATTTAAATTTACTTATACCAATCTGTACATTCATCTTAATTTTTTTTTTTAATTTTTAGTATCATTTATTGTAATAAAGAAATAAGAATAATATAGAATACTAATAAGAAATTATATTTAACAAATGGTGATTATAAAAACATAAATAATAATATTTTACTATTGCAACTTGCAACACGTCATATAATATTTATAGAAAGACAGATGTTTTTGTGTCAATCATGTATATCTTCATATGTTTACAATTTTGAATTATATAGTTCAAGAGATCACCTTTAGGCATAATGTGTGGATACCACCTGGTTTCCTGTCTATCACAGTACACCTATATATTACATAGATTCTTAATAACTGAAATACTTAAAAAAAAAATACTACATTACACTAAATTTTATATTTGACGACTAAGTATGGCTCATAATAAACTTTCTGTTAAATTTTCAAAAATATCTGTTAAGCCGAACAATGATATTCACATAGTATCTACCGAATAAAAATTACGTAAAATATTCGCAAATTTAAAATGTCTATAAATAACTCAGAAATGGCTCAAATGTTTTGAAAATTTTACCATATCTAGAAAATGCAACTATAAGTTTTCTTTAGAAATTTCAAATCTCTATGATTATTTTTAACTGAATTTCATTAAAAAAAAAAAAAAAAATAATAATAATAATAAAATAATTATTTTCGTAAATTTTCCTGTACTCTCTACGTATTTTTCGACTTTGCTTACTTTAAAAACTACAAAGAAAATTAAAAAAACGAATTACTTACTCACCAACAAGAATAAAAATTCAACAATAAAGGTCTCTTGTCGTTTTTTCTCTTGGAGAAGTATTTATGGTAGATAACATATAAGCCGTAAACATTTAAAATTATGAAATTGCTGTGCCGTATTTTTTGTCTGTTTTGGTTTCTTCCAATTATTAATATGAAAAAATACTATAGATATCAAAAATAATTTTCTCTGTCATTGGATATGTATTTAAAGGAATAAAATCTATTTCTCATCATTTTTCGATTGGAGCTATATTTTTGGTAGAAAATATCGTGAACAATTAAAAACAATGGAAATAGTAACGCCGCAATGTGCAGTTAATATTTGCCATTTTATGTATACATTTCTTTTGGGGTTTTCCCAATTATTTTAAAAACCCCATATAAAATCAAAAAATTACCTCTTTAATACACCAACTAGTGAAAATTACTTTTCAGAAAAGATGCTACACTCAATACATTGAAGTATGATTTCTTTTCAAAAAGTTTTTTATAGACAGAAAAACAACCAAAAAAAGCATACATCATGGTAAAACCAATTCATTTCTTGCTACGCTCTGAATCCAAAATCAATATTCAAGACTAGCACAAAAGATTGAACTATAAAATAATGTAAAAATCATCAGTTCGTATATTACACTTTAATTAATGAAACGACATATAATTGTAATCTTAATTGAAATATATTTCTCATGTATTTATATAATTTTATCTACTTTATTTATTTTTAGATTCTGAGCAGAGCAAATATTGTATTAGTTTCCAATGTTGTATTTTTCCGTCAACCAGAAATCTTGCACATATTAGATAAAATTTATTATCAGAAATTAACCAATAGTTGATGATTAGAACAATATTTATAGTAGAAAAGTTATTTATAGATAGAAAAAAAATCACATCATAGAAAAGCTAATACATTCTCGCATAGTTCAGAATATAAAACTAAATTAGGTAAATAAAGTTAAAATATGGTGAAATTATCATCTATATCACCACCTAAGAACCATCATGAGTAATCTCAATAAATGCAAGATTGAATAACTACTTATTAAGTTTTATAATATTTATATAAAATTAACAGATTCGTGTTTTTTAAACGCTTGCTATTAGTTTCGAGGTTTGCTGTTAAAAATCAAAATGTCATTATAGTCTATCTAAAATTATTTGTTATCAATGAAGCTACGACTAGTTTTTTGTTCTTTTTGAAGAGTTGGAAAAACTGAAATTGGCCATTTGGATCGTGTAGTGTAAGTTAAATTTTAATTATAAATTCTACTTTTTCTTATTTCTTTAAAGTTAATAAACTTTTAAATTCGGAGTGGATCAAGAAATATGCATTAGGTTTATAATAATGTTTATTATTATTATTATTATTATTATTTTTAATTTTCCAAGCGGTTTTCATAATAATTGGGAGAAAACCGAAAAATGTATGTACATATTTCAAAGAAACTTCGCTCTGAATCGTTTTTCCTTAGCAATAGTTTTTCGTTGAGTACAGATATAAATTAAATTCACCTCTACATATCCTAGCATTTCAGCTTTTCCCCTACAACAGTGGCCCACCCATAATGCAATGTATGTCCGTCTTTTTTATACAAAAATTGATTTATATAAATATGTATACATATATATATATATATATATATATGTATATACCTACATTAAAATAACTGTTTTGAAATAGTAATAATAATAACAATATAAAGATTGATATATTTACAAATCACAACTTATGTCTTATATTTATTTATATTTGTATTATTATTACTACCTACATTATATAAACACATTTTCCTGAGTTATAAATAAATTCAAAGTAATTGTCTTCATTTTAATTACAATAATTAATAATTAATTAATTAAATGCAGTTTAGTATATAGTTGTCAATAATATGTTATATAATTTTTTTTTCAATAGAATATTAAATAATTTTTTATGAAAAAAATTGTAATCATCATAACAGCTGGAACCAATTTATTAAAACTCATTATCATTCAACAGAGTGTATCGCGCAGGGCACCCAGACCCCATTTCATTTTATTAATTTTTTTCTTCTTAGAACTCTAGGTGTATTGATTATTTTTTTTTATGTTCCGTCTACGGTACTGTTTTTTCAATGTTTCCCATGCATAAAGACATTCTCGGACTTTAAAAAGACAAAAAAAAAAGTAATGTTAATGGCCTCGGTTAAAAAAAAAAACAAAACAATACAAAAAGAACCACCGGTTCTGCCTGAAGGGTTCACATTCTCTGGTGTTATTTTTTTTTGCTGTCCGTTTTTTTTCTCTAGATCATCATCAGTATGAGACTCAAAGAAGGTTTAGAATTGAAAAAAAAAGTTAAACCTATTGCATTGAAGTTAGAAGTTAAACCTTATTTTGACCACGTAGAAAAAATGTAATATTTTTATACTCCCAAATTACTGTTATAATTCCATATTTTTTATTTACTCGTATATAAATATATATTTTAACGTGATGTACACGTTGCTGTATAATTTAGGTAATAGTTTTTTTTGTGTGTCTTAAAAATGAAATATTAGTAGATTATCGTGAGAAAAAAAAATAAATTGTAGAATTAATATAATAAATCTTTCTATAATAAATACTATAATACTACAATAGTAATCATAACACAAAATAAGTTATTATTTACCTACTAAAATATTTTGTTTAATTTTTTAAAAGAAAAAAATACACATCGTAGGTATATAAGTACCTACTTGATAAATGATAAATATTAAAAAATTTTAAATTCTAAGTGGAGCATTTTTTTTTTAATATTTGCTAATAACTTATATTACCAGGAATCTTGCTCCAATCAAAAAACAACAAAAACACTTCATTATGAACAAATTGTGGAAATGGGTGACTAGAGGGGTGGTGGGCAAGACGGGGCATCTTTCCCCCCTTGGACTTTAAAATTTCAAGTATAATTTTAATAATTAATTAATACAATTTTATTTTAAGTATTTTTTGGTGTTTTTTTATTATGCGCCTCCTTGATAAATTTTTTGTTGGCGCCCATGATTGTGGCTATTTGATGGTGCAGCAATTACCATTTTTTAGACGTGATAAAATATTCAAAATATTCTGGGATTTTCAAATTAAAAATGTTTTAAAACTAGATTGGTTTTATGTGGATACAATTTTGTTAGTTCATATAGATACTAAACCATAAGAAACGAGGTTTATGAAGTTGTACTGGTAAAATAAAAAGGTTGAGCATCATATCGGAATTTATTTTAATTTAGTTTTAAATTTAAATTCATGATAAAATTTCCAAAAAAAAAAAAAAACAAAAACAAATGTAATTTATTTTGTAATTACGACTTGTTAAGATTGACACGAGTCAACCTAATTGGGGCTGCCGTAATCTCAGGAACAGAGGGTTAGATCTTACCTAGTCCACCTAATTGCATTAACTACTTAACTAAATACAAAAAACTGTAGTACGCAGTTATATATTTTGCAAAATAATCTCAAGAGAAATACTTTTTATAATAAACGTATAGATATATTTTACTTGAATTATTTATAGGTAATTACATTTATTGAAATATGTTTAGTCTCACCCCACTCCTGGACCCTATTGAAATACAATTGGTACGCTACTGTAAAACTATAATACCTACCAGCTAAATTAATGTGAATTAATGAATAATCTTCATTTTTTAAATTTAAAAAAAAAAACTAAAATACGTTTGCTTTAATGTATTATCACTTAATTGTTAATAATGCTTTTAGTTTTTTATAATTAGTTTATATTACATTATTTAGCTGACAAATTTTTATTCTGTCTATATTAATAAAATAAGATGGTAATCTGTGTTTTGTTTGTCTGTGTGTGGATCTATCTCACGAAGAGGTTTGTAAATATTCATTCAAAAGCTGATATAGGAGTTCTTGTGCACATTGAATTCATATTTCCGAAATTCCATTACTAAAGAATAACTGACTTAGGGTTTTGGAAAAATTACATTTCTTTTTGTTGATTTATGGACTACTTTGGTGACAGGATGAAAAAAAAATAGTTATTGTTATAGTTATTTTGGTTGCCACGAACGAGAAATAACCCTTTTTAAAAACTAAATTATCAGATAAAAACGGTTAACTTTGTTAGAAATGGGTGTGGAAATTATAAAAATTATGGGGAAATACGTTTTTAATTTTTTATTTCTTTCATTGCTATGTTCGGGAAAAGCCGAGTGGGACAGATAGTAAAAATAAAAAATATTTAGGTATATGTTATGGAAATTGTTTCAATTTTTCAAATTTAAATATAAGGGTAAATGTTTAAAATTTAATATTGATATTCAAAGTTTCGCTATCTGAATATTGAAATGTCCGTTAAACACCATTCACAATACTTATTATAATGAAATGTTATCTACGTAAATGTAACACAACATTACATTACTGAACCCTTTCATAGGCATTACAAATTAAGTAAGGATAAAATGTCCTTTCTCTCTTGTAGGTACAACCTTGATGTTGACAATTTTTCAAGGTCCAATAAATCCAATTTGTACTTAAAAATATTAGATAACGTGGAACTTATACCTATATATATATATTCATAAAAATATCAAAATATTATGATCTACGACGTGAAAAGGTGTTTTGTTATTTTAACCAGATCGTTGATCTCATCTTCCACAACGTCCGCGTGTGTGCAACGTGCATTATGTTTAATCAGTTAACAAATCATATACCCATCTTTGACCCTGGAGTTGTATAGGTATAATAATATGAAAGGTTCATTTACATAGATGGACTATCCAAAGACAGATGGATGGACCCTAATTGATGTGTATGCATGTACCTTTTTGTTTTTTTATCTACTAGAAGATTCTGGTTTAATTTTTTTTTTATTATAATTTTTTTTAATATAATTTTTGTTCTTCTCACTATATGTAGTATAACGTCTATTGTACGAGCCACATCTGCTGTTTTGCATTCAAATTGATTTCTTCGTTGGGTTATTTTTTTTTTCAGTTTTTTTTTTATAACCATATTTATACTTATATTATGAAGTACCATGTAGGTACATAACATATTATTACACGTTCAAATAGAAAAATATATAATGTATTTGAAATGATCTTGATAATGTAATCATGCTAATCATATCTCACGGTATTAAGTTTTTAATGTTTCAGAAATATATTTTCAAACCTATCAATAATTTCCTAAAAATTGAAAATATTATACAATATGATGATAATAATAATTCCTAATATCAAATAACGTACAATTAATAAAACTAACCACCCATTGATGCTTATTAATATCCTTAATATATGTTAGTAAAGGTCAATATTTTTGACCTATGTTGTTTTATTAAAAAAAAAATAATAATAATATTTATATACAATAATGGGTATCCCGTAGTGCTGGTAGCCTTGGAAAACGAGTTCAACCCTCAGCTGCTGTCCGATGCACGTTGTGCAATAATTACAACAAACAAGACGGCCCCAGGTCACTTTAGCCCGGGAAGTCGTTACAACACGGCGATGTATAGGACCTCTGGTTAATAAACAGAAAGTATCCCCACCACAAATATTATTGTGAACACTAACCCCTTTACAAAATATATATATATTTTAAACAGCAATAAAAGACCACTGTGCTGTGGTGGTCGGCGCATATATACCTATACGGTGTAAAATAGAACTAATGACCGATTTAATTGGGTTTAGAACCAATATTATTTTGAAATTTGTATTTATATACCTATTATGTAAAGTAGACTATTATACAATTATTTCATATTTTTAAAAGTTAAGTAAATCACGTATTTGTAATCACATCATTGTCAGACTGGGTGCTGAGAAAATAAAAATATATTATTTTTATACGTTGGATACCTTTATGCAGAGATAAGCAAGATACTTTATAATTACAATCTAGATACTAGCTACTATACTATACTAGGTATTATTAATTGATTTTCAGTATTTAAATACAAGATATTAAATACTTATGTAACAAGTATTGTAATACAAGGTACCTACTAAGTATATTTGTATGTATTCAAATACTAGATACTCGATACTTAAATTATTAAAATTAAAATATTAATTACTAGGGTTTGGCTTCTAAGGCAATCTAAACAATAAAAAAAAAACCACTGAAAATGTGAAAACAGGCTAAAAAACATTTATTTTATATAAAAAATCAATAAAAAAATAAACTAAAAAATTTCAAATTTAACTAGTTAATATTATAAAAAATTATGTTTGACTTACATTTTTTTCTGAACAATTTTTACGGTTTGTGCTTAAAATATTTTAATACATAGAGAATGATCTTTTATTAACGTTAAATTAACTTGCTATACCAAATATTCGATAAAGTATTTAGGAATATTGATAAATATTACCGATTATAAAACCTATTCAAAGTTATTTTAAACATAATATCGACAATAAGTTGTCTTCATTAGGTCTTATCAATATGTATCGTTAATATGTATATAAAACTATCAGATCAATTGAAAATTATACACAAAAAGCAAAAAGACATTTATAAGTAAAAAAGCGAAAAAGAGCTAAACACATATTCATTCATTATTTTAAATATTAAAACGAAACATATTTGTATACAAAAATTATTTTTCTATCGTTATAAAAAAAAAATTTAACCTTCAAATCTGAGCCCTATTAATTACATTTTTCACGCATACTGCAGTATCATAAAGGGTGAGATGGTTATTTATTTGAAACATTTTCGAAATTTCTTCAATTCCCTCCATTTTTTGTAAAACTACTTTCAGTTTTTAAAGAACTTATTGTTAGAAAATTTAAGGAAAAAATGATCCAGTTTGTGCACCCTTTTGGACAATTGTGAGTAAGATACCTCAACAAAAATTAATAAGATTTATTAATTTCAGAATCGAAATACAAGATACACGATACTTTTCAGAACTGTTTCGCGATACCAGATACAATTATCTAAAGAACGCAATTAAAATACTTGTATTGAAGATACTGCCCAACACAGGCTATATATGTAATACTTAAACCTATTATTAATTCTTTAATATTAATATTCAGGTTATTTCTTTTTTAATCTATATTAGTAAATAAATGAATAAATATATAAAATATAACCGGCATATAATTTTGAAATCAAAAATAATTAATATATTTAGTATGCTGAACGCCTGAACGAGTATACTAATAATAGGATATTGGTTTGAAAAATTAATTTAGTTGAAACAAGACAAATCCTAAATTGTATGTCGAACGTTAGTACATTTGTATAAAGTCAATGTGGCGCCGTAAATTCGTTGAAACTGCAAGAACAATTCGACTCAATGACGCCAAATCAATTTATGTTCATACAGGAAAAAAATATTCTTCTCCTCAAACAAAGACGAGGTCATTTTTTTTTTTATATATAATATATGTGATGAAGGCGATTCGTAAATGTTCCCCTTTATTATCGACACAAGAAATGAATTGTATGGGTTAAGGGTAGGTATATATAAAATGTGGAAAAAAGAAGAAAACTCCTCTAAAGTCACATTATATAAAATATCGGTTGCAAAAATGAAGGAGAACACTATATATAATAAAATTATTACTCCCCACAAGCAAAGGAGAGCGCAGCAGACACATTTATTATCAGTGACCTGAATTCTAAACTGCGCCACCGAACTTCCATAACAATACAATATATAATACAGCATTTTCTCCACCATCGCTAAAATAAGTCGAAAAAAAACTTGTAAAGGTTAGATTGGGACTATTGTAAAAGGTTTTTACATTATTACACGGAATAAGTACGTAATATACTTACGGGTATACGACAATTGGACTTTAATAATGAAATATTTCGAATAGGTTTTTGAATGTTATATTTAATGATAAATTTGTAATTTTTACAGTGATCATGACGTCCAGTCCAAGTAACGAAGCTGAATTACAACTTTACAGGGTAATGCAGAGGGCGAGTTTGTTAGCATATTATGACACACTACTTGAAATGGGTAAGAAATGTATTAATAGAAATTATATAATTTTATTAAACTATGATACTTATAATTTCAGTTATTTTCTTAAACTATTGTTAATTTAATTTTACATGGGGGAAAATGGGGTAGGTCCGGTCAGTGAATAACGTCGGTCAGTCCACTATTTCGGTACCAGTGAGATTATACAATCTACAAATAATAAGCGCAATCGATAGATATGATTGTTATAACCTAATTTTCTGTTTAATTGGTTTTTAGTTAATATTTTATAACCAAAATTTATGTTATCATTTTTTCGTCGTCCACACTATACAATTTTTATTTCTCATTTACTCAAGTTAAGAAATAATATTTTAAATTTTGAATCCTATATTATTAAAATGTGTAGAATTTTGTATAACTTCCAAATATGTTATCAGAATTTAGATACTATATGAAATTAATTAAGCATGCATAATTTTTTAACTTCATATACAACCGATTCAAACCGGTCAAAATCAATAGGGTAATAGCGGTCATAATACATAATATTTAAATTATGTACATGGATTATATTATCTTAATTTAAGAATTATTATTTTTAAAACTAATCGATCAAATGCACTTTTTTAAAAAAAATAATCAAATATTCAATTTATAAAAGGAGGTAATTTATTATTTTGGAAAACACCAAGTTTAGCTATAAAATGGTGTATGGAACACTTTTAGAGCTTTACTTTTAGCCAACATATTGATATTTGAGTTTAAATCAGACCTACCCCATTCTTCCATACTCCATTTAGTTTTTATTTGGTTTTATGCTGATAATATTGCTTAGCCAAACAGAAAAGTATAAAAATATATCACGTGGTTCATTATAATTGTACTTAGTGATAAAAAAAACATTGAGCTTAATGTAGTTTTTTTAAAAGCTTTTTACATTAAAATGTTGACGACAATTTTAAAAATCACGGCATACAAAAATATATTCAGCCGAATTTCCTTCAAAATCTTATTTTGTCAGTAGTAATTTATCGTTGCGTACAGATATAAATTAAATTAATTTATGTAGGTATACTATCTTCTCAACTTTCATCTTACAACAGTGGCACCTATCAACCGTATCAGCCTTTTTGTATTATACCTACTTAAAATATTATATACTGTTAGTTTTTTTATTGAATGAATTAAGTGTGGGTAAGTATTATTCTACACAGTTATTTCTTAAAATAAAAAAGTATAATAAGGATACCTTATCTTATTTTAATAAAAACATTAATTGTATTAACGATATATCTGAAAGAAACGTTTAAAAATAATGATATACAATAATAATAAAACAAAATTAATATAAAGGTGAATTAAATTATAAGTATCTACGACTTACGTACTCATCTATTAAACATCATTGTTTTTGTTAAAGTACACAATTTTCATATTAGATTTTTTTAATCTACGTTTTTGTTCACTTTAATGAACAGGTGGTGATGACTTGCAACAGCTTTGTGATGCTGGCGAAGAAGAATTTCTTGAGATAATGGCCCTGGTCGGCATGGCGTCAAAACCATTACATGTTCGACGATTGCAAAAAGCTTTGCACGAATGGGTTAGCAATCCGGGTAAGTACATATAGTTATGTAACCGATTCGGCCAATCATTTAAAATTAGTTAACAAATAACAAATAAATAAGAAGTTGTATAATTAATAAAAATAAATAAACATAAATATAGAGAAAGTACCTAGATGATAGATTTTAAGTTAGTATAAAAGAAAACAGTATTTTGAATTGACATAATTAACTTAATAAAACAAAATACATATAAAACATAAAATACATTCAAAGAACTTGATTAAAGCATATAATATAGTAGGTATACCGTATGACGTATACCTATTTAGTAGCTATACCATAAAAAATAAAAATGACAATAATTACTAAAATGTTTTTAGGTATATTATAATACATGAAATAGAAAATAATATTGTATAATAAATAGAAAAATAAATTCATAATACGTAAACAAATACGTATAAAACTCTTCGTATTTTCTTAGCGAGAAATACAGCAGAAAACTATACATATAATTTGAAACATTCAACCATCTTATCAAAAAAATTCGACAATTTTACGATAAAACAGCTGGTCAACTTTTTCATAATATTAAAACCGCTTAAAAATATTAAAATTAATTAATAATTCTGTTATTTATAGTCATAAGAAAAAAAATGTATGCGTATATTATAATTTAGAGGTAACCGTATGTCCGTATACCTACTAAAGTGGGTACACGGTTATAATGTATAAAACTAAATGCTTCCTATTTATACTTGATTAAAACATAATATCATATAAGATACACATGTGTATAATACTATGATTCGTTCGTAATAGATTTGATTAATCATCTTTCTCTGTCGAAGAGGTATAGGTGTATAATATTTCCAAACACGCAACACTTTTGGCCCGTTGACCAAATGTCGTCGGAGTCATTATCAGTAGGTTTAATGGTAATCCTTTGATAGGTACATTTCTATATGTAGGTCGAATTCTAGTGAAATTATATTAATAATACTAATAATATTCTCGAATGAGGACGTAGGCATATAAGAGAATGACAATGAATAAGGATCCGAACAGCAGTAGGAGCAGTTGGTGAGCCACCGGGTTTATTATTATTATTATTTTAACCCTTTCTCTATATATACTAGTCATTCCTTTTGTTGTTATTATGATTAGTACAGCATGTGGGGAACCAGGGAGTGTATATATATATATAATTTATAGGTATATAATATATGTATGTATATTGTATGTGTGTATGTGTGTATGTGTAGATTTATACAGAGAGGTGTAAAGAAAATACAGTGTTCGAAGAGGTGCGAAGTTCTTGGTCGAAAAACGTATATTACAGATTCTAGAACGTATATGAGATTAGTCGTATTATTTATTATTCCGGGTAGGTATACTTACGCAAAAACTTGTTAAATATAAATGTCTATACTGCAAAGCGTTTTTCGAACAAGTTTTACAAAAAAAAAAAAAATATATTTAATTAGTATGGTTTTTATATTGAGTACATTTTAAATTTGTATATAAGTAGAATTACTTATTTAGATATACCTGTTATACAATTTTATAAATATGTCAATTCTATTCAATCACAGTACCTATAATATTATTTTTAAAATTATTATATCTGATACCTGCAGCTATATCTGCTTTAAAGTACGTAAGTTTTCAACAGTTTTAGGGTTCTCGGTAGTTAAGTATAGAATTGACATTTTTAATTTGGATTCAGGTTGTCGAGTACTTTGAACAAACCTATAAAAACAATCCGCTCGATCCTCGTCGATTTCCATATAAGACTACAATAGTGCTAAGGGTTTCTCGAATATTCTGTTTACTCGAATAGTTGTTGTAAGTAAAACGTGCAAGTGCAATCAGGAAGTACATTTTCTTGTATTTTATATTATTTGATGGATACCGTGAGCGTAGGTAAAGGGAGGGGGGCGTTAACCCCGCATTTTTATATTCTTAGGTACAATATAGGTTATATTTTGTATATATTAATTAACAAAGCAATAAGTTATATTGGTACTTAACAAAATAGATTTGAAATTTTGAAACATAACATTATGTTTTATCATAAATGTTTGATGTATGTTGTATAACCTAAAACTAAACAATTTTTAATTTCTGTTTATTTTGAGTACGTGGTAATTTCTTTTAATTTTGTATTTAGCAATAAAAAAATAAACATCTTCTTTTAGAAACACGGTTTTATAACCGTGATCTTTTTTATTTATTTCAAGAAACATCATATTTAAGCTAAAAGTGAAAGAACTTTTAATATAAATATTTCGTTTTATATAAAAAAAAAAAGTAATTATACAAATAATAGATTTACTTCTATTAATAAAGATCACTCTAGTAGGTATGTTATACATTCTATATACATAAAAAAAAGAATACATCTTTCTACAGTTAAATTATAATCGAAACACCAATACCTACAATAAATGCAGACAGTCAATTTCTGGTAACTATATAAATTTAAATTAAACATTTTTAAATATATAATATATAGATAGTAAAATATAGTAATATAACAATGGTAAAAGTATAAACAGAATTTTTTCGGAAATTGTTGTTCGTATTCATATATTATTACGCTCATATAATAATGCCTGCAGGATGAATAACATTGAAAGGTTTGGTGAATCCTAGAAGAAAAAACCTTTTGTATACAAGAAAAAAATTTTTATGTACGACTTTTTCCAAAAGCTTTTCCTATCCCCTTTCCGGCGTACTGAACATTTTGTGGTGTAAATTTTCAACAGGATCACATATATTTTTATATCATGTATATAATACGAGAATGTGGGTATATGTGTGAGAGTGGGAGTGTGTGTGCGTATACGTGCGACACACAATATATATGTATACGGCAGTCTGCAGGTTTTTTCTACCCCTTTTTTTCTCTTTACAAGAGAAATCGCTCAGAGTGAGAGAGAGGGTAAAAATAAAAATAAAAGGAACGAACGGAAAAAAAAAGGAGGAAAAAAAGAACCGAATCATAAAACCTCTACCCTGCGCTGCAGTCCTACCTCTTGTTGTTTTGCGGAACAACGTCGTCGAATTATGGGGAGAGAGAATGAAGGCGAGCGCGATGGAAGATAGAGAGGGGGGGGGGCAGAGAGAAAAAAAAGACGAAAAAAGTTTGCTCGATCAATTTTTCTGTCGCAGCTGCAATGTGTTGAGGGGTTTTCAGATAACCCGGCGGATAAAGTACATAATTCCAGGTTTGAGGGTTTTTCGTTTTGGGAACCGTCAATAATTTCTTTTAAAGAAAACATTAAAAAATAAAATAAATAATCTGACGAGTGTTTATAACAAAATCCCAAAAATATACTTTTTATTTTATAAAACAAGTATAATATATATTATATTATGATACAATTTGATGTGGTTTTTTTCCTAGTCTCAACATTTTAATTACAAACTGTTTCTTCTACCTATACTATTACAAAAATAATATAAACCTATATAATGCTATTTTTATATTTATTTTTCAATTAATAACTTTAAGTATCTAGATACGTTATTATTTAGATTATTTATATTAATATTCATCTGAATATTTTAAAAAAGCGTATATTATATTATTATTTATTGTAACTGTTTATAAAATGATAAAAAAAAAATGTCAATGTAAATAATGCGTTTTAGGTTTTTATTCTTATGGTAGTAAATCAGATTCTTAAAAAAAGTATATAGAACCTAATGTAAATAAATATTGATGGTTAATTGTTGTGTACAGATATACATTACATTTACCCTCTACCTTCCCAACTTTTCATCTACAACAGTGGCCCACCCATCGTGTGAAGTAAGTCCGTGTCTTTTTAAGATAGACATTGTATACAATACCGAGTATAAAGATTAAAATCTCGGGTCGCTAATTAACAGTAATAATAGCATGCACCAAGAGATACAACAAAGAATCTATAACGCCAATCGGGCTTATTTCTTAATTTTAAGTCTTTTTAAATCAAAACTACTCTCTAGAGAACCAAAAATAAGATTATATATAGCTTATATAATACCCATCTCAACTTATGGGTGTGAAACTTATAATACTCGAAAAAAAAGTATTAAGAAAAATATGTGGCCCATATTTTAATTCTTACAGACAACAATACGAAATTAGACACAATGAAGATTTAAGGAATCTATTCAAACATCTTAATGTTTTTGCCTTTGAAAAAAGTAAACGGTAAAGTGGCTTGGATATGTCTGAAGAGCGGGAGAAAGTAAAATGAAGGAAATAATATACAAGAAATCAAATAGAAAAAGACCACGAGGAAAATTAATGCAGATATGGCTTGATATAGTACTGAAGGATCTACATAGATGACACAATAGGAGTGGAAGATACAGACGACGAGGAACGATAGAGAGGCGTGTGATAGGCATCGTTGGTCCTTAAGAGGTCGTAAGTTAATGAAAAAGATGAATAATAACATGGGACTACTTGATGTAAATACTTGATGTAACTTGATACTACTATATGTATTTGAAAATAAATTTAAATATTTTCAAGTTGATAAAATTTAATTTTTCCAAAAGTGTCAAGAAAATTGCCTATTTACATTCCGTTAAATACGGGAGGTAGCACGTCCTAAAACGGAAGCATACACTTTGGGGCAATCTACAATTACGCGCAAAACAATAAGTCAATCGGATCGTGTAAAATCGTATGGAAACAATGTTGTGGAATATTTTGTTATTTATCGAGACCTCAACCCCCCCAGTATAATATTGTTATTAATACGTGTGACTTTTGAATATTTTGAAATATTCTGAAGATATTACAGCGAAAGCTTTTTATAAATCTATATTCATATACCCGTATGATTACGTTTCCAGATAACACTAAATATTTCGGCTGGATGACCTTGGATTTTAATTCCGTTTTCGGGAGATGATGAGGAGTACTAAAATTCACACTTTAGGATAAATTTTGGTGTGTGCACACAATACAAATGACCCGATTTTTTTAATAGCAACACCCATTTTTGATACTAAACGAAGGACTTATAATACTATTTTTTTAAAAACAACTTTTATGAATACAATTTTTCAATATCAATATCTCCATGTCTAGCGATGACGTCTTATTAGGATGTTCTAATTGCATCAAAATAGGAAAAAAAATTATGCTATGATTAGAATTTGTTCACGGGCCTAGCTTAATTAAAAATGAAGTGGGCTACGAGTTAAAGGTCCATGGATTACACATTATTATAATTTATATGTTATTAAAATTATGAATTTCTGACGAAAAATGTTATTATTCTCTTTACAGCCATGTTCCAAGCTCCGTTGACTTCTCCTATCGCCGGCGGTTCGATACCAGTCTTGCCGCCAAACCCGATCCGCCCATTCTTGAGTGCTTGTCCGAATCCTCTGATTCAGACATCCATTCACCACGGTTACTACACTCCGTTGGGTTACGGTTATCAACCACCCACGTCACCATCACCCGTGCCCAGTTCGACTAACCAACTTCCACAGGTTAGTGTGTATAATAAATATGTATAATATAATATTTTAGGATTCCCCCCTCCAAAAATAGCCCGTGCATCACAATTTACCCGTTAAAAAATCAAAATTATTAAAATATTCTCATTTAAATCATGACTTATAAACTTTCAATGGTGTTTGTAAATGCGACAAAAGTTTTCGAATATTTTTCATTTTATTCAATGTATTTGTTGGAAAATCCGAAATAATGGAATTTAGATAAAATATGGTCAAGATTCTAAATTTGAATTATAAGTTCAACTGCTTTATATTAGGAATATTGCGGGATATTTTGAGGAAACATCATGTTTTACTACATTAGGTACAATATTTCGTGTTGCGGTTTCTGTACAGTTGTGTGTTTTATTGGCAGGGAGGGAGAAGAAAAGAAATAACCGTACACTATACAGAAGTCTAATAATCATAATAATATTATTGTATATGTCAATAATAACGTGTGTGTTATATTTTTATATAAAAAATTACCGTTCAATCGAGGTGAGTTCTACTGCAGTGATTCACATTTCGCTATACCTATACGGTATGCATAAGTACGTGTTTTGCCCGATTACACGCGTGCACAGCGCACGTCAACGTCCGAAAATTATGCTTCACCGAAAATGTACATTTCTGTATTATTACTTAGGTACGCCAGCCGTCTCGCGCGAGTCATCCGTTACACTATTATTTTTTGATAATAACAATAATAATACATGCATAAAATATAGGTAAACTCGCCTATATACATATATTTTATATGTATAGAAAAATACGCAGACCATATTGTATACTTACCTAACTAGGTAGGTACTGTACAATTTCCGCATCCATAAATTTGTTATATTTCGGAAGAAGAAAAAAAAAATTAATAAAAACCATTTCAACCATTTTTTTTCAAGATTACATTGTATTTTCAGGGTTTAAAATATATTTTTTATACAATATTAGTAGGTACATTACTTTCGACGTTATATTTTTCTTCCGCGTAACGTGATCGTTTAAAAAATAAAAATACCTACCTTTCGACGGACGCCAACGAGTTGGTTTACAATTACCGAATAGGTATATTATACGAATTGGTTTCAATTAACTATTATCCTTGCCTGTCCAGTATTTTTCCAATATCTTTTGCATAATAGTATTTGAGATAACTTTCTTCAATAATATTTAAAACATTTATTTTTAAAAATAATTTACAACTGTTTCCATTTTGACATGCTATTAGCAAATTTGTTTGAAACAATATAACCAAGTTGTAAGCCAATATTAATTATTCTGATACCTGATGTTTCGATATTAGAAATCAAAAACCATGATCATTTTTTAACTTTTTTTTCATATTCCATATTCCATATTGAAAAACAATTTCACCCGAAAATATTGGATAAAATATAGGTTTTGAAAAGAACACGATATCCGATATCACTATATACGCATATAATAAATATATTTCATATATTATAGGTGGCACAAACGAGCGAAGCGACGACTTCAGCTGGTCAACACTATGGAGACAGTAACAGTCCGGGTCAAAGTCCCGGATCGCCTTTGCAGTTATCTCCGTCTTTGGATGATTCTCAAATCGCCCGATTAGCCACGTCGGCTAAGGAACTAGTGCAGAGACTACCACAGTACCAACCTAAAGCGCAGACGGCAAAACGGAAGACGAATAAGGAGCTCGAGGTAAGCATATAGATACCAGTAAACTTCGCTACAAATCTTTTTATAATGTTATGATGGTTTTACAGTGCGTTTTGAATATGCCAGAAGAAGATCCTAGGCGCATTGAATCTATTAGGAAGTATTCGGCTATTTACGGTCGATTCGATTGCAAAAGAAAACCAGAGAAACCCTTAACATTGCACGAGGTGAATATAAACATCAATATGCATATGGACTTATGCCTGTTGATCGTTTACCTTATTGCAATTATGTCCTCGGCAACAAACTATGGCGCCTAAGGTCCCTTAAAGTTGTGAATTGTACCCACCCTATGATACCAACCACACCATTAATATCATAGTATTTTACCATAGGTACCAGTATGGACATTTTGCAATAGCGCGTACGTTCTTTTATCTTTAAGATTCTGAGTGGAGCGAGGAATGGTATTGGTTTTACAATGATGTTTATTTGTTTTTATATTTTTTCTGTGGACAACTTTTCTACCAAAAATTTGGCTCCGATTTACAATAATAGCACTTTTTCTAAAAGGAAATCTGAATAGAGAGATTTTTCAAAGAGATAATTTTTTGATTTTTCCAGGAGTTTTCCCAATAAATTAAAAAAACATGGAAAACTGAGAAAAAACGTAGGAAAAATGGGAAAATGGGTACAATATTAAACAAATATCATTAAAGAAAATATTTAATGCATATGTAATTATTTTACCATAATATTACACATATATTGTTGACAAAGCAACATTATCAACCAAACTGAGAATCATTTGTTTGTTAGGAATGGTTTACGTACAACTATACATTAAATTCGCATCTATATATCCTACCTTCTAACTTCCTCTTCTTTCGGAACTTCCTACATACAAAAGGAGCTGCACACGTCCCTATTATCCTAAGGCAGCTTTTTACTTACTATTTTTGGAAGATTTTAAAACTCTAAATTTATTCCTTATGATTAAATCTATGAAAATGGTGATCATACCTAACCCCAATATATGGGGTTGCAGTCGCAACTGATAGACATAGGAATTAGCGTCACTGACAAGTGATAACACAAATTCATTTTCCTTATAAAATGTGTCAATTATAAGTATTATAATTATTTATTAGGTAGTATATTATTTTTTATTATAAACGATTTTTACAATCCTGCAGGTATCCGTAAATGAAGCGGCTGCTCAAATATGCAAATTAGTGCCTGTCCTGTTGACTAGACGAGACGAACTCTTCCCTTTGGCCCGACAAGTGGTCCGTGATTCAGGATACCATTATTCCAAAGGACATTCCAAGTAAATACATAAACTATAGTTGAGCAAAAATACAATACATATAGGTGGATAAATATTTTAGATTCTGAGCAAAGCGAATGCATTGGTATTATAACGATGTTTATTTATCTTCTTTTTTTTAATACTCTGTACAACAATTCTGCCAAAAATATTGCTTCGATGTATCAAGGGTAGCATTTTTTCTGAAAGGAAATTTTATCTAATCAGTACTTTAAGGTAATAATTTTTGGATTTTCCAAGCAGGTTTCATAATAATTGGGAAAAAACGTATAAATAATAGGAAAATTTACGAAATATATTAATTTAGATTTCATTTTTTGTTGTGATTCAGTTAAAAATATTCGTAGAAACTTGAAATTTAAACAGAAACATTATATTTGATTTTTCTAGACGTGTTAAAGTTTTCATATTATTTTAGCCATTTTTGAGCTATTTATAAACATTTTAATTTTGCAAGTGTTTTTTGTAATTATTATTTGATAAGTACTCTGTGGATAAAATTGTTAAGACTAAACTAAAGAAATGCTTGAAAATTTAACAGGGGGTTCATTTTGAGTCGTACTTAGTAGTCAAATAAAAAATTGAGTGTAATAAAGTATATTTTTTTTTATAAGAATTTGAATATCAAATTTTAACAAAAATTCGTAAATAATAGGGTCTTTTAAATCATGTATAACCGAACTCCGCCCAGAATCGTTTTGCAATGATTAATTGTTACATATAGATATACATTAAATTCCCCTCTATATCCTACCATCCCAACTTCTCACCTACAACAGTGACCCATCGTGCGAAGTATGTCCGTCTTTTTATCTTTAATTCGAACAAATTTGCCTAAAATTATAAAAAAAAAAACCATATTTTATTTTCCGTAGAATTACATTTAAATCAATCATTGTAATAACTAATACTATTTCATTTCAATGTCATGTTATTTAAAAAAGATGTTTATAATTAAAACAGATCAAGTGTGCAGAATTTTAGAGGATTGAATTCGAACGGTGACTGTTACAGATCAAAGAGACCTCGTATAGACGATCACGATGAACTACTAAAAATCCGGCGACAGGTAATATAAATATTATGAGCGTAGAGCTGTTGATCCTTTAGAGAAAACTTGTATACAGTGAATACTTGAATATAGTTTTATAAAATACATAATAATATTAAATTGCAAATGCAAAAATAATATCATGGATAAACATTAAATAGTAAACGGGACATGTTTCGAAGTCTCGATGATATATTTTTTTTTCTTACGATTTATGAAGAACTCAATCTATTATATATATATATTATTATTATTATTATTAGGAACGTTTAGAGCAGATTACGGACGAATTGAAAGCGGTCAATGATCGAAGAGAGGAACTGGACCAAAGTTCAAAAGATGATCCATCGGTCCAACTTCAATTGGATTCGTTGAAAAATCGCCAGGCACAATTATTAGTAGAACAGAACGATCTACAACAAAACAAGTAAATATCATACCTATACCTTATCTAATTCGCGTCAAAAGATACCGATACAGAAAATATTAACATTTAATCTACAAAATACACTATTATAATATAGGTCGTTGCGAAGGGACAGGAGTGATAGAACTTCGTCAGTCGGTTTCGACACGGACGACACAGATTCTCAAATGTCGTATAGCAATACCAGTTCCCCTTTGCAGGTAAAACATGTTAATATTAATGTAATTTTTCAAATCGGCCCTAAAAATGTAATATGTCTTCTCCTTGAGTATTGTATAAATATAATATACTTATACATACAATATTCATATATACAGTAGAAACTGTGTATAATGATGTTCAAGGTACTAGTTGAAATTAGTCATAATAACCGACTGTCATTATAACCAAAATGATAAAATAAAATTTAAAAACTTGATTATGTTTATGTATATGTATTTATATGAGCATACTATTGTATTACAATCAATGTGTCATATTTTTATCACAATATCAATGACTTCAATTCATACTGAAAAAAATAAAGTTTAATACGGTCATTATAGAAAACCGATTTTTCTAAAAATAACCGTCATAACATAATGATACAATATGTCATTTTTGTTACACTCGAAACAACCACGGTGTCATTATAAACAGTATCTACTATATATATTATATTATATATAATATATTTAATAATAATATTATATTAATATTTATTATTTAACGTCAAGCAATGATTGTCAATCGCATAGACGCTAATAGGAGATCGGGCTAAGAGGAATTAGCCCCTCTCTTAAAACTCCTCTAAGCCCCCCCATGATGATTGAATAGGCTGTCGCTGAATATAATATCTACCAGTACTTGTATTAATTTATCTGCTTATGAATCGGTACCTACGTTGAGGTATGATATTTTTTAGTTTTATCATTGATTATAGAATAATCTATATATGTAATCTATAATCTATAATCAATGGTTTTACTCAATCTAAAAATATGTATACATCTGCATGTGAAATATCCGTGAATTTTGGACATTGATAAATTATTTAGACCGGTTTTAAAATCAATTAACAGTTTACATTTCGTGGATAATTAGATCCTTAATCATCGACACCTCCCACCACCTCAAAAAAAAATGTTTGCACCTATTTTAATATGGTCAATCGACAATCTTTTGAAATCTCACACGCACTGCAATATCCTTCAGCTCATCTCTGAACGTAAACTTAGTATTTACCTGTATACTTTGTATTTTAGGACGTTAGTGACTCGAGGGATTCGATGACTCGTAGCGTCGACTATCATCATCACGATGGAAAACCACCGTCGCAGAATACCGGTAATCAGGTAAAGCGTGACCTCAGCGGTAATGGCGAGTGTGGTAACGCTTGCGGCATTGATCCGCTTTGAAAATATATTATACTATGTAATTAAATAACGTTCCTCATCCTAGAACTAATACAATTTTATATCCGGGGAAATCGTGAGGTTCATTAACCTATGTATAATATATTATATAATAACAATAAACTACCTCCGATCCAGTAGGGTTAACGTAGGTTTGGCTTATCCACAGGGATGGGCACGATATATATTAATATGATTATCTATAGATACATTGATTTGATTATCACAGTATAAGATACTTGATACTTTCCAGAATTTTATCGCGATACAAAATACAATATTGTATTTAATAAATACGTGTTTATTATTTAAGATACATTCCAACCCTTCAAGTTATACGTGGGTCCATTATAATATTAATTACAATAATATCTCAGAAATAATAATATTTTTAAAACTTCGTTAATTCGCCTGTAGCAAAGTTAAAAAAAAAAAAAATTGGTATACGTACAAATTAAAAAATTAATATTTTTTTTTTTTACTTTCGTAGATATATTTGGGGAAATTCCGAGCAATTATTTTTTTAGTATTTAGTATCGTTATAAAATTAATACAAAACAAATAGATTTGTTTGATATATTTTTAATCAATGACTCTTATGAAATCATGAATCATTTCGTTTTAAAACGTTAGACAAAAAAATGAAAAATTATACCTACCCAGTATCCAACTAACTCAAATTATGTAAATAATATTTTGATTTTCTACACGTACCTACTTATATATATAGTTTTGGGTCGTTTTTATAACCATAATTTTATTTAATGTATAATTTTGTTCATTAGGTTTGCAGTTTTTATTTAACAGGCATGTATTATTTTGTGTAGACACTAATATTACTAATATTACTATTTATTTATGATTTTAATTTTTAAACCTATATAGGTACTTGTGCATCGTTATTAACCAAAACTTTTTCAGTTTATGTTTGTTTTAGCTTGTTTTGCTTTTGTTTTGTTTTTGTTTTTCCAAAACCCAGGTATGTAAATACATATATCTATATACACATTATGATGAAATTAAGTATACCTAATATATGAATAACATACTCATCGGACAAGATAATAACCCACTACGTTATTATTGCTTAGATTTTGGCTTACATATAATATTGCTGCTATAACTATACTTATTAGTACTTACATAATAATACATCAATATAAAATAAAATTGTACCGTTATATTTTTCGTATTTTCAACACATTTTTTCATTTTTAGAACACCACGTCTCGTGGTGATACCGACGACACGGACGAAGCAGATTACGAAGAATCACAGCATCGTCCCAGTCCGTCCGCCTCCTGCGCAGCCATTAATAACGATAACAGAAATCTAGCGGATCGTTATTTTAACGATAAAATTCAGGTACGAGTACAAGAACATGAAATATCTAAAATAAGTCTAGGTAGGTATTTTAGCTCTGAATGTATCATGCTCATATGTATCTGAAGACCATTATGGTATAATAATGTATCAATGAACCGGATCGGGCCGGATGGGCTTCATTTTATAGCTTTAAAATTAAAAGGACTTGGGTCTTTAAAATAAAAACAATACATGGCTTCAATAGTCCGGGCTTTACGTAATTTTAATGAATTTTTACAAATTTTATACTACCGAATGCCGATAATAAGTGAAATAAATTCAAAATATTATTTCGTTTTTATATCAATATTAATATCAACAACATCGATTTTTGTACATCGACGATGCTACAATGGGTTACTTTTGACAGAGGGGACAAGAGGGGAACAAGGCTTCCCTCTGGAAAATAATAAAAAATTACAAAATTATTTTATTGACCCATGACGTCTTAAGTGTATTAGTCTTTAAATGCGTGTTTAGAAAAAACCCGATTCCAGTTGGTCTCTCCCCTGAAAATTACGTTATGGGTATGCCCATACTATGATAGGTAGGTGCACATGTTGAGATATAAACACTGGGTTTTGTTTTTGAAAATTATTTCTACAAAAAAATAATAGGGGTGCCTAATTAGTTTGTTATAGATGATAAATAATTTTAATTTAAATTAATATAATAGGTACTTTATTAATTAACAATACATTTGATTTATACTTTTTTTCTCGTTTAATTGCTCATCAATATTTTTTTTAAATACCTATTACTACTTACCTAAAAAAAGCTCGAAAAGCCTTAATTATATAATTATAAATTTGGAAAGATTTAGGTTTCATAATTGAAAACAGTGTAAGTAAACCATGTAAAGCTCCAAAAGGCCGTAATGCACTTAAAAATAAAATCTTTGTAGAATTCTAGTGTAAGTTTAAACAATTGCGTACACAAGTTTTTTCAATGGGGGGAAGTGTTGAAAATTGATAATTAATCAGTTATTTTTTCACAAGTTTTAAAATTAAAGTAGGTCAGTAGGTTCATTTATTGTTCTGACAAAGCCCAAATTAAGACATATAGAGGCCCCGGAGCTTTCGTTAAAAGACTAATAATTATACGTTTTTTTTTAAACATTTTTACTAATCAATATGTTATAACAAAAGAAAAATAATAAACAGTATAGATGCCATAAAGATCTCAATTCAAAAGTCACAAATAGTATTCAAATAAATAAATACATTATTTTTAACAGTTACCAGGTATAGTAGTTTATACTGTATAATACAATAAGTCATAATCAGGCAACGAAAAAATATTAAAACATCAAAGTACAAATAGTTAATGGTTAAATGCATACATAAAGAACATATTATGGCAAACCTAAGGACCTGGGAGTCTGGTGACCCGGAGGCCATGGCCCTTTTTGGACCCCCCCTTAATCCGGTCTTGGTTATGACTGATAATAAACATAAAATATAGAATAGTAAAATAATAAAATAATAAAGTAAAAACAAAATTATTAAAATGGTTTATATTCGTAAATAAATAAATAAAATAAATATAGGTACCTACACAAAAAAATGAATAAAAAAACTTTAATATTTGGGTAGGAAACTATTAACTAAATGTTGGGCAGTTAAATACAATTTTTAAGCTAATAGAATACCTATAAAAAAATGCGGAGATCTCTCAAAATTACTTACCGTTTTTTTTCCTTCAAACTTTTTCGAAAAAAATTCGATCTTTTTCCTGTCATAATGAACAATTACAAAAAAAAAGAGCTGATATTGGAGATAGCCGCTCTGACCACTGTTATAGTTGAGAAGTTGGGAAGGTAGGATACATAAGGTTATTTCATTTATATTTGTAAACAATGATAAACCATAACTGACGAAAGACGATTCCGAGCGCAGTTCGGCAATATATAATTTAAACTGCCATAATTTTTTTTAATCTAACCTTTCTACGTTTTTTCCGATTATTATTAAAACTAATAAAAAAAATTAAAAAAACGAACTGCATCATTAAAAACAAGATTAATAATTCAACAAAATAGGTCTCGTTTTGTTTTTTAATTGGAGCCATATTTATGCTAGAAAACGTGGTAGGTACTTATTTAAAATAATGAAATCATGAAAAAATCGTGTTATTTTATTTATATTTTCCTCGGATAATCGTTTTTATTTAGAATACCGTTTCGAAAATCAAAAAATGACCTTTGAATTACCAAGTAGATAAAATTTACTTTTAGAAAAGGGTCTACACTTACACATCGGAGAAAGTTTTCTAAGATAAAAGTGGTCTACAGTATAAAGAAAATAAAAAATAAAGTATTATTATAAAAAAATTAAAAAAGGAAAGAAAGTCGTCAGATGATTTTGGAAATTTTACCAGGTCTAGGTAAGTCCAATATAAGTATTATTACTAAGTTTCAACTCTACGTGTATTTATAACCCAATTACAGCAAAAATACTCCCAAAAATAAAATTCCTTAAAAGCTCAAGAGTGGCTCAAAAATTTTGGTGATGTACCTTAAGAACATAAGAAAGTTAATAAAAAGCCAACAAAAAAGGTAACTTATGATTTTTCGATTAAATCATTTTTTCAAAGTTATTTTAGTGTGCAAAATTATGAGATGTATTTTATACAAAACACCGGCGAAAAATCTAAGTAGGTATACAAAATATTGTTTAGGTATTTTTGACACTCATGAATCATTATTATTTTCAAGAGAAATAAGTGAAAACAAAATTATATATATAATTGTTTTTCACTAATTACAGATTGTATTATTATTATTTACCGTGAACTAACGATGCATTAATTGATGGTAACATCAGTTCATTAAATTCAATACCTATGTGTTGTCTGGCAGCCTACATATACACGATAACAACAGCCGTCAAAGTTGTAAAACCATTGTACATTGTTTATAACGAGTGTCATCATAATTAAGCTACTTAGACAAGAATAATCTAATAAGCCAAATAATATCTTATATTATGATAATATAGTAAAGTTATTAATAGACAGTGGTGGTAAATTAAATTGTATACTTACGAAAATAATGTATTTTATGAAAAAAAGTCATTACTTACTAATTATTCTTACATTTGAAACTTGAAAAATATAAAAAAATATGTGTAAATAATATATATATAAATACTATCAGAGAGGGAGCTTTAGCCACTTATCTAAACTACCCCCTGCGTACGCCACTGAGTATAAGTATCTATGATATACTATAATAACTCAATACATATACCTATTCATCAAATTAATAGTCACCTCGGTTTTAATGAGAATATATTTTATACAAAGCGGCCTATTAACATCAGTGTCTACCTACCTATCTATTAATGTTTTAAAATTGTCTGTGTTTGGTATTTACCAACCTTTCTAAAAGAAATAATTTACGATAATTATTGTAAGGCATGGTCGATAAAATGAAGTTAATTTTTACTCGGTTACAGACGAATATTACAGGGGTAATTTGACGACTGATGAGTATTCAGCCTGTTGTAGAAAATAATCGGGCTAAAAAGGCCGAATGCATTTTTTTTATGCAATCAATAGGTGCCTACTTGATTTTTTTTAAATCATCAGTCGAAAAACTAATAATAGGTACTTAAAATTGACCTTTATCTGTCTAAATAGATATAAGTTCTGTCCATTTACTCTATTTTCGTATCAACCAAGATTGATAGTTATAATACAGTTACCGTTTATAAGCAGGTTATATCGTCAAGCGGAGGTAACATAATAGCCGTCACCAACCCAGCACTATTGATGTCCACGACGCCGTTGAAGATCGAACCACTTTCTCCTGCAAAAGTCGAACCCCTTTCGCCGGCTCCAGACGATTAGTAGTCGTGTTTAGCACTAACCTATTATTGTCTTGGGGACCATGGCAATTATCGTTGTTTTCTGTTGTAGTTGTGATTTTTATTTATTTAAAATTTGTTTAGTTAAATATATTTAATTATTAATATTATATTTTAAAGTAGTAAAAACAAAATTATGTTCCTAATAATGTTAAAAAATATACCGTTCATTGATTACAATATTTAAATTAATGTTTTCTTTTTTGAGAATAATATAATCATGTACATTTTATTTATTATTTATTTTCAGTTAATTTGTATTATTATTTATTTTCTTTTTATGATAGTATAATAAATGTTTTCTTTTATCTATAATTAAACGAACTGAATACAGCTTGTCATTATAAGCCGAAATAATATTAATATTATATTTATCATACAAGTGATATATTCGTTCTAGTTGCAATTATTTTTCTCATCGGTGCTATTATCATGAATATTATAGTATTCTCTTTTTCTCATACATGTTCAGTGATTGTACCTATATAATGTATATTAAAATCATAAGTATGTAAATTTCTTTAATAGTCACAATATCTCACAAGTTTTAAAAATATAATAATAAATTTATACACCTATCATTCGAAAATGCTTAAAGTAATTTTAATAATTTTACCATTATCTGTACAAATATTCAAACACAATATTGTAAACGAAACAAATTGGTATATTAAGTAACAAAAAATTATTGTTATATTTTATTATAATAATAAACGTATTGATCAATTATTGTAATTTTTTTTTTAACTTTTTAACTACACACAACAAATTAATGAAATGAACATTATTAAATATGAAAAATGTATGTACTCCTAACCATTAAACTAAGACAAAAAAATGTTGGTATATTCTTTTGTTTATAATTCACATGAATAAATATTTGATACAGCAGCATAAACTGTTTCAAATTACTGTAATATAATACAATTTCCATGAAAAATTATAAAAGTTTTTATTAAAAAGGAACAAAACTAATAGTATATAAGTATAAAAAAAATAGTAACTATTACTTCATTATCCTAATAAAAATATTCATTGACAAATAGTAATTGGCGATAATACCAAAAACTGTATTCTGTAAATATTTTTGTAGTCATTCTCATTACAGATTTAATTTGGATATTTGTGTTACGACTCCAAGTAAATGTGAGTAATCATCAGCTTTATCATTCTTTCTCAATAATTCTCCATAGATTGTTTTCAATTGGCTTGTTTTGTTGGCCAACCTGTTACAAGTGAAAAAAACAAAAGTTTAAATAAAATTACATATTATATTAATATTATGTTTAAAACACATTTAAGGCAAGGGGGTGAATTTAAGTGGCCTTTGTTTAGATCATGACTTAAATGATTCTTTATTAAATCAATAGTCTCAATATTACTAGTACTTAATTATCTAAGTTTGAACACACTATAAAAATCAATACCTTAGATAACATTTAAATAAATCAAAAAATTATCAAGTTTGTTAAAATAAACTGGAGTCTGTAAATCCTATATTAAACATGCTACATACATCGGTCTATATAAAGATACACCAATGTCACTTATAAAAGACACCTTGCTGTAAAAGTGTTATTTTCTTGGCCACTCACTTAGATATTTTTGCCATAGCTAGCTTAATCATACATTTCAAAATATGTTGCAATCTCTCTTCTAATAGATTTAACAACTTTTTCTTTTTATACTCTCCGTCTTGGTCATCTTCACTACCAGTTTGCTCAATTTTGTCAGGAGTATTACTATCAATTAAATATTTATTTTTTTCGTCTTCAGAATTATTTTCAGATAACATCTTCAAAACATTGACACATTTTCCCAAGGTTTGAGTAATAGATATAATAAATTTTACTTTAGATTGAGAGTTTGTTGCACCTAAAAGTGATAATAATACTTTTTTATTAAATATTACAGTAAAATATAACATACTACATACTGTCAATTTGCAGCTCATCCAATGCAATGGTTTTTATAAGAATTTCAAGACACTCTAATGGACGATCCATTTTAAAAAACATTTCAAATGCTCGATTATAATGGGACATACATTGATGAAGAGTAGTTTTGAACTTCGGAACATCTACTTCTGAACATCTGGCAAATAAATATAGACATGTTTAATATCCAAAATTCAATAATAATATTTAACATATAGTTAATTATTATTAACCCGTTAAGGCCTAGTGCAGTGGTTCTCAACTTTTTTAGATTCATGTCACCCTTGCCCACGATAATCCGAAACTGTCGCCCTGTCATCAAAATATGCATAATGCATGTTATTATCTCCACATGAATCCATATCACCCCCGGGTGACATGTCAACCTGGTTGAAAACAATTGAACTAGTGTGACCATATGGTAACAGAATAATAGTCACATTTTAATTTATACTATTTTAAAACTGGATTTTTCATTATTAGGATGTTCTATATTTTAGATTCTGAGTGGAGGAATGTATTGGTTTTACAATGTTTATTTTTCTTCTGAGAACAACTTTTCCACCAAAAATTTGGCTCAGATTTTCAAATATAGCACTTTTTCTAAAAGGTAATATGACGGGATGATACTTAAGAAAGGTTATTTCTAGATTTTCCCAGAGGTTTTCATAATAAATGGAAAAAATATAGAAAACACAGGAAAATTTACAAAATGGATTATTTTCAAATCATAAATATTACAACCTTCTAAAATATGTATAACAGAATAGTTTTTTATTGGCAATAATTAATCATTATCTATAAACATTCAATTTTCCCTCTACCAACCAAACTTCTAACCTACAACAGTGGTCCACCCATTGTGTGAAGTATGTCTATTTATTATTGATAATGACTTGCTGTTTAGTATTGTATATAAATATTAATATTATACTAGTTTAACGGGGATAACTCTATGAGTAAAGTTTAGTCTGAAAATTATAAAATTATCTTGAAAAACTAGGACTTTCATTTGAATTGTTTCGCTAGTTTCTATAGAAAATAAATTTGTGAATAATAAATTGTTTAATGATCAAATAATAAAATTATTTTTACTGTTTCAAAAAATAATGTTTTTTTTATGCTTACCTTTCATGACTACTATAATAATGATGTTTATTTTAAAAATAATTTACAAAATATTTAGAAATTATATTGGGAAAATTAAAAAAAAAAATTCCAGACTTAATTACAAAACACAACAAATTATTTCTAAAATATATAACATTTTTTTTTACAATGCTTAAGTTACCTTAAACGATTATGATACAAGGAAGCTAGCCGATCATGAATATAAGCTGCTCGGAACTCATACAACAATCTACGAGACGAATCATTTTCCAAATCACAATATTTCAAGGCTTTCAAAAGTAAACTAATAACTTCTTTTTCAGCTTCAACCCTATCCTAAATATGCCATACAATTCTGATTAAATTTGAATGAACCCAATTACTAAAAACACTACACTTACACTATATGCAGATGGATCATCTTGAGACTGTATAGCCATATTGTAAATAGTTGTAGACAAATCCCAACAAACCATATCCCAGAGTTGTGGATTGAAACGGCGGTTACCCAATACTGCCAAACCTTTCATGTAGCTTTCCACAGCCTAAAATTCCATACAATTACTATTTAAAAAATTTTATACTTATTAAAATATTTTATCTAACCTTATTAGTAAAATCCTCATCCTTTATGAATTCTCCATAAGAAATCATGTACTGTGATGAATAATAAGATACATGTCTGTATAAACGGCCCATATTAGAATATAATAAAGCAAGGTTAATCAGATCATCAGTGTTCTCAAATTTATCAATTCCCATAGACAAATAATGTTCAGACTGTTTTAACAGCCATTGTAATCTCGAAGGAATCAATTCAATTTTATTACGTAAGGCAGCTACAAAATTAACATAAAAATAAAAATAAATATCTATTTAATTATAAATATTATAAAATAATAACAAATAATATAGTATTACTATATTATTATAGGGCTTGGATTTTAATGTAAAGTATAATTTTTGGAGGTGATCTAAGACAATATTTTCCATGTACATAATTTGATTCATGTAACAAATACTTCAAAAATGAAACTAAATTCTGTAATTTTTGCTCTCTTTCAATTTTTAGAGCACTTTCAAGGAAATTATTTCATAAAATAAAGTAAAAACAAAATTATTAAAGTGGTTAATACTCGTAAAAAAATAAAGTGATTTACATGAATTCACTTTTAGAAGAATTGCACGTACACAATGAAATAAAGAAAAATAATTTTAAGAATATTTTAATGTTTAAATCGATTTTAAAAATACCTTATATCAATACATTTTAGATAATAAATAATAACCAAATAATTTATATCAATACATTTTAGATAATAAATAATAACCAAATAATTTATATTTTTTAACATATCTATGTCTAATAATAATTAATTTTAAATGATCTCTCCTATTAAAATGAATTATTTCTATATTCTATGTAAAACAACCAATTTGTATAATTTTTTTTCTATGTATTCCTTCATTTAATTTTTTTATATTCAGTTTCGTTTTATATTTTGACTGTGATGTATCTAATGATGAATTTTTAATTTAAAACCAGTTGTATAATACACTTATCATAATACTCCAGGCGAAGCATTAATTAATTAATTAATTTTTTATTTATATATTTATTTAATATACATATTATTTCACTTTTAGATATTTTTATAGAATATTTTTGACTATTTGTATAATTTTTAGGGCAATTAAATCCAGACTCTAATTATTATTAATTATGGTTATTTTGTATTACTTACTTGCTATTTCATCAATGTAACCTGAAGTGATTTCATTGTAAACATTACCAATTCGTCTGTTTAGATTATTTTTATTCTTATCATTTGTTTCCAATTCCAAAGAACGCCCATAACAATTTGCAGCAGCATTCAATAAATCTTCTTTTGAATTTAAGTGACTTGGTATTAAATTAAAATCTATATCATTATTAAATAATAAAATTAATTTAGTATTTTTTATTTTACAATCTTAAAAACAATTTTTACCAGAAATCTTACTCCAATCATCAACATTAGGAATGATTTCTGGTAACAAATTGTGTTTATTTTGTGCACCAAAAAGTAATTTTCTTATTTCCATTAATAATTAGAAAAAAAAAACCAGGAACAAACAATTAATACAATAATGATTTTTATTATTTTGGATTTTTTTTTTTTTTTTGTTATTTAGTTTAAAAATAATCTTATAAACTATTTTAACAAATGTAGTATAATGCATAAATAAATTACCTTTTTGTGTGCCATTTTCACTTTCCTCATGTAATGCTTCTTTTATTTCTAAATCATACTTTTCATCATTTTCTAACTCATTTATATACTGTTGGGCTTTATCCCAATTTTGGGCAATTAACAAACAGCAATCACCACAACGCCCTAACAGAAATCCAAATAGGTCATGGATATTAGTAGTATTTATAATACATAACCGGCATTCAAATACAGAACGGAAATGTTTCAATGCTCTTCCATACCTATAATAATAAAATAAACAAATATGTGATAAATTCCCATTTCAAATATATTTCAATTATTTTACTTAGCGCATGTAAACTCATGTTCAGCTAATGCAGCATATGATAAACATGCTTTTTCACAAAGTAATACTCTGAGGTGTTTTTTCCACGAAATACTGTCTTTAGCATCTGGTGGATTATGCCAAGTTGGCATAGTTTCAGCAAAAGATTTACAAAGTAATGTACTAGGTCTAAAAACAGAAAAAAACATATATTTCAATTCCTTAATAATGGTTTGGTTTATTTTAGATTCTGAGTGAAGTGAGGAATATATTGGTTTTACAATGTTTATTTTTTTTTCCTGTGAACAAATTTCCTACTAGCAATTTTGCTCCAATTTACAATTATAAAGAACTTTTTCTGAAAGGAAATCTGTGACTGGGGTGGTACTTTAGGGAGGTCAATTTTTGATTGTCCCAATAAAAGTGAAAAACTGGGAAAACAGAAAATAGGTACAATATTAAACAAATATTATTAAAGAACATACATAATATATATGTCAATTATTTTACCATAATATAACATATATATTGTTGACAAAACAACACCATCAACCAAACTCTACTCAGAAATCTTTTTTCGTTAGCAATGATTAATTGCTGTGTAGACATAGATATACATTAAATTTCCCCTCTCCTACCTATCAACTTCTCATCGAAAAGTGGCTGCACCTATCTCCATTATCCTAGGACAGCTTTTTAAAATTAGTTTTACTTACACATTTTTACTGTCTTCGTTGTTTTCTACAACTACAGTATTTTTATTACGTTTTCGATTTTTATTTTTAACACCCTTGTTAATAATTTTTTCATCATTTTTGATTTTTTGATTTCCTTCAGAAACAAAATATGGCATAGGTATAGCCTCAGAGGACGCTGCCATTTTAGATTCATCTTCGGTCTTTTTCTAAATTATAAATATTTTTAAAATCAAATATATAAAAAATTATATGTTATTACAAACCACATTTTCTTCATCTACAAATTGTGGATTAAGATTCTTGAAAAATTGTAAACAACTCAAACCACACCCAACATGGTATAATGCCTTTTGACAACGTTCTTCTAATGTTTTCACTACAGGTTCTGATGGAGGGTATTTAGATTCTGAAATAATAATACAAAGAAATATAATAATATAAATATCATTACTTAAATATATTACATATTATTGAATTAATTACTTTTAGATTTCTTTTCTTTCTTATGCGATAAACATAAATCATGTATATCAACACAAAATGTAGGATTTTCATAGTCAACACCAAATGATGAATCATCATCGGAATCAACATGAGATGTAAGAGAGTCTTCTTCACCCATATTAGTTAAATCTTCTAGTTTAGGTGATGTAGGATTAGTATTAACTGGAATATACAGATCAGATAACATGTAGTTGACAGAGGTAACAATCTGTAAATGTTTAAACATTTTTAAGTAAAATAAAAACAAACAATTAATTTTTAATAATACCTGAGGATATTTAGTTTTATTTAATAATTTTAAACAATTATTAAGTAAAATTTGGATAGTAACTGGACTAGATGGTCTGCTATCATTTGGATTATGTTTTAAATTACGAGCAACTCGATATAACAACATAGCCACAGGGACGGTAAATGGATTTTGGCCTTCACAACGTCCTTCAACTAATGATTCAGAACATAAAGATGTCAGATCGTAAAGTTTTACTACATCGTCATTTTTTCCTGGAATTTAATGCTTAAAGTGAAGTTAATCATTTTATATTATAAAAATTGAATAATAAATGTATACCTTTAAATAACCAATAAGTATGTCCGGCTTTAGTAGCATTTGACTTTAGGAATGACAAAATATTTTGTGCAACATCTTTAATAACTTTTGGTGAAAATTTTGAGTCATTCAAATATGGCAAGTCTTCAGTCTTCACTAATTCATATTTTTGAACAATGCCATTTAAATGATAACACATTACAACTTCAGGAACATTACACATCAGATTATCTAGCCAATAATCAATTCCAGTAAGCACACTTATAGGTTTTGACATATCTCTAAATTGAATAATATAATATAAAACAATAATAGTATTATTTGTATTTAGTAAAAAATTAAGCTTAAAAAAAAATATTAAAAATTACACTAAATCTTAATTACCTTAATCTTAAACTTAAACAGGGATAAGTACCACCTCCAAAAATTGGTAAGTCTGTACCGAGTAACATTCGCAAGTCTTCAAAATTCCATAAAACATTTTGATTAAATAACCTATGGGTTTTAGGATCATCTGGAAATTCTTCCTCAGGTGTAGGTTCTGGTAAAGGAGGAGCTGACTATAAATAGTATTTATCATTTAATTAAAGTTTAACAATAAACAATAATTTAAGTGAATATATAGAAAAATAAAAATAAAAAGATTACTTTACCGAAGAAGATGGGCTTGGTAAAATTTTGTTTGGTAATTGATTATTATTACTGAAATTTGATGAATCAGCAATACTATAATGTAAGAACTTAGAGTTTAAATACTTCTGTTGTAATACATCAAAAGTATTTACTTTGTGAGTAATACATTGCTCCTGTATTAACAGAATAAAACAAAAAAATTTATTAGAATTAAGTTAAACATTTTAACTTTTAAATACCAAATTAACAAATGATCCAACCATTACAATTTCTAAACTAAATAGCTCCACAATGAAAATAAATTCATAATTAATCAAAAACCAAAGAAACCGTACCTTTCTATCAAAAGATTCTAAAATATGGTTGTAAAAAAATTTTCTTAGCCATTCCCAATCATCTTCTGTTTGCACCATTAAGTGTTTGTGTACATCAAATTCATCAATAAGTAATGTATTTTCAATTCTATGTACCATCATGCTTACCTAAAAAAATTTTAAATAGGTTAATTTTTAATGATTAAATATAATTAATTGAACAGGGAGACAATTACAGATTTGTTACTGTAAGGTATTTTTAATAGGCGTTTTATATTCTCAGCATCTGACACAACATCTACTTCACCAATACAGTCCGGAAACATATGAGCCATTTGAAAACTAAAATGTTTTTATTTTATATTTGGGTACATATATTATTTTAAGTTTTAAATCCCTTACCTGGAAAAACCATCTGAATGAGAAAATATATGACCTAAACCATATGACTCAGCTGTACTGCTCAACCAATTTGATGGTGGTAAATTTAAATCAGTGTTACATTGAAGATGAGCAAAATTAGCTGGTCGCAGAACTGAAGAATATTTAACGACAGCTTTAGATTTAATTGTATCACATTTTGTTTTTGATATTTGAAATGAATCCATTTTACTATTCTTTTTATTCTAAAATAAAACATACAAAGTATGAACAAAATAATAATTTATCAGGTATGATAATCCATTCACGTAACATACTCACAACAATTAAAAGTGTTCAATTATGCAAATAATAAAAATATAAATGTAACTACAATGATATTTTAACTGTATAAAGTTGTTAAATGAATAAGTATATAGTTCAATAAATTTTTATTTTATTTACAATCGGGGCGTCTTAGTATGGCAAAATAATAATTGTGTTTATAATTCCAAATAATATAATACCATAAGAAAAAATATTAAATGATAAAACCATATTTTCAATCATATAAATATAAATAATTGCTATTTATAATACCTATAATAAATAGGCAAATTATTAGTTGCAAAAATATTATACAATTTTATTTAATTATGATATTTCTAAGATATCATCAATTCAAAGCTGTAACATTTGAAAGTTAATGTTGTTTTTAATTTTACAAATTATTTTGACTTACCATTTTGATTATTTGATAAACAGTCTATTATTATTATCCAAATAAATTATCCCATGCAATTAATTAGGTTTTATATTGAATTTTTTTTTTATACAAAAATACTTCAGTAAAACAACAGTTATTTAATTATACTTATTAACAACAATACCATAATTCATATATGAACGAATACGATGAACTTAAATACAAATAGGTATACTCAATAATGCCGGAATACCGGATACAGATCAATAATTCTAGAAAATACTTTGATACCTAATAAACTTTATAAAATCACGGAATAGATAACAAAACATTTTACGATACGGTTCATGATATACTGGACTGGTATCGATTTCCTTATCAGTAGTCCTCAAATGTTTTGAAAGCCGCCGTTAGGTCAAGTAAGGATAAAAGTATCATACATACATGTGTTATAAAAATAATCATTATAAATCAGAAAACATCCATAGCACTCAGAGAAGGAGCGATTCAAAACAGAAGGGCAGATTTTACAGTAGTAGACCGAAGGAACGTATAAGGCCCAATCTTAGACCCCACGATTCAGTACAAAACGTTATATCATCTGCTAAGTAGAGTTCTATTACATTTTGCCTCCCCCCTACTCTGACTCCTACTTATATTTCATATTTAATTTTTTTTATAGCTTCTTCAATATACATATTAAACAAAATAGAGGACAGAATGCATTCTTGCCTTACCAATTTTTGCTACTTCTTCTACTCTATCTAGTTGGATTTGATCACTTGGTTTTTGTATAGGTTGTAGCTCTATGGTCATTATATGTTATTCCTAGTCTTTTTATTATATTAAACATTTTGTCCCAATTCATATTGTCCAAAACCTTTTCAAATATCTTTATTTACTCGTATTTGTTTTTCTATTAGAATTCTCAATGATAGAATAGCCTCTCTAGTACCTATATTTTTTCTAAAACCAAATTGGTCATTTCCTGTTTCCTTAAATCAATTTTACTCTATTCATGTTTTAATTACTCTACACAAAATCTTGGAAGCGTGAGAAGTGAGATTGATTGTTCAATGCTCTTGTAATTTCATTGTTCCATTCTTTTTTGGTAACATTACGACTAAACCATGTTTAAAGTCATTTATCATCACTCCTCTTTTATGTATCTCATTACACTTCTCATATAACGTAATCTTCGTAGCTTTATCTCCATTTTTGATTAGCTCTATGGTATTTTATCTATACCACTAGCTTAATTGTTCTTAGTATATTTTACTGCTGTATTGAATTTTGACTGAATTATTCTACTATACTATAAATGTGAAAGATTGTGAGGATATGAGGATGTTTGTTGCTCTTTCACACAAAAACTACTGGGCCAATTAAGCTAAAACTACAATATTATTGCTTATACATCAGAATCCCATATAGGCTATTTTTTATCATGAAATTCAACCACTAAAGTATGACAGATATGGGGATTTTTGTATTTCGTGGTATATTTTTTGTTCATTTGGTGGTTACCTTGAGAACAAAGTAAATACTATCCGGGATTTGGCATTAAGGATATGAGACTTTCTCACTTTATCTGAACTCTTTCCTAATTCAACACCCCAAAACCAAAATGTAGAAAAATAAAAAAATAAAACAAAAAAAAAATTTAATTATTTACTTGTTTATTAATTTTAAACATGTAATATACAGAAACAGAAAGAAATAAATTGGTTTCAAATATCTAATTTATTTTATAATACAACACTGGCTCATTTTAACCATAATTAGTAAACAATATTTTTTTGTCGTCATAAATCTTGTATTGTCTTCTCCAATTCTTAACCAGTTAGTTTTGCCTGGACACCAACTTCATTAAATATCTTTTTTTACCATCTGTAGCATGTGCATTAAATTTGTACTACTTTGAACAGGCTTTAATATATTCTATACTAACATTTATCAGTACAATATATACCATGAAAAGACATTTTAATAAATATGTTAATAAGCATAATAAATAATATTACTTATAAATTTAAAAAATTCTATTTAGCATTAAAATTATATAAAATATGTACATTTTTAATTTAGAATATCCTATTTAAATATTATTATTAGGTATGTGTTTATTATTGTTAAATAGAAATATAATGAAAATTTAATACATGATATTTATGAAAAAAAAATAATAATAATTGTTTAAAAAGATCTTATAATAATTTGTTTTTTATTATTTATATTATTTACTAATTATTATTTATATATTATTTTTTAATTATTCAGTAATATATAATTATTATATGATACATTATTAGCATATTAAGTAAATTAAAAACAATTCTTACTTGAATTTCAACAGATGGTTGCAGAATTCACCTTTCTTTCACTATAGGCATTAGATGATCTAGGAAGGTGAAAATAGTTGACACAGCACATTTTTTTAATAATAATTTTCTATTTACAACTGCTTTGTCATATTCATTTTTAGTAAAATGTAAACTGCATAAAAATGAATTACTACTAGGTTTGAAATTCGTTTGTGTAACAGCATGTGTTCATTTTTTTTAGTCTTTTATTTTCATTTAGTGGAAACCTTAGATTATAAAAATACAAAGCAAAATTATTTATGTAGGTATGTTAGGGTGACTATACGTCCTGTTATATACCGGATTGTCCTTTATTTCGGCTTTGGGTCCTGTGTCCTGACAAACTTCTCTCAGGACGTTTTTTGTCCTGTAATTTCAGCTCTGTCCCATATTAACCCGTTTTTTGCCTTACTGTTAATTTATAATTTTTGAAATTTTTGAAGTGACATTATTAAATAAAATATTATAGGAATCTATACTTTTCAATTGTCTTTTTGGATTTTTGTTTTTACCATTATTATTGTTGCATCACATTGTTGTCAACGAAGTAAACCAGATCATTATCAAATGTGAGCGTATTGTAAAATAAAAATATATTAATAATCACCTAGCTCTATGTCGTGGACAAGCGTTTTCTTATCGGCAATCAAACATATTTTGAAATATTTTTAATTCATTAAGTATGTTCCAACAATCGTTGAGTATTGAGTGTCGTCGAATTTATGTTAATTATAATATATAATATTGTACATTTTTATTAAAGTAATCAATCAAAATGCCTAAGCGAAGGTGTGCATTTACTTGTAAGTTAAAAAATGAATTTCCTTTTTTAAGAGATGATAATGAAATCGGACAGGTTTTATGCACTGTATGTTAATCAGTTTTTTCAATATAAAACAGTGGCAGTTATAACACAAATATTACACATGCTAAACAGAAGAAACATTTATTGGCCGTATCAAGCAGTTCATCAGATAAGGTAACGAACTTTTTCATTAGTAATGTACAGTCAACAAATGAAAGCAAACGTATGGCGGCAGAAGAGGGTCTTTTTGCATATCATACTATAAAACAACCATTCATTTCGGTCTATGAATTGTACAACACTAATTATAAGAAAAATTCACCAAAAAAAATTTGCCTGTGCTCGTACAAAATGTGAATCTATAATTGTAAATGTTATAGCTCCTTATATTAAATTTGCCTCCAAAAAAATATATTTCCAAAGAAATTGTTATCAGTGAAATGTTCAACCTCTTTGATCATTACAAATAAAAATATTTATGTATGATATGATACGTAGTGATAAATTCCACGTTATTCCTATTCGGTGAAATTCTTTTGTGTGTCGGGTCTTTTACCCTCTGACCACAGCCCTGGCCGCGTGTCAGTAACTTAGTCACAGTACTTTGACGTCCTTTTTTCGCGCCCTGTCCCCAACCAATTAAAAATCTTAAAATGAAGATCTTCAAAGACATTTTTTCCGGTGATGAGATGTTCTCGGATACATACAAATTCAAATTAATCGATGGTGTTTTATATGAAGTATACGGTAAATTGGTCACCCGAAAATTGGGCGACGTGACGTTGGATGGCGCCAACCCATCGGCTGAAGAAGCTGGCGAAGGCACGGAAGAAGCTGTTGAGAGCGGCGTAGACGTAGTGCTCAATCACCGTCTCATGGAGACATATGCCTTCCCCGACAAAAAGTCGTTTACACTATACCTAAAAGAATACATGAAACGGTTAGTTGACAAGATGAATGAAAACGGTAGCACAGAAGTGGATGTTTTCAAGACCAATATCAATAAAGTAAGTGTACTTATATTTTATTTATAATAGGTGTTCAGAATATTAATTACTATTTCCATTTATGTAGGTCATGAAAGACTTGTTAACGAGATTCAAAGATCTGCAATTCTTCACCGGTGAAAATATGGATATTGAAAACGGTATGGTAGCTATGCTTGAATATAGAGATATTGGTGATGACAATGTACCAGTGTTAATGTTATTCAAACATGGGCTTGAAGAAGAAAAATTTTAAACATAATGTATTATTGTATCTAATGATAATATGATGTTCAATTTATATGCTTAAATAATCGGCTCCATCACCTATTAAGCGATATAAAAGTAATTTTTCAAAACAAATTTACTGTATTTTCATTTATCCATACTTAACCATAATCAATTTAATAAAATGAATGTTTGGTTATTTTTTTTAATATAATCTTACTAATTTTGTCCAATGCTAAATTTTCCTTAATGGATTTCATTTTACATATCAAATTTTATAAGTAGCTTATGTTATTATGATTAACATAAGAAAAAACTGTATTTTTAAGTTATGTGTATATTGAATACACAATAAAGAAATTAAAGAATTCATAGCAATGTGTAATGCTAATATAGGGATAACTATTTTGTCAATTTCAGAGACAGTTGCTAATGATGATGATAAAGAATTGTATCTTAAATAAGATCAAAATATGTATTAAATAAATCCATATTTATAATGTTAACTTTAATTCATATGTGTTATCTTATACATGGTGTATAAAGGTCATAAAAATTCCACATTTTAGCTTTCCTTATTCTAAAACAAAGTTTTAGTTTTTGCAATTAATATCTGATGCTTAATCTTTGGTTAGAATTGTTGATAGTTCATTTCTAGACATAAACAGTTGATACCGCTTATAAGACTCATGGTTAAAAGATTCAGTATCTTATAAGACTTAAAATCATGAACGGTCTGGACATCCAAATACATTTTATCTTTACTCTACTTTGTCTATATGGTTCATTTGGTTAGGTACTTGTCTCAAAGTAAGTTTTATCCGGTGCTCACTGTATAAAGTATTTAATATTAAATGGATTTCTCATATGTATTTGTTATTTCTGTCTTACAAACACAAGATATAGTAGAAAAATATTTGCACAGTTTACACAGAACTCTCTTAATTTTGGTTTCAGAGTAAAGGCATCTATTATGAAATTAATAAAGAACAATATTCCGGAGAGCAAGACGTTACTTTTTTTTAAAAAATATTTTTAAGTTTTAGCAAATTAAAAGAAAATGTTGATAAAGTTGTTATTTATAAACTTTAAATTGACTTATATTTGGAGAAAATGGAAAAACGCAAGATCTTGCTCTCCGGATTAGAGTTTTCTTTTGATTTTATCTAAAACAAAAATTGTTCTGTGTAGTCTGCGTAAGAATGTTTTTGAACAATATTAAGCATTTGTAAGATGGAAACTACAAATGCATGTATACTGTCCTCTTAATATTAAAACTAATAGGTATTAATTTTGTGTAAAATTTTAAATATATTTTCTACAGTATATTTTTACTATTAAGTTATTTTTGCATATATTTTTATTTTTATTTTATTCATATTATTAGTTTATTGCACAATATATTTTATTAATACTTTCTTGTAATAACTTGGTAATTAATAGATTTGAAACTAGATATTAATAAAACCAAAATGTAATATAAAATATTTTATATTACACAGATAATTTTCAATTGGAACATGGTAAATATATTATCAAAAGATGCAATAAATAGGTATGATGTACAATCATGATATGGGTATATTATTTAAAAATTATATAATTAACATTATTTATCTCCTTGCAACTATAGATTAGTTAGCTCTTCGTCTTTATTTGTATCATAAACCTTTTATAAATTTCACATAATGTATGTAATGATGGGGCATGGAATGTATACCAATTGAATATAATAAGCATTGATTTATAATATTTTATTATCTATTTGTATACGTTTTGTAGCAGTATATGAGAATGAAGAAACATGTGATATAAAATCAAAGATAACAAAATATTTAATTTTAATTGAAACTGTAAATTGTGTTATAAACACACAAAAAAAAAAAAATTAAACTAATGAGTTTGTATCCAGTCAAATGTATGTGTGAAAGCTTATTATGAGCCATCAATTTGGGCAGTGTTCAAATCTCATAATGTAAAGATACCCTTATTAATAGAATATAAGAATAATAATTATTAAACTAATTAATGAATTGATGTAGAATATTAAACATTGATTCAGCAGTAATTACATTTGATAGCGTATATTTTGTTAATTGATAAATATAAATTAAAATTTTTATTATTTTTAAGGTCATATAATGAAATATTTTAGTTAAATTTTCAAATGCGGATTATAGAGAGCAGTGAGAATTTTTAAACCACAAACTAATCATGTTTAAACATTGTATTTTAAAAAAAAATGCTATTTATACAAAATAGAGAATTAATATTTTTAAGAAGTTTGAGACAATCGTTAGTGATTTTATCTCCCGCAAGGCCATAATAATACACCAATTTTAATTTCAAATATTAAAACTATTATTGAATTCACAAATCTAAAATGTATTTAATATAAGTTTTTTACACACAGCATATTTTTTTATTTTAACAATTTCTAATTAATTATAAACAATTAAAATTTCACTAAATTTTAAGAAAAAATAATTTAATGTTCGTCATGTGGAATAAATGGCTTTCCCCAGCGTTTTTCCCATAAGGCTATATATTCTTTTTTGCGTTCTTCTCTCTTAGCAAAGTATTTTGGATACTGAGCCTTTTCTAATGGATGCCAGGCATCCAAAACCCAGTCTGGAGGGTTACATTCTCGCTCAAATGCTGTTCCACCAGGTGAAGATGGAACTAAACAATTAAAAAGAAAAAAACTTTTACAGTATGAAAAATAAAATTATAAATATTTATAAAGAATAATATGACTTTCTACAAAGTGTTGAAATTGATTATAATCTATTTATTAATACAAAGTAAATCATATAAAAACCTATGTATTCAGAGTCATTGAAGAAATATATTTTATATTTTTAACATTTTATATTTTTTTGCACTTGTTTCACTCTCTTTAGGGGCATATAGGCCTATCAGAAAGTTGAAAGTTGGTAGTATTCTAAATCACTCATGATTAGATTTCAAACACATGTAGTACAAGCAAATTAAGAAATTGGGTATATTGTGATTTTATTACCATTTTTTTTTATTATTATTATTTTTAGGACGTTGAAACAATTTCAGATGAATTAGATAATGTACCTATGATTAATTTCTAATTTGTAATGTGTTCAGTTTATTCATAATGATTTTGTTCTTTGCAGAACAAAATTATATAGAAAATGAAACATGTTATCAAATATTAAGAAGATGTTAAAAAAAATGTTTATTTTTTGTTATTTCAGCATAATAGATTATAATTTATTTATTAATACGGATATATATTCTCCATATAAATTGCTACTTACATTTTTAATCACTCATATTAGATGTGAAAGAAGTTTTTCTAAACTAAAGTATGTAAAGAATTATTTGAGAAATTCAATGTCTCAAGAATATTTTGAAAGTTTCTTATTATTAAGTATTAAAAAAGATTTGTTAAACAAAATTTACTCTAATGATTTTATTGATAATGTTTAACAGTTAATTCAAATATGATCCAAAACTTATTAGGCTATTTCTATTAAGTATTTTTTATCACCTACATTATATTACTGTGCAAGATATGCATTAAATTTGTATTATTTTTATACTATATATAGAGTGTTCCACAAATATGCACCTTTTGTAATATTTTCGGAGAAAAAAAAGATAATCAAATTCTGATTAATAAAAAAACTTAAACAAATAACTTTTTATTTTATTATTTTTGGAAAATTTTAAGATATCCATTTTATAGAGTTTATTTTTCTGAAAATTTTGATACATAAAATTTTTATTTTCGTTAAATTCATGATTTTTAATAATTTTTAAAGTTCCAAGAAAAGTATCAATAATTATGTAGCAGGTTGTAATTACATTTTTTTCTAATGATTATTATTATTATGATTAATTGATTGCACACTTCTTTTCTCTGAACTTTCAAAAATTTAAAGAATACACTCCATAATGTGGCTAGCTTCAAATTTTTTAAAAATAATAAAATAAAGTATTTTTTTTTAATTTTTAACAAAACATAAAAAATTAATTGTAACATAAATATTTGTAGTCTTTATCTCAGTTAGTAATAGAAAATACAGAGTTTGATCATCTTTATTATCTCTGGAGATATTAAAATAGGTATATCTTTGTGGGACACTTTGTATATAAATCAATAAATATAAAAATGTGTTATTTTCCAAGTATACTTGAATTTAGTTCCAGGTAACATAAAATAGCCCTATCTTCTTCTTCTTTTTCATCCTATCAGCTCTGTTATTTTAAGTTGAAGATACAAAGTATAAGTTTAAATACTATATTAGCCATACCACAAACACTCAGATTTAATAAATCTAGATATCCCATTTAGTACTTTGTAAACTAAACTCTTCTCATTGTAGTAAGATGGTTGATTGATTTATTAATATTTGAAGTTGATTAAAAATCTGAACTTAACCTATCACACTGTTCTCTCATTCATAAATAATTACATGTTTTACTAGTTATTCATACATTGGTGAGGATAATAATGTTGATTAGTCCATAATTCTTTTTGTCCTTTCTTCAACAATTCATGTGCAGTTGGTACATCAGTTATGTTCTTGTTATCATCAAATCGCTTTCTCATACGGACAATAAGAATTCGCATCAATGGTCTAGAATAAAAATATATCAACCAGTTAGTTTAGTTAATTTAGTTTAATAAGCTTCTTATTTTTAATGCACAGTTAAAACTAGATAGTATTAGCTATATTTTATCCGATATAACATTAAAACCATAAGTTTTGTAAATAATTATACATTAGTTGTATAATATTTAATTCTGTTTTGACTTTCATTAGAAAATAAACAATCTTTTATAATGAATAAGATTATATCTTACTAGTCATAAATAATATTAAACAATACAGGAACTATGAAACATAAATTTAATTTAAAATAATATTTGAATGTCAATTTCAATCTCTACAATAATAATAAAAACAAATTTAATTTCAGTTTATGTCCGAAATTGATACTTTATTTTACAAAATATAAATGTTTTATAATTTTATATTTAATATGAATATGATCTTATTATTTAATAAGATAACTATTATAATAATTTAGGTAATCTGGAGTTTTTTTTCATTATCAAAAAGAATCAAATTTTCATTACATTATTAGAAGTCAATATTATTGTAAACAAAAATATTTATATTTCCAAAAATGTATTACAATTATAATTATCGATATTTAATATAACAATACGTAGAATTTTTTTTTTACCTGTAATGATACCAATCCTCAATGGTCCTGCAAGCTCTTTTATAAAGTGTACAGACTTGTCTTTTGTGAGTAAGAACCTCAAATGGTATATAAGACATTTTCAGTTCAAATAGAATATCTCAGTATGTACAAATAATATTATTAAAACGACGACCGATTAGTTAACCCTGGATATTATTCTGAAACCTTAATTTTCCTTTTATTCTTATCAATCTTTATGTATTATAATCATTAATAGTGGAAGAAGAGGGCTTGATATTTTGACTTTTAAAATATTCCGTGTATATTTTCATATCATAAAGACAAAACATATGTTTAATAGTCTTTGTTACCCATGATATTTTAATGAAATTTCAAAAATCAAATTTTTTTTTTTTATAATGATTGTGTATAATGAAACATTAATTATACTCTATAGTACAAAATATATATTGTCAAATTGAACAAATATAAAACACATATTCAAAAAAAAGAAGTATCCACAATGAGAAATGGTTAGGTTGGTGTCCATGAAAGACAGGGGGATTTTAGTTAATATTGATAATAATTTGTTTGGTCTTCCACACTTCACAGCCGAATTTCGTTAATTTTTGAAGTAATGCTTGTCTTGTTTTAATTTCTTGTAACGTGCTCGAATTATTTGTTTAGCGGTAGAGATCATACAGTTAATAACTTCATTAATTTTCGTACTATTCTTGACTTCACTTATTAAATTGACTCTATGTAAATATATTAATAATATAATACAATATATTATACATTAAAAACAAATGTTACTTGAATGCTATATCTAATTAATCAATTATAAACTTGTCACAGTTGGTTTCAAATTTTTAAATATATGAATTGTATTTACGTTTTATACATTATTATTATTAATAATTTGTTTCTAGATGGATATCACTACAGATAATATTAATAATTTAGTCAAATGTCTTCAGGCAACATTGAGTCCAGATCTACAAAATCGAAAGCAAGGTTTGTCTTTGCAAGTACTTAATTGAAGTAATGTGAAACTAATATTTTATTTTTATTTTGTAGCCGAAAATTTTTTACTATCAATTGAATCTAATAAAAATTATCCGCTTTTACTTCTACACATAATCAGTGGGCCAAATGATGTTAATTCCGATTTGACCAAGAAAATTGGAGCTGTTACTTTTAAGAACTATATTAAACGTAACTGGTCTGTTGTAAGTATATTCATTTTTGATAATTAGTTATTTTTATTGGCTCTAGGTCAACATATTGGATATGGTTACTCATTGCTTACAGATATACATTAAATTCCTGTCAATTCTAACTTCTCAATTCCCACTTTCAACAGTGGCTGCTCCCATTCCTATTAGCCTAGGACAGCTTTTTAAAGATACCATGTCAAAGTGAAATTTCCACAGACGATAATTTTTATTACACATATTTTAATTAGTTACCATTTTTATTATATGTAAGATACAACTTTTTAGGTGACTTAAAATACCTAATAAATAAAAATGTATTTAAGTAATAAATACAAGTAAATTTATAGTATATAAATTATAGTAGTATACAAATAAGTCTGTAAATAATATACTAAATAAAAAGGCATGAATACAAGGAGAGTTGGGTCCACCCTCTCATTCTGGGATTAGAACATTTTTTAAATATATTTCTATAAAATAAATAAGCTAATAATATACATAATATAGAAAAAACAATACCTTCAATTTGTTTTTTCATAACTTACCTATATGTTATTAGTTTTATTATATTATTATTGTAAATAGAATGTATTTCTGATTATTATTTATATTTGTCTTTTAAAGAATGTTCTTTCGGGCAGTAATTATATAGGATGTCACAATGTAAATTATGTTTTAAGGTTTCCTTCTATGGTGGCTTTTTAAACACAAGTAGAAATATTATTTAAATAGTTCTCTAAAAAACAGAATTAAATGGTGTATCGTAATAGAAATCGTAACAGAAATTATGACATGTAGTTTTATTTCAGGAAAGCCTTTTAAACAAACACTAAACAACGACACATTTTAAATGGTTTTCTTAAAAATAGAATTACATGACATATCATAGAAATTATGATATGTAGTTCTATTCAGGGAGGCCTTTTAAACCTCAACAAATGACAACTTTCATGGATCAAATGTCATCATAAGTGTATTAAAACAAGTTTTTGAACATCTTAATCAACAAATATATGATAATACACTACTCAAATTCTATGTATTTATTATATTATATATTCATTTACATGAATGTTTATTTAATTTTTATAATTAATATGTATACATTAGTATGATATTTTATTAAGTAAATACATTTTAAAAGTTTTGTTTTGCTTTTTTTTTCTATATTAAGTGTTGATAATGCAAAGCATAGACGGCAAATTAAAAATCAGTGATAAATAAGTAAATAAAGTAAAAAAAAATGTTCAAATTTATTTAATTGCATATTTCAGTTATTTTATGTGCAACATCATATTATTTCACCAATTTTAGTGCAATAAATCCTACATCCTAGTTTTTATTATTTTAATATCTAGCTTTTTGTAATTATTTGGTATAACCTCACCCCACCCTAAAATAATATAATACTATTATTTTTAGTCAAATGAATTACACCAAAATGTTTTTTTGTTGATAATGGGAACTTTATATTATAGATATTACCACAACTATAGGCTTTTCATTCCTGAACACATTAACTACTCTTTAATAATATTATAATATTTATGAATTAATTGTGAAACATTTTGTTTATACTCTGTTAATCTTTATTTTTTCTATTTCTAAATTCTAAGTAATTGCTAAAAAAAAATATTTTAGGATGAAGAGACGTTACAAAACAAAATACATCAAGATGATCGCGTACTAATAAAAGAACAAATTGTAACTGTCATGTTGAGTTCTCCAGAAGCTGTGCAAAAACAGCTAAGTGATGCTATTTTACTAATTGGAAAACATGATTTTCCAGAAAATTGGCCAAATTTATTACCAAAAATTATTGAAAATTTTGCATCATTTGCTGGTATGTATTTAAATATCTTTATTGTTATTGTTTCAACATTGTTACAATATTATTTGAAGGCTTGAATAAAATTTAAAAAAAAAAAAATTGCCCATCAAAAATATAAATGAACCTAACTCTGATCCTGATTATATTCATTTTTCTGATTTGTATAAAAAATGTAAAAACTCACCATTACTAGCTCATAATAAATTTATATCAAATTTGGAACCTAACATTAATCATAATTCAAAATCATTTACTATTAATGTTCCCACAAACATTTTCCTGTATAACATCAAATTGAACTCTATTGAAGATACTTTGCATTTATTTGTTACTTATTTCTCTTCTGTTATTGTTGATAATAATATTAACATTGACTCTTTTGATTTTGATTTTTCTTATGATTATAATTTAAATATTGACACTTGGAATCTAAAAACGAAATCTTAGATATGCTTGATTTTTTAAATAAGCACTCAGGTGTAAGGCCAGATGGTATACTACTTTTGTTTTTTAAAGCTTGTAAACATTCTCTTATTAAATTTTTACACTTTTTATTTAATTATTTACTTTATCATGGTATTTTTCCACAATTATGGAAAAAATCTTTTGTTAACTACACTTATTTACAAATCGAATAATAGAAATGATGTTCGAAATTTTAGACTAATAACTAAATTGTCATTAACACCAAACATTTTTGAAGAAAGTATACCTATGAAGTTAACTATACTACTTTCAAATTATATTTGTGAATCTCAACATGGATTTTTACCTAATCTCCTAATATATCAGTCTAATCTTTTTAAATCCTTTGAAAATGGTCAACAAGTAGATACTATCTATTAAGACTTCCAAAAGGCCTTTGACAAAATAAATCTTCCATTACTTTTATATAAACTAAAATTCTTTAAAATTTCTTGTTTATTATGGAGGTGGTTAGCTTTGTATTTGTACTATCAAACTTAAATTTGTAAAAATATCTCTTTAAGCATTATCAGGTGTATTGCAAGGATCACATTTAGGATCACTACTTTTTTTTATTGTTTATAAATGTATAAATTGCCTTATATTTTTGATATTAGCGTTAAAATTCTTCGTTTTGCGTATGATATACATTTTTAAATTGGAGTAAGAGAAATTTTCTTATGTTAAATACTGATAAATGCGAAAAATTGTTTTCTTCACTCATAGTAAAAATCCTGTTACTTATAATTACTCTTTAAATAATATAGCTCTAAATAGAGTTAATTTGATAATTGATCATTGTCGTTCATTTCAGCTATGATTAAATTTTAGAATAAATCATTATCATATGCTTAACAAATCTTACAAAATTTTAGGTTTTATACATATAAATATCCAAAAATTTAAAAACCCTACTACTCTGAGAGTACATTATTGTTCTCTAGTGCGATCTGTATCAGTGATTTGGTCTCAGTCATTATCTACTTGTAATTATGATCTTAATAATATTCAGTTTAAAGTTTTAAAAATAATTGCCCATTTGATTCAATTACCCATCTCTAGAGACTGTCCTTTCAGTCCAAAATTTAGTAAACTTGAACTCTCTCTTAGACGTTAATTGATCGATATTATGTCCGTGTATGATTTATTAAATTATAATATTGTATATCTTGAGCTCTTACCTCACATCAATTTTCGAATTCCTTTCTTTTTTTTCTCAAAATCACAATCTTTCTGTTACCCCTTATTTCAAGTCTAAAACCGCTAATGAATCTTTTTTTGTTAGAGCTCTGAAACTTGCTAATTTAGCCTCCACTGCTTTAGATTTCTTTTATTTCTCGTGATACTTTTAGATTTAAGTCTATCATATTTTTAAATAATTATTTAATTTTAATTAGTTTCATTGTATTTTCATTAGCCTTCTATATTTGTAAACTAATCATAACTTATTTTTCTTCTTTTATATTTAATTTATATAGTGTTGTGTATGTCCACTCTTTATATTTATTATCTTGAGTTACTTTCTACTAATTTTACTCTTACATACTATACACTATATTGTAAAAGGATTAGTCTTGTTAAATTATTATAAATATATAAATTAATACATAATAATAATACTATATATCTTAGCTGCACCCACAGGTGATCTAACACCTATTAACGGAGCATTAGAGACGGCTCACTCTTTGTTTAGAAAATACAGATATGAGCTAAAATCTCAAAAGCTTTGGACGGAAATAAAATTTGTGTTGGATAACTTCTCAAAACCTCTTACTGAATTATTTGTTGTAAGTTCTCATAAAATTAATTAATTTGTATTATTTATATTATATTTTATGTACATATTTTATGTGTTTATTTATAATGTGAAGATTATTTTATTTTTGAAAAAAATGACAATGTAATTCATTTTTCAGTTTGCCATGAATTTATGTGAAGTATCTAAGGATCCTAAAGTTTATAACATTGTTCTGGTAATAACTAAAATATTTTATTCATTAAACTACCAGGTAAATATAAATTTTGTTATGTATTTAATAGTCTTACATTTATAAATTTTTATTTACTACTTTATTAAATAGGATCTACCAGAATTTTTTGAGGATAACATGCAAATTTGGATTAGTAATTTTCAAAAATTATTAGAATTGGAGATAAGGGAACTTGAAACAGAGGTATTAATACAGAAATTAAAGATTTTTTTTTTCATTAGTTTATAATTTATTTTACCAATTTGTATGTTAACAGAGTGATGATCAAACAAGTATATTGCATCAAATTCAATCCCAAATTTGTGAAAATGTATCATTGTATGCTCAAAAATATGAAGAGGAGTTTTCATCTTATATGCGAACATTAGTTACAATTATTTGGAAGTTATTAATAAAGACTGGACCACAACCAAAATATGATACAGTATACAGTTTTTATTTAAATTTTTACTCTTATCTATTTTCTGCCACATTGAATGAGTCATTAATGCTAAATAAATGGGCTAGTAACTAGTATAAGCTGAGTTGCACAAATGTTCTGTAATTTTATAGGCATCTGTAAATTATAATGGCTTTGTAACTTGTAATATTGTTACAAATAATTTTAATGAATCTGTAAATTAAAATATAATGATATCAATGGTTACCGAATAAACTAAACCATCTACATTTGATAACCCTGAAAAATGATAGGTGATAAAATTGTGGCATCTTTGCTCCAAAAATAAAAACATTTTATTATTTTATTAGCCATTAGGTTTGTACCTGAATTGTTGTTTAAAATCTATGTCATCAAACTCAATTAGTGTATTCAATTTATCCCGAATATATATCATGGCCTCGGTACTATGGTCATTACCCTGATAGTAAATTCATCATCACTTGATGATCACAAGGATAAATAAATTAATAATTTGAGTTACATTTAAAATTTAGCAATAGGTATATAAATTTAAAAAAAACTATCAGAAATTTTGGCGCAATAATATTCTGTAAGGAGTTACAGAACATTTTTGCAACCCGGCCTTAGTATCTTTATTTATTTCTTCAGTGATCTGTAGTCTTTTACTGCTTGGTTTCCAATAAATGATGTTTAAGTTTTATGTTATAATTTTTAACTAAAAAGTCAAATTGTTGTATGCAAATAATTGGATGTGTTATGATTATGTACTAATTTGTTACTATTTTTAGCTGGTCATAAATGCCTTGCAGTTTTTGTCAACAACAGTTATGAAGACTCAGTATCGAGATTTATTTAATGATCAATCAGTATTCTCTGCTATATGTGAAAAAGTTGCTATTCCTAATATGCAGTTTAAAGGTAGACCAATAATACAACTAATTTTAACTATATTTATTTATCAAAATTCTTTTTTTTTAATTTTAGCATCTGATGAAGAATTGTTTGAAGATAACCCAGAAGAATACATTCGAAGAGACATTGAGGGTTCTGATGTGGACACTAGAAGAAGAGCTGCATGTGATTTAGTTAAAGCTCTTTCAAAAGAATTTGAACAGGTTACTATGTCTTCATTTGGTTTATATGTAAAGGTAAATATATAAATATGTAATTATGTAAATATATATATACATTGCGTATTGTAAATTGAATTTCAAAATTATATTTAAACATTTTTTAGTTAATGTTGGAACAATATACGGCTGATCAAAAAAATTGGCGTAGTAAAGATGCAGCATTATTTTTGGTTACAACACTTGCATCAAGAGGAAGTACACAACGCCAAGGTACAACTAAAGTCAGTGAACTTGTTAACCTAGAAGAATTTACTAATTTGCATGTCTTACCTGAGTTAACAAATTCAAACAGTGAGTACAGAATATTTTTATAGCTACTACAAATCATAACAGTTAATAATTTATTTTTATTTTAATTATGATTATTATTAATTTGTTTTGGTATTTTTATAATGATATTAATTTATTATTTTCAAATTCTGAGTGCCAGAGAAAAAGTTATTAGTTTCACAAGATATGTGTTTTTGTGGTTTTTTCTCAAAAATCACTTTCAATTAGACAAAAAAACTATAAAATGATTTGAATTTTTTATATCATACTTTTAAAAATCTGGATTTTTCACCCTATAGTTGATTATTTAGAAAAAACATTGCTAGATTTCTGATAGTTGTTCTATGTAGTTTAAAAACTAACAGCGAATGTTTATTTTTGTACATTTCTGGATTACCTGGCTATGAGCAAAAAAACAACTTAGGATGCACCATTGCAGTGTGACAGTGGTAAATTGACATGATGTTTGTAGAACTTGCAACTGTTCCAAATTTAACCGATATCACAAAGTAAACACCATTAACAAGTTTGTATGGCTATACAAACTATTTACCTTTACTGTAACAGCACCATACTGCATTAGTGTGTGCATTCACATAAGAATACTGTAATATAATATTTTTTTACTGTATATAGCGTTTTCTAAATACACCACTGCTACACTGCTTTGGTGTGTATTTGGCCTTAAACTATTAATACTACTCTCCTGTAAATTGGATTTTTAGTTATAATGATTTATTTAACATTGTATTCAGTATCCCAACAAAAATCCACCATCAACTACATGTAAAAACCTCTAAGAAAAAAAAACTCGAGTTATAAAAGTTATGATATCAAAAAGGGGCTAAGTAATGTCATACATTAGTATATAAATTGTTTATAATTGTTTCTATTTGATGAAGTGCGATAATTTAATAAAAATAATTTAACTTAGCTTGGCGGCTACTAATATTTACAACTACAAATAAAGATACAATGTCGACATGAATATTTACATTCCCATTTTATAATTTATTAATATTACCATAATACTATTTAAGTACATACTATGAGTAGCTGCCATGCTCAGTACAATTCCTGCTTTACAATATACTATATTTACAATTATAGTAATAATATTATAACAAACAAAAGTTGACACTACTTATGTGCTGATCAATGTTGTAGGTTAGATGAATAGTTAAGAAGATAGTATATAAAGTATAATTTTGTTTATAAATAATGTGCTAAATGCAATTATAAATCAATCATTAAAACTAAAAATCTAATTTATAGGAGAGTACTATGTGTTATAATAAAAATTATGTTTAAATGTTTCATTTTAGAGAGCCTTTTTCACAAGTGAAAATAACTAAGTTATATTTAAGTGGATTAAAAAGTGCTGTTTAATATCTTAATCAATGAATATACTATAATGCACAGCGAATATTCCATATAAATTTACTTACATAAGTGTATTTAATGTTATAGTTAATGGAATGCCAGTTATGAAAGCTGATGCTATTAAATACATAGTGACATTCCGTAGTGTATTACCTTCTCAAGTTGTTGTTAGTACATTACCAGCACTGACTGGATTATTAGAAGCTGAGAGTGTAGTAGTTAGAATTTATGCAGCAGCTGCTATCGATAAAATATTGCTTTTGAAACAATCAGATGCTAAAACTCCAATGTTGGTATATTTTTTGTAATATGTAACCTACATTAATTATTATTCATTTAATTCTGTGTTAGGATATATTAATGAATTTTCCTAGAAAGATAAGGTTAATTTCCAATTACTTATTCTAATTTTTAGGGTCACTGTGGATACATTATCTCCATTTTCAGAACAATTAATTAAATCACTTTTTGGTGTTCTAACTAAACATGGTTCTGAAGAAAATAGCCATACAATGAAAGGTAAAAATTAACTTGTAATCTATTTTATTAGAAATTGAATTATTTATTAAAGGCCCTTGTAATAATTATTATATAGCTATAATGAGAACATTTTTCACTCTAAATCAACAAATAATACCTCTCTTGGCTGAACTTTTACCTATACTGACTGATAAACTTATGATTGTCGCACGCAATCCAAGTCAACCGGAATTTAACCATTACTTATTTGAAACTATTTCATTTTGTGTTAAGTAAGTTTTATTTGCATGTTTATGTTAAACACTTTATCATATTTTTAAGATTTATTTATTATTTATCAGATTGGTTTGTGAATTAACACCTGAAGGCATTAGTTCATTTGAAGGAGTATTGTTTCCTATTTTTCAAATTATATTGCAGCAAGACATTATGGGTATAAATTATTAATTTATTTTTAATATCTTATTCTAACTTTTAAACATTTAACTTTTATAGAATTTATGCCTTATACTTTCCAATTGTTGGCTCAACTACTTGAATTTCACAGTCCTGGCAATGTAGGTGAAACCTATAGAATATTGTATCCATTTTTACTAACACCTGGATTGTGGGAAAAAACTAGTAATATTCATCCATTAGTTAGACTTTTAAGATCTTATGTACGTAAAACTTCTCCAGAAAATTTTGAAAAATCTTTGAATATTGTAAGTATTTAAAATTGTATTATTTTGAACAGATTATTTAACTGCCAACTATTTTTAGAATGGGCTTTTAGGTGTGTTTCAAAAACTCATTGCTTCAAAATCACAAGATCAAGAAGGATTTCGATTATTAAAAACAATTATAGAGAATTGTCCTATGTAAGTAAACATCTAGATATTCTTACATTTTATTTACAAAATAATAATAATTTTTTTAGAGAAGTATTACAACCTCAAATTAAAAATATCTATGTTCTTTTATTTCAACGGTTATCTTCATCTAAAACAACCAAATTTATTCGTGAATTAATTGTGTTTATATTCTTCTGTGTTATCAAATATGGAGCATCATACATGGTCGATCTCATAGATTCTATTCAAAATGGGTTTGTATTTTGTTTTATTTTATTAAAATACATTTTTTTATTATGAGTTATATAACTAATAATTACTATTTGTAAATAAAATATTTTAGTATGTTTGGAATGTTATTAGAAAAAATCATACTACCTGATGTTCAAAAAGTAACTGGAAATATTAATAAAAAAGTAACTGCAGTTGGTATTATAAAGATAATTACAGAGACATCAAAATTATTTGATGGACCATATACACTATTTTGGTATGTTCAATTTTGAATTTAAGAACAATTACTTAATTATTAAAAATTATTTTATTAATTTGTATAATACAAAAATAATTATAAACAAGTATTCAACTGTTAAACATAATATTGTAGGTCTCTCCTTCTTCAATCAGTTGTTTGTTTGTTTGAACTTCCCGAAGATGAAACTGTTTATTCTGAAGACATATTGCTTCCAAATGACACTGATAGTTCATATGAAGCTGGTTACTCAAAACTTGCTTTTGCCAGTGAAATTGAACATGATCCTTTACAAGGTAGTGTTAAATTAAAAATAATATATTAATATAAAATCGCCAGCTTCTGGGCATACATTTTTTTTTTTTTATGGATACACAGTTTGATATAATAATGATACAACTTTCATATGATAACATACCAAATACATTTATACACAAAATTAATTAACCTCAAGATTATTGACAAAACTGTTTGTATTAGTAAAAATTTGAAAGTTTATTTTGGGCATAATACCTGTATATGTTGGGCTGTTTGGTTATTTTGATTTACTTAAATTTTGATCAATTAGTTGATTTAATCAATGATTTTAAGGATTCTAAAATAATTTATTAAGAAATTATAATTTTGATTAATTTATATTTAATTGTGTATATTCAGATACAGAAAAGATGGACATAATTCTTTCAATGGGTAAGCCACTGTTGTGGGTGAGAAGTTAGGAAGGTAGGATATAGAAGAGAATTTAATTTATATCTGTACTCAACGATTAGCCATTGCCAACAAAAAACGATTCTGAGCGGAGTTATATATGTTTTAAAAAGCAGTTGTATTTACGATTTTCATTAAAATTTGATATTAAAATCTGTACTAAACAAAAATTACTACATTAAACTAAACTTTTTCTTGTTGGCCACAAAGCAAAACTTAGAATAAACTTCCTATTAAATTTTCAAGCTATTCTGTTTAATTTAACAATTTTATCCACAGAGTATTTACTGAATGAAATGTATATAAAAAACTTAAAAAATTAAAATGTCTATATTTATAGCAAATAAAGGTTTTCTGTCCGAAATTTCAAGCCCCTATGAACAGTTTGGAATGAATTACAATAAGAAAACAAAATTAAAAATAATAAAAGCATTATTTTCGTAGATTCTATTTTCCTACGTTTTCAGTGTTTTAAAAATAATAATAAAAACCGTTTAAAAAATAATAAAAAATGACCACTTTATAGTGCCACCCAAATAAATTTTCTTTCAAAAAAAAAGTACTACACTCAATACATCAGAGCAAGATTTTTGGTGGAAAATTTGTTTACAAACAACAAAAAAAATTAACATCGTAAAACCAATACATTCTTTTCGTTCAGAATCTAAAAGTAGATATTTTAGTTATTCTCATTATCAGTATACTGCATAGATTATCTGAAATATTGAATAATAGATTCTGTTATAATTAGTGTCATTAGTGATCAACGCACAATACACAATACATACTGTCAAAGTTTATAATTTGTCTGTTTTTTCATTAGTCCTCCTTTGTTCATTCCCATATTAAGTTGTTATTTATAGTGACAGAATACCAATTGAAAAAACAATTTTTATATTGATTTTTCAATTTTCCTGTTAATCATTATTATGAATAATTGTTCATAAGAATTACCGTTCATAAAAATAATAATCAAACAGCCTTATGTTTTACATATTTTAAGTACTAATCAAAAAATTAAATTTTTATTTGGGAAATGTTGTATTCTGCCTCAGTTTTTTGCTTTTCCTATAAATTTGTATAAAATCTGCTTGTAAGGGTTTGCACAACACTGTGCATTTATATTATATATTACATTTGCTAATTTATTGTGTTTATAGGAATGGAAGCAAAAGTGTTCCTAGCTCAATCATTAAACAAATTAATGGGGCAAATGCCAGGGCGTTTTCCTATAATAATAAGCCAAGGACTTACTGAAGAGCGACGAGCCCAAATACAAAACTATTTAATAAGTCTCAATGTGCAAATTATGTAAAATTATTTTTTAATTTTTATGAAATTCTAATATTTTATAGGATATTGTATGTACAGTCATATAATTATTAGCTCATTTTTCTATGCATTTTTAATAGTTCTATTGAATTACATATTATCCAAAAAATCATTTCAATTCAGTTGTAAGACCAATTATATGCAGTATAAATAAATTTATAATTTTATTTTACGAGATTATATTATAAAAATTCATGTTTACATTATATATTCTGAGCCAGCGAGTAATATATTGGTATTATTGCAATATGTTATGGTTTGGATTTTTCGGTAAACAAATTTCTATTGAAATATTGTTTCAATATTCAAGTGTACCCAACAACTTTTCTAAATTCGAGTTGATGTTTTGGTGAGGTCATTTTTTTTTTTCTTTGTAGTTTTTTGTTGCAATTTGGTTAAACATAATTATAGGGACCTGGAATCAAAAGTAGTCTTAAATATGCCATATTGTAGATACGTTTATAAGACTGAGGCGACGCATATTCGCATAACCCATAACGTCTTCACCTAACCCAAACTCGTCATATTCAGATTATACGAGTTATTGGTCCATGGTTTATATTAGCACGCATATATATATTTTGTTTGTCTGCGATAAGTTGTGTCGGTGACTTCAATGTCATTATCGCGCGCGCTACTATAATCGTGGAACATAATGTGACATGAATCGTTTTGACCCGTTCCATACTATAATTATTATATGACCCGTCGGATTCGTGACTTCACGATACTTGCGTTCGCCATTTCTACAGTGACGCAACGTAAGTAAATAACGTTTGTATTTCATACACATCGTTTCGGTAGGTAACGTGATGATCGTGTTCACTGTACGACGTTGCACACGCAGCTATATATTATAATATACATAATATTGTAGGTACTATTATTATATTATTATATGTAAGATAAAATCATAGAATATTATAAGATGGGTACTTACTTAATTATATTATAATAATATGAGGGTAACCAATGCGAAAACACTGAAACAGTTTCCTCGACTTGCCTCGACTATATATATATATATATATAAAACTATTCTAAACTCCTTGACAATATCTGATTGTTACAAACGGTTTGACAATTCGAATATTGTGCATTTCCTCTAGTTTCCTCTAATCACTTATGTCGCAATGGGCGTCAATTTATCTCTATGAGCGTTTGAGGCTCTTTTCACGTTCAACGGTTTGACCGTTCAACACAAATCCGAAATCGTATAATAACGTGAAAACATGCGTCTGGTCGTGTTCGTTACTAAGCTAATCGCGCCATCCGCCTGCCGTACACCGCGAAGTGGCAAGCAGTAGACGGCTCTGATACACGGCTAACTGATCCGATATTCGGTTCACCGGTCCGAAATAAAACAGTGTTCTATAATAGTTAATAATAATAATATTTTTATGTAACTAGAAGTTACCCAAAAATAATGAAAAGGTATTAGAAATGTTAGGTATTTATTTTTCTACGGTCGGGTCTTTTTTTCTGAGTGCTGCAGGATGGTTTTCTACCTTGTTTCCATTTATTCTTTTTTTTATTGTACACTTCGTGACCAACTACTTACACAATATAGTTTTTCCGTTTGTAATTCGCTTGTTATGTATAACATCATAAAATAATAAAATATACACTTATATTTTACATCCGTGTTATTATTTTATTGTTGTCCATCACTCATAAGAAACTGTCAGTTTAAGATTCAGATCAGTTCGATAAAATTATTGTAATTTAGTATTACTGAGATTTGTGTTGCAGGCTTGGCGATACTAATGTCTAGATTCCTAACAGTTTTTCTAAAAACAATTAAATTAAAAAAAACTCAGCATTTAATGACGTTGATACAATCGGATATAAGATAGGATATAATACGCAGAGATTTGAAATTGTGAACGTAGTTAAGCGGATAAAACCTTTATGGGAACGGGTATTGAATGAGGAATATTTTCATTGAGAAATGTAAAACGCAATAAATAATTCGTAAGTATAATTTTATCGTGCGAGCAACTTTAAAAATTAAACGAATTTTCACAGGGAAATAATAATCAGGAAAATAAACATCTAGAATGAATTCCGGAGGAACATCTTACTGACGTAGACGTGGAAAATTGAGGAAAATATTACCGACGAATATATCATATTTACTAATGAACTTATGAATCTAGAAATATTATGTTGGGAAATAATTCTTAGGAATTTAAAATTGAGAATATTTTAAACGGAAACATAAAAATCGCAACTCGTGACAAAACACGGTGACTGAAAATAGGTATAAATATATATCACAAAAACGATACTTATGTGTACAATTATAATTTTCTTCACAGTTTGTAATATTTTCCTGATTTAAAATAATTCCTTTGAAATATTTATTGAACTTATAAGGATCATTGTTTTAATTTATTTTATTTTATTACACAGGGTGTTGGGTACCATTGTAATATTTCCGGAGATTATAAAGATAATCAAATTCTGTTTTTTTTTTTTTAGATTACTCACAGAGATAAGGACTACAAATATTTTAATAAAAATGGTTATTTCATAATAACGGTTAACGATTGAAGTACATATAATAATTTATTGTCCCGTAAAATTCAATATAGGTAATATTTATATACGAAAATTTACACATCACTATAGTTATAGAATTGTAGAATAGCTGCCACTGATTCTCAGCATAGTAAGGGAAATATATTGATGTTATTATTATGTGTGATGCTTTTCATACCATCAAATTTTCCACCAGAAATTTTACCTCGAATTTGAAGTGAGCCTGGTTTTTTTTAAAGCAAGTTGTGTGTATGAATGATCAAATGGTTATCCGTTTTCCATTGGTTTATAATTGGAGTTTTTCATTAACAATGTATTGGTTTTACAATGCTTATTGTTTTTTTTAATTTTTTTTTTTATATGTAACCTTTCTACCAGAAAACTTACTCGGAGTATCAAGTATCTTTTTTTTTTTCATTAATATACTAGAAAATGAGGTAAACTTGTTTCTTTAGGTTAAAAAAGATTGAAAAATTAAAAATAAGGTTGTCATTGGCAAACCGATATATAAAGTTATTTTATTTAAATTTGTAAGCAACGATAAACCATTGCTTGACGAAAGACGATTCTGAATGCAATTCGGTTATACATAATTTTTTTTTGAAATTCTCGTTTAAATTTGATTTCATAACGATTATAAAAAAAAAAGCCGTCCAATGATTATGAAAATTTTACCACGTCTAGGTAAGTCCAATATAATTAATATTACTATGTTTCAAGTATATAGTGTATTTATAACCGAATAATAGCAAAAAAACGATTAAAAATTAAATTACCTTAAGAGCTCAAAAGTTTTGACGATGACACCGTTAGAAAGAAAATCAAAAAGGAAACAAAAAAGGTGTCTAGAGATTTTTCGATTAAATCATTTTTTCTGGTAGAAAACATCGTCTGTGTTTTTATAAAATAATAAAATCATGAAATTATATTTTTTTTTATGTTTTTTCCCACCTAAGTGCTTTTATTTAAAAAAATAACGTCAAAAATCAAAAAATGATCTCTTCAAAGTGCAATCTAAATAATTTGAGCTTTCAAAAGTTGCTACACGTAAAAATCAGAGCAAGTTTAGAACAAAGAAAAACAAAATAAACAGCATTGTAACGCTACGCTACGCTCGGAATCTAAAATAAAATAAAACTAGTGGGTGTAGTTGATAATTCAATAAATGAGTACGGCTCAATTCTTGAAAAGTGCACGAAAATAAATGCATAAAATGGTATAAAAATAAATTATTAATTTCAAGTCATGTCTTTTTTAAATATAATTATGGATATAATGATGAATAATGACTAATAATAAGTAATAAGAACTCCAACTGTAAGTATATTTTTTTTTTGCTTTACAGACACTTGTAATATAATTTTTACTGTTATATTAGTAGTTCTATATGTGCATCTAAAACCTGTGTTATTTGTTAGTGTAGACTGTCATAATGTGGTATTCCACTGTTTTCTATGACTTGATATCATTGAAAAAGATTACTGCTTCCACAGCATTGACGTAATATGACATTTCACATATTACTGCTATAGCAGTAATGCCTGTCACTGTGTTAATCTATTGTACCGTTTAATTTTACTGTGAATATAATAATCACGAATGGTTATTTTGACACGAAATCGGAAAATATGATAAAATTGCACAGTATTTAATAAAATATTTAATATGTAAGAACTAATAATAATAACAATATTGTACACATTTTTACCTTTAGGTAGGTACCTGTTATATAGGCAGTTATTGTATTATGTTGTATTGTGTAGGGAATCATAACTTATTCCAGTATTTTGTTTGTTACGATTAAAGCTTAACAACTTTATAATTATATATTCTGTATACCAACTGATTTCAAAATGAAAAATAAGGATATATTGGAGTATAGAATACGTATACATATAATACGAACACATTTGAATTCTCTCCCACATCCGAATCTGAAGCAGGAAATATTTCGTTTAATTGAAAAACAAGAAAAAGCAATTTATTTAAAAATAATCAAAGTAAGCTAAATAAACCACTTTCAAATTTCATATTTGAGATCATTATAACATGACATGAGTTTCCAGGCGCGTTTCTGAGTGGGAGGCGATCATCCCCCTCCCCTCTTCGAAAGAAATTAATAATTTTTTTTAAATATTGTGACAAAAATGTCTATCAAAAATATTACCTTGATATGTACGTGAGGTATCAATTCTGAAACGAAATATTGTCTAGATGGTACTTTAGGAAGTCTTTTTCCAAGCGGTTTTCATAATATCTGGGAAAACCCGGAAGAAAATGTAAGAAAAATGGGAAATTTACAAAAATAATGCTTTTTATTATTTTCAATTGTGTTATTGTTGTAATTCAGTTAAAAATATCGGTAGAGACTTGGACAGAAAACTTATATTGGCCTATTTTTACGTGTTAAAACTGTAAAAACATTTGAGCCATATTTAAGCTATTATTATTATTCATAGATACTTTAATTTGTGAGTAATTTGTATTTGGTAGGTAATCTGTGGATACAATTTTTAAACAAAACAGAAATTCTTGAAAACTGAACAGGAGGTTAATTATATTCGTAATTTGTCGTCAAAACAAAAAAAATTAAATTTAATATAGTATATTTTTTTTATAAGAATTTTAATATCAAATTTTGAGGAAAATTGTTCAAGTATAAAAAATCATTTGGAATAAATATAGTTACTAGTCCATATAAATTGTTTCAATATAATATTTATTTTACTGTAATATGACATATATATATATTGTTGAAAAAGCAATACTAATAACCGAATTCCTTTCAGAATCATTTTTCGTTAGCAATGATTAATTTTTGCTTACGTATTAAATTTCCCTCTATATTCTACCTTCCCAACTTCTCCTAAATTTTCATCTACAACAGTGGTCTACCTATCATGTAAAGTATATGTCCGTTTGTCTTTGTTTCTTATATCAACCATTAATATAAAATTTAATTATTCCGTTTATAGTCAAGGTGTGAAGACGCCCCTGTGAGTAGTGTGAGTTTCCATAGCACCATACTAGATTTTATGCTGAGCCAAAAAAATAAGCAAATGATCGAAATTCCGAACCCTACATAATATACGTAATATATGTATTATTTATATTTATATTTATATTTATTTATTTATATTTATATTTAATGTGTTAATTTAAAAGCGATCATATATAGCTATAGTATAGAAAAGTGGTTCCCAAACTTTTTTTTATTCAAGACTCCCTAATAATAAAAACAATTGTTCACGCCTCCCGCAAAGAATATTTAATAAAATAGATTAACAATTATTTAATAGTTATTAGTTAACAGTAAACTTATTATTTTATTTTATGCAAAATAATAATGTGAAAATGCGTTTGTTTTTGTTTATTAATTTTTCAAAATTAGGAATTAACGTAGTTACTACAACACGCATTTCTTTTTCCACGTTGAGTCTGGACCGATATTTTGATTTGAATACGGCTACTGCTAAAAATCCTCCTTCACGCAAATATGATGTGGCAAATAGTATTAATATACCTAAAGCTTTGTTGCTAACTTCAGTTGTAAAGAAATTTACGCTCGTATATTACACACTACGAGCATACGACAGTTATAATATTGAATTACTGTAATATTTTGTAATAAACGTGTGTCGTGTATGTATGAGATAAGATAATCGTTTCTATAAAATTGTTGTCGGACACATAATTGATCTAAAAATAACTATTTGAACATATATTCCAACCGTGCGCCGCGGCTCCCTTGTTAAGTGCTCGCGCCTCCTTTGGGTGGCGCACCGCACATTTTGGAAACCGCTGGTATAGAAAATAGAAATACAATTTTTTAAAAAACTTTATAATTTATGGTAAATTTTTCACTGAAAATCTGGATAGTTTTTCAGTAAATCGATATCTGTTTAGAATTGATTTTTGAATGAAATTATGATGATTAATCAATGTTTTTTTTATAAATTATAATATATACAGTTGGTATATGTATAGTTATAGTAAAAGCGTTGAAGCGAATGAAGCGCAATGATTGTCGAATATTTTTAGCTTATGTTTATGTTGTATT